TCCCTTAGAATGACGATCAAATGGGCAACCAACATAATCAGCATCGGAATACGCTTCTAGCTTGAGTGATCCAAGTCGAAAGAAAAGACCATGATCAAAAGTGCCTTGAACATATCATAAAATACGTTTGACAGCAATCCAATGAGTGATCGTAGGAGCATGTATGTACTAGCACACTTGATTAACATCATAAGACAAATCAGGGCGAGTTAAAATAAGATATTGTAAAGCTCCCACCACACTTCTATATTCAGTTGGATCAGGAAGAGGATCACCATCTGTTGGAGCCAATTTTTTACCAGAGTCAGGAGATTTACAAGGTTTAGCAGCCTCTATTTTTGTACGCTGGAGAAAATCAGTAATGTACTTTCTCTGGGTTAAGTATAATCCTTTTAAAGTGAAATTAGCCTCGATAGCAAGAAAATAATGTAAGATGCCTAAGTCTTTCATAAAAAACAATTTACCAAGATCAACAATAAGTTGGGGCAAGTGCTTTTCGCTATTACCTATGAGAATATTATCATCAACATATATCAAGAGCAAAATTGTCACATCCTTTGTATGATAAGTAAATAAGGAATAATCAGCTTTAGAACTAACAAACCCCAAATCTTCAAGATAATCAGAGAACCATTGAAACCAAGCATGAAGGGTCTGATTTAAGCCATACAAAGATTTATGTAACAAACACGCGTGATTAGGAAACATAGGATTCTCAAAGCCTTTTGGTTTCCGCATGTACATTTCTTCGTTGAAATGACCATGTAAGAAAGCATTTTATACATCAAGTTGTCTAATGGGCCACCTTTAATGTATAACAAGAGTTAAAACTGTTTGAATCATAGTGTGCTTAGCAACGGGACTAAATGTCTCGTTGTAATCAAACCCCTTCGTTGATGAAAGCCAGTGTATTATGTGATGATGGAGTTTCTGTGCATGCCTATTTGAATTGTATAAAGGAATATGTTAGATGTAAATTTTCTATATGCCAAATATGCTATGTACTATGAATGTGAGGTTAATTATGTGAAAAATTATGTGCTAGTTATCTTTCATCTATGCAAGCATGATGTGGTTATGATGTATAAAATTTTAATATTGTGATGGCATCGAAAGACATGAAGCATTCATGCATGGCATTGGGCATGAATAGGGAATTGATTTTGGAAAGAAAAGAAAATTGATTTGGGGAAAAGTTTTTAAAAGTGGTTTACGAAAACCCGGGCGCTTAGAAGCTGCTTAGTGGTCCGTGATGTTAATGTGACCTAGAGGGAATTAGGGAGAGACTCTAGCATGGTTGAGTTAACTAGGCCCCAAATGATGCCCTGGAGTTGCCTTATGGTCAGAGATAATTAGCCAATCCTTCTCTCGTGGCGCCATAAAGCTGCTAAGGGTTGGGTTGCATTAACGGTTTGGAATGAAAAAACAGAAATGTTTTTGAAATGGGGAGCAACATCAGCATATCATTACATCCCATTGTCATGGCATTGTATTTATATATATGGATGGTTGATGTTGTTGTTGTGGTTGCATTTCCCTCTAGAATAGCATGATCCCGTATTTCTTTATTCTATACTTTATTTAGATTCACAGGGTCATTAAGAGGTGTACCTTAGGCACCTCCTACTGAGCCGTTATGCTAACCCCTCATATTACTATTTTCAGGTTACGGAAAAGAAGTGGTAGACGACAATCTACCACAAGTTTAAACAGGTTTAAAGAAACTTGGATTTCTTTTGTAATTCATGTACATACCTCCATTTTGTTGTGAATTTGTATTAAGTGACATGTTGTATCTATTTCTTGGGTAGGAATGGTCATGAAACCATCCTCTTGTTTTCTTAGGTCTAACTAGGATTTCAAAATTCATGTAAGGCCTTAAGGTCACATTTTTCTATAATTGGACTTACTTATCTTTAAATGACGTATTGGGTTAATTTTCGATTTAATTGAATGCACGAGAGTTTAATTAGGTTTTATACTGTCATATGCATGTCTTCGGGATAGATGAGACAATATTTAAGGTCACAAACGGACCAAAAGGGTTCCGAGGTTGCATAACAGCTATCACAGGCCAAAGAGGGCCACAAGGGGGCAAACCGGTCGACGCCTATGAAAAACATGTTGACCGGTATCTTCAAGTATGTTTTTTTGGGGCTGGGAGCTAAACCAATTGATGTGTAAGGGGTACACGTTGACCGGTTTCTGTCCCTCTCTGTTTTCATTTTCTTCTCTTCTTCTGTCTAATCCCAAGTTACGTAATGATGTAATGAAGTACCAATTACCTCAGAATGAGGCATTAACGACGTATTAATATTGGAAATGACAATAATGAGCTTAGATGACTTTGGGTTTAGGTAAGGACACGGATAGCGATTTGGACCCCCGGGTTCGGGTCGTTACATCTCTCTCCATATTTTTTCCATCATCTCTATATCTATACACATATGTTCTTCATGGTTTAAAGTTAAGATTTTAGGGGTTTAGAGAGGGACTTTGATGAAGCCATAGAAGGAGAAGTTGAAAAGTATATTATGAGCTTTCATTTGACAACCTTGCATGGGCTAAAAGAATTTCAAATTTTGGGGTGTCCTAAGGGCTTATATGGTTGTCTCCTTTGAGGTAAGGATTTCTAATGCTCTAAGTTTTATCTTTTATTGAGAAAGTATGCCATGATTTCTCATATTTTCATTCATTAGTGTAAAATTATGAGTTAAGATGATAGCAATGTAATGATGTAGTGAAAACATGCTAGAAATGATGTGTATTGTTATACTTGTATTGTTTAGTTGGATGATTTCTTGGTTTCATTTATATGATAGCATGATTGTGAAATATGAGTTATATGATTAGCTTGCCTGTGACTAATTGATGGAAAAATGCATACTTATATTCGTTTTATGGAAAAATGCCATGTTAATATTACATTGTGGAAAATGTCATGTTAAGATTACCTTGTGGAAATGTCATGTTTATGCCATTATTGCTATTTTAATGAGATTAAAGTTAAAATGATAAAATTGAGGCATGTGTGTGACTTGGCAGGAAAAGGGAATGAGAAAGGACTTCAAAATGAATTTTAAAAAATTAAACCGGATTTTGCGAATCCAATGCTAATTCGACCTAGAGGGAGCGCGTGCTAGTTTAGGATGTGAAAAGTTGGTTACTAGGCCCCAAAATAGTTGCCGGATTTGGAATCAGGAATAATAATTCAATCTCGCCTCGATAAAGTCGGTTAACGGTTTTCGGTGTGAGTTAGGATTAATAAAGACCAAGTTCGGGGATGGTTGAGCATTACATTACATTTTTATGCAATTTCGTGATAAATTGTATCTACACCATTGATTGAATTAAAACATGCTTAAGTTCGGTAAAATCCCCAATGTATGATCCTAGTTCTCTTTTATTCCCAATGTGTGATGTGTGGCTCAAGAGGGTTCAAAGTTAGTGCCTTAGGCATCTTCTACTAAGTCTCCATGTTCATATCTTTCATTAACAATTTTCAGGTTATAACAAAGACGTGATTGACAACAGACTTCCACAAATATAGTTATGGTTGACGGGAGCATTTTTCGATATTCTTGTAACCAATGTATAGTTTATGTAATTCTTTGTAAAGCATTATGAATGTGGCCTCGAGGGTCTAAACTTGTATCCACAATATTTTAAGCTACTTTTAAATCATTTTGGGCATATAAGTGATGAAAACCATGTTTATATTTGGAAGATTTGAAATGAAAGGCGCCTCAATGATGTATTTCTATGTTTTAATTTGATGTATTCGATAAAATGATTCGTGTTTATCGTAATAATTTGGAAAAAGGTTTTATGTCATAATTAAGGTTTTAAAATGGGGCAAATTGGTGCCTATGACCATGGGAGGTTTTTTTTGGCCAATTGGGCATTATGGCCAAGATGGACTAGTTCCATGACATTCTTGAATCGGTTCATCTTTAGGCTTAATCTCAAGGGGCTGCCAGATGAATTTGTTCCATGATTTTCTTGTACCGGTTCATCTTCAGGCTTAGGTCTAGAAAAGGGGGCTGCCAAGGTTGAACCAATTCCATGATTTTTGGAACCGGTTCAAGTGCATCAGATTGAGGTTTTTAGCGTACCAACTTCAATCGATCATAATTTGTTTATTTTAAATCCAAATGGACTCATTCTTGAGTCAAAATTGATCGTTTTTAAATCCTCTTTCACGTGGCGTGGATCTCATCCCATAATTTTTACTTAAAAGGACCATTGTACCCTTATCAATCATAAGGCTTCGAAATGAAAACAAACTTTTAGATATACCACTCTTATGTTTCAAAACGATTAGGGATGACTACTTGGACTCCGTTATGACTGTTGTTGCGTAGTTGGGGGTGAAATGACTATTTTACCCTTATGTGTCACTGGATCGGGTTAGGACCTAGTTATCGATCCAGACCTTTGGATTTAGGTTGTTACAAAAAGAAAAACTAAAACGAAAATTATTTTAAAGAAAACCTAATTTTTTTTTTTTTTTATAATTTTTATTAAGGAACATTTTTGTCATTACTACACCACTTTAAAGGTGTGTAATTTTCAAAATTTGCTTAAAGATCTTTTTTAAGAATTAAAAAGAAAAAGAAACCCTAAAATGAAAATCATTTTTAAAAACTCTAAGAGGCATTTTCGTCATTAGGGTGCAGTGTTTCCACAATAAAAAATGTTAGGGGGTTTATGCTAAGAAAATTTTGGAAGGGGTTTCATGCAAAAAATAAAAAATAGAGGGGGTTTATGCAATTTGCCCTTCCAAATATGTTATTTTGATGTAATTATTTTGGTAAACAAATTGCTAAGTGACAAAATTCAAACGAAAAATACAACTAGAGGTATATGTTTTTTGTTTTAACCACAACTAGAGGTATATGTTTTTTTTTTTTAACCACAACTGGAGGTACTTGACTTGGTGTATGGTTTTAGAACACTGTACTTCTTATTTTTACATGAGATCCAAGGTTCTTATATGTATTAGTGAAGAGTACAATTATCTCTTAAAGATGTGAAAATACCCCTTACCTCTTATTAAACTAAAATAAAATGGATATTTTGACATCTTAAATAAAACTATAAGTTTTAGAAATGAAATTAAAATAAAAAAATTATAAAAATCCCTGCATTGTGTTTGGAATGGAGAGGGAAAAACTAAATTAAGGCAAATGAAGAGAAAGTAAAATATGAGACATAAAGAGAGAGAAAATATTATTGTTGCTATTATTATTATTGTTATTATAATTGATTTATTTTTAGTGCAGATGATTAAAGTTTAGAAAGTATGTTAAAAAAAAAAAAAAGCTTAGAGAAAGTGAAAAGGAGAAAAAAGAGGAAGTAAAAGGAGAAAAATTGTCTGGTAAATTCTGCTTACCTCGTTTTATTGACAAAATCATGAATTTGGTCAGTGATAAGGGATGTGAGTGAAATTATAAGAGATAAAATGAACTTATGAAATATGAAAAGAATTTATGTGTGATATTAATCTAATTTTATCTTTTACCAAACACACACGCCATCCGGTTAGAATTTCAAAACTACTCAAAAGAACCTGGCGCGATTTTTCTCAATGTCCGCTTCTATAACCTAACCTCCCTCACTTCAAAAACTCGATCGATACCACCAAAACAAGAACTTCGATGTCGCTATTAATGCAGAGGCATCTCCAGCTAATCGTCTTTCGAAATCAATCGAAACCCTAACTTGTTGACATTTTCAAAGGAGCTCTCAGTATTTTTCTTCTATTCGCTTTTTTGAAGTCTATCTGATCTAAAAAACCTCTAGGTTTCATCCAAAATGGAGAAACAGATACCAGTTGTATGTCCCGAGAACGAAGAGTTGGCGGACTTCATGTGGAAGAAGAGACAAGAAATGGCGGAGAGACCGAAAGGAGGATCGGAGAACATCAACATGACGCTTTACCGGGCTTACTTTAATGTCTGCAACTCCAAAACGCCCGTTAAAACCCTCAAGGATTTATCCCAAATCAAGTAAGTCAGGCCGAGAAAATTGTTGAAAATTTCCCGGAAAGTGATGTTCTTTTTATGCTGCGTTTGGTTGCTGAGGAAATGTAGTGAAATTAAAATAATGACCATATACCTGAACGAAAATACTAATGAACTACTAGTTGCTAGTCGATGGCACACGAAGTATCTCTGAATCAATCATATTTTCTTACTATTTTACAGCTGAGTAACTTAACTATTTCATATGTTTTTTTGAGTGCCTACTAGCTGAAGTATCTACTAATTACCATTATAATTATAATTTAACAATTCTATTAAATAGTTTGTATAACTGCATTTGAAATTTTAAAAATTTGTTTGGTCATACTATGTATAACTCCCTCTAGGATGTGAAAAAGTGAAATATATATTTATTTGGTTAGAACACGTGACTGTGATCAAGTAAATGCCAATACATTCTGCTAAAAATGTCAACTCTTGCAAATGGCTCTTTGTTTTAGCTCTAATGTCAAAGATGGGTGGTAATTAGTAGTTGTAGTGAAGTCCAATCTGCCAAATGAGTACGACTCTGAGCATAGCCTTTTGTTATAGAGATGTTTGATGTGCCAATTGGCTACGCTTTGCAATGGAATAGTTTAACATCCTCTTTTTTATCCATCCAAAAAAGGGGAAAAGTACTAGTTCATAAAATTTTTAAGGGTCATCTATTGGTACTATGGCAAAAGCTCTGAATGATAAGTGCGATAATGCTGGTTTGCATCTTAACAAAACATATTTTTTTTTTTGCAAAAATAATGCAAAGGTTGAGGATTTCTCTAGTCTTTTTACCTAACACCCTACATATACCGGACTGGTGCTGTTAGTGGCCTTTTTTAGTTCATCTTCTCCTGGACACAACTAGTTGCACGTGGGAGTTGTCCCACTTGACTAAGAAGGTATGATATTTGGTGTGTACATTACTCTTTAGTGTAGGAGAAAAGTTTTAAATTCTGTCTCTTGCTCACTTGTTGAAATTATAATAGCTAAAACTGGAGCTTCCCTTTCACAAACAATCAACGTAAGAGTATATCATGTGCCCTAGAGTTGACATTAAGAGAATATATGTTAGTTTCAATATTTATTAACAGATGGTTACTTTATTTCCGTGTTTGTTTTCTGTTAGAGAGTTGAATGTGCTTTATCTTGAGAAATAATCAAAGGTATAATGATGAACTATTATTCTTGCAATGATTCAGCTTTTGTTTGTGGTAGGGGTGTGGGAAAATGGATTTTGAGGCTCATGAAAGGATTTTTTGGGACTGATTCCGGTGCTTCTGAATATGAAGATTTGACGCAAATGGGTATTTTTACCTTTTTTTTTTTGGATTTCATATTTTTTTTTTGTATTTTACGCTAGATGTTGTTCTTCATATATTTGTTCTCTCAATGTTTTAGGGCAAAAAACTAAGAAACCTAGAAACGATTCTGGTGCTTCTGAACGTGAAGATTTGACACAAATGGGTATTTTTTATTATTTTTTTTTGGGATTTCGCATTGTTTTTTCTGTTTATTTTGTATTTTACGCTAGATGTTGTTCTTCTTATATTTGTTCTCTCTATATTATAGAGAGAAAAACAAAGAGACCTAGACGCTATGTACCACAAAAGAATTCAGTGGCCTATGCGTTATTGATTACTCTGCACAGGTAGATGCCTAAGATGCAAGTTTGATTATTTTTCAACTTTCTATTTGTGTTTCACGTCGTTGGAAATTGTTTTCATGACAAAAAAGTTTCACTTTAGGGGGACCACAAATGGTATTGAATTTATGCGAAAACAGGAGCTAATTGATGCTGCTGAAGCGAGTGGGCTTTCTCGAGTGCCAATTGCGTATGTTACTTCATTGTGTATTAGTATACATATTGGTAAAACTTGTTTGTTGATTTTATTGAATGGTTTTGGATGGTGAGATTTTTAGTTTTCAATGTTTTGTTTACTTTATTTTTCCCCTCAAATGCTTTTCAGGCCAGAAAAGGGCGAAGGAAAACCGGGACATTTTGGAAGCTCGCCAAGAGATTGGTATAGTGGGTGGAGCTGCATGAACACATTGATTACTAAAGGATTGGTTGTTAAGTCGAGTTGTCCGGCAAAGTATGCTCGTCATTCCTACACATTATCCCCTTTTATGTCTGCGGAATTTAATTTATTCATATTTGCTTGATAGTAAATGTCCTTTTGGTTCTATTCTTCATTGTTTGTTTAAGCTTAATACCCGTGTCTTGATGCTTTGGCTTTAAAATTAATCCAAAAAATTATTAAGAAGTAAAAGCATGTGACGTACGACTATATGCTGAATGGAAATGATGATTTGTTTCAGGACATTGACTTGCATTTCACTTTTACCTATATAGAGGACGCACTTATGGAGTATGGAATTGCAATTATTGTTGATCAATCTATTCCCAGAAAACTAATGTGTTCGGTTTTGAGTGTAGAAACCCCCACCCACATCCCAATCACTACCGTCGAATCATCGATATTGCCGTTTCAATTACATTGCTCCCACCACTATTCGTGTTCATGGTTTTATTATAAACTCCACCAGCATTACTTCGTTCACTATTATTACCACAGTTACAGAGGTCACCTTTATCTCCATACTCGAGACTACCACCAGTTTTATCTTGCCTACCTCCAATACATCACCATATTTGCCTGCACTATTACCATCTTCACTTTTGCCTTTTTCACTACTACTTCCATCATTAGCTTTTTATCAGCCTCCACATGATCACCACTGTTGTCTCCAATTCTACCACCTAGCTGCCGCGGCACTGCGGATACTTTCAGTAATTTATTTTGCCACCACCTCTTGTACCGTCATTTTCACCACCCCCTCTATTGGTAGTCCATGATAGTTGAAGTTACTCCACTACATCAATCAGCATTGCTGATACCCCCACCACAATCATTCAGTTCTGCAACTGCAGCTGCTTTCCCCTCTAGTTTCACCACTACATCAGGTCTCATCTTTGAAATTAATTCGAATAGTTGAGGCACCTTTAGATTGCGAATTATTTATCCATTTGAACAAATGATTTTGCACCTTTACCATACTTATTTAGCTACAACTTCTGTTAGAAGCTGAATTTGGTGATGTTTATGCAATTCGTTTTTCACATTTTGTTGCCCAACGAATCATTGTCATTATTCGTTTTGATTTACTACCAGATTGGCTTTTTGTGTACTTTTAATGATCAATAATTTATTGTGTAAGGATCTTTTTGATTGAAGGAACTTAGCTCAATTACGCAGATACAATTCTGTGCATAAACTCTGATATTGTACAGGTACATGCTGACTCAAGAAGGACGGGAAGCAGCACATGAATGTCTCTTAAGATCTGGTCTGGTTGATTTGACCGAGAATATGGCAACCAGAGATGGTTTTTCAAATATTGATGTAAGCAAGACATCGGATTTGGAGTTTGCTTGTGCTGATTCGGCAAAAAAAATGACCTTGCCATCTGGTGGTTTGATTGGGCAGAAAAAATCAATTGACGTGCTGCCTGAATCTTTTGATAGGGTATACAATGTTTTGGGTTATGCTTATCATTTTTTTTAGAAGATTAAAATATTAAAGTTACACCCTCTCTAATAGCTTAAGCTTTTAGAGTAGATGGCGGTCAACGTCATCTATAGTTTTCTGCTTTCCAAGTTTTGTGAGGATGAGAATTACTTGCCACTTTTATGTCTTGCTATAGTATTTTTTTGAAACTTCTGTTTCTTAATTTATTAATTCTAGTGAATGTATATTCTTTTGAATGCTAGTAATTGGTTGCGTCATTTTTTATTGTGTGATTTCCCAATTTACTATTTCCCAGTTTATTATTTTTCCTTACTTTTTTCTTGTATTATAAACATTTGTTCCGTCTTGGGTGAAGTTGTTTAGACAATCATGAAAAACTCTTTTATTAGATACACAATCAGGCTCAAACTCAAAACATTAAACATAGAGGGAAGGCCTGATACCTGTTAGGCAATAGGCTTGTGACAAACAAAAGTCATATAAAAATTCATAATGCTATGTTTTTCTTTTCTTCGAATCATCAGCATTATTTGAAAAAATAGTAGTAGATGTTAATTCTAACAAAATACTTTTGTTTGAAAAGCATTCGCTGGTGGCCATTGTTATAGCTATTCCTTTTGGTAATGAAACTTTCTGCAACAATAAATTCAAATGGTTATAAAGAGTTTTTATAATTCAGTTAAAAGTTTTGTACCATTAATTTACCTAGTTGTCACAAGAAGTTCCTCCGGAAGTACTGGAACAGAGTTTTATAAGTACTGCTACGTGTTAATTTGAATTCTAGAAATAGCCCTTGGTGCCATGAATTTCTTGAATATTTCTCAAGGCTCTTCCGTCATTATTTAGATCTCTTTGGATGGTGATTTCTTGTATCTTATTCTGACAAAAAAACACATAATTTTTTTCTAGGATGTCTTAAGCTGAACCCAATCGAATGTGAGATGGTGCATGGTGTAGATGGATTTGGATATAGAAATATTTCTGGGGAGGCTATCTTTGACTTTGCAAGTGGTTGAATATGAGTTGAATTGAGTTGAGTTGAAGCTGAACCCATTTCATGCAGACCTTTAGATGTTGAATTGAAGTAGGAGTATTGATGGAAAGGAAATATCAGATGCATTACTACATGTTTGATTACAGTCATGTCTGACATTGACTCAGGATTAGCTAGTTAACGTGGCACTCTCACTCTTAAACTACATATAATGTCTGCATAGATGTTTCATATAACCTCTTCTAGCTGTTACTTCCAATCAGTCACTCTCTCTCCCCACATGAAAGTAATTATTCTCTCTTTTTTGTTATACCAAAGGATCATTATGTAGTGTGATCCTTGTTATTTATTTATTTATTTATTGGGGGTGGGGTGGGGGGGGGGGGGGGGGGGGTGGGGGGGGTGGTCTGTTAAGGACATATTAGATACAGATCTTTGACATTGATTTCACAAGGTGGCCACTCTCAGTATTAAACCCGTGTTCTGATGCTTGCTGATTCGGATTAGTGCTCAGATACTGCCTTTTCATTTCTCTTTTGTTTTGTTTTTTTTTTTAAGTGAAAAATTAGAATTATCATACCAGAATATTCTACTTTTCAAATTCATCCTTATTATTATCGCGTTTTTTTCTTCTTTTTCTTCCTCTTGTCATCCAGGTAGAGTTGATCCCTTAATTCTGCTCCTTCTGAAGTGACCATGGCCATAGTTTTAAAATTTTCAAGGCACATTAAGGTGCCAACTGCAAAGGCCTTGTAGATTTTAGGTGCAAAGCACGTGGGTCTGAGTGAAGTAAGTTGAATGCATGGTCAAATGTATATTAATGTACTTACAGTTGAAACAATTTAAAATATGCCATACTATTTAGTCAAATTGCATATGCCTTCAGCTATACTAAATATCACTCAAATATGCAATAATTAAAGGCTACAATGATATATATTTTAAATAGACATAACTATATTATCATAATATTCATAATTAGTCTCTAGACATGCAATTAGTTAACCATAAGCCTGTGAATTACTGAATTCTGAATGTCAAAGATTTGATGTGATTAAATGGCATTATCTGTCTCAGAATGTCTATAATATAGAAATGTTAACTAATGGTCATTTTTATAAAAAAGAAAATGACAATGAATAATTAAAATATGAAGGTGTGCTTCTACTGAGCTTGGAGATTCAAAAACTGTGTGGCTAAGAATTAACGGGCTGTATGTGTGCCTGGCTGCAGGGACTAACTTGTCATACAATAAGGTGTCATTGCTAAGGCTTACTGGTCCTTGGTATTTTTTGGGCCTAATTGTGCCTTTAACAACTATTATCATGCCAACACTTCTATTACTATGCTATAATGTCTGGCATCACGTTAGCCTTTTAATTAAGAATTATCTGTTTATTTATTTATTTTTTCCGTCTTACCGTCTGATTCAAGTCTAGTGTTTGTAGTTTGTACGTATGGGGTACTCCAAGGAACAAATTCTTCATGCTGTTTCTGAAGTTTCAGAAACATCCCAGAGCAAGGATGTATCTTCACTTTGGCCAGCAATTCTATGTCGCCTTCGAGAAGATGAAGTTTATGGCTCAACTTTTTTGGAGTCTCAGAAGACGCTAAGAGAGGGCTGTCTTTCAACATCAACCATCTGCAGATCTGCAGTTGGTATTAAACTTCTTTTATTTTGAGAATGGATGAAACTAGGAATCATTTTTGCTTTCCTTAGTGACCTCTTAGTACACTGATTTATTAATGTCCAGGTCAAACTGATTCTGTTGTACGTGGGAATGCTCAGATGGAATCTGCTCATTGTGGTGCATCTAGGTCTTCATTTTTAGGGGATTCTGCACAGAGCTCTTTCACCTTGAGGGCTTGCTCATCATCTGTAAGTGTGCATATAGTTGATTAAAAATTGTGTTACATTTTGCTTTGTAACATGTTTTGTTTGACTGATTGAATCTTAGATGTGTATTATAATGTTACCTGGACACATGGCACATCATTAGTGGTTTAGGGCCCTCCCGCGTTTTCCAACTTGCAAGACACATATACCAAAAATCTTTGTGAATGGACTTCTTATATTTTCCTTTGCCTGACAATTCTTTGTGAACTTTGCATTGACTAGGGATGCGATTTTGTAAGACAGTATGTTTAGATGTGATTAAATTCTTAATAATTCATTGTATTTTTTCTTTCTGGATGACATAGGATTATCCGCTGCATAAGCGAGGTTCAGATGGTTTGGAAGCCTACATAAATATTTTAGCTATGCCACCTCTGGGATTTGGGGAGATTTTTGAGGATGCATATGAAGTTATTTTGGTATTGGATGATCGGGAACAATTTGCTCGTCAGGGGTCAGTAATCTCTTATTTTATATCATTAGCTTCCTCAGCAATGCAAAACCATGACAAATTGGGGTAGTCAGTTCATTACCTTTTTTTCTGTTCTTATATTGGATTTTTCTCTCATGGTCAAGTCATTAAATTTTTTAAAATTGAATAATGTTATTCTTTGTTCAATTTTTTTAATTCCAAAGCTTGTTTAGTTTTTCATCTCTCTATTTTTATGAGTTTCGAATGATATGAGGAATACGGTAATGCATATATTGATTTTATTATATGAATATTGTGTAAAACATCAAGTTTTTATTCTAATAAGTATAGGGGGGCAAGGATTGATTGCATGGCACAAATTACGTTCCTTGCAGTGTGGAATATATATATTTTTCTCATAACTTGTTTTTCTTGTATTATCTAGTCTTACTATCTCTGGACATAATTATTTAGACTATATCAGTAACAACTTATTCTTGTTTATATTTTAGATTTTGATTTGAGCAATTTATTTTCTAAACAAATAATTGTTGTTAGGACTTAAAGATTGAAATGTCCACTAGACATCAACTTCATTTTAGTTAATAAATTTATCTAAATCTATTTAAATTTGGCATTCTTATTTTTCTGCAATTTAACATTTATGGTTCGCGTTTTTTTCCTTGTTTTAAATATGTAATGGCAAATCCGTCATTTTGTTTGTTGTTGATGTCCAGTAACATTTTGGTGATATTTGATTTTTTTTTTTTTTTTTTTAAAGGTATTTCTGGGTGCTTATTGGTACATAAATGAGCAATATAAAAAACACGTGGTTCATGAGGATTATGTGAAATTAGCCTAATTTTAAAATTTACATTAATGGATGTTATTGTTTCATATTCTAAATGATTTTCCTTGTGTTTATGGGTACTCTAGTAGTGTTTTTTGTAATATATGTTCTGTGGTTTTTTCAGGTCAAGGTCTAGGAAAATTATCGAGAACATTTGCGCTCAATTCAAAATTCAATTAGAGGTATGCTATATCATTTTGTTCTCGTATAGGATGGTCCCATCTTTTATTTTTTATATCTGTAATATTATATGGGTAAAGTCAGCTACTTGTTTAGTATCAATTATATAAGATAATGAACAATCACAACTCATGCCATCAGCGTTGCTTGATTTCCTTGCCTTTGCATCCACATCATCTTCATGTACGCCATTGCTACATTCGAGGCTCAGTGTGGGTATTGACTGTGTAGACCTTTCTTGTGATACTGATGTGTATATCTATTATTTAGTACACCACAACATATACACAGGCACACTCTCAAGAGGCTCACAGCTCACTCATACTTCATGCTTTTCTGAATTTTATGTTTCTTGTTTGTCACATACATTGGAATGTGAGAGAATTGTCTGCAGTATTTTTTTGCACTTGGAGTAGCTAATGATGTCTGCAGGTTAGACGGTTGCCTATTGGGGATGGAATCTGGTTAGCTCGCCATAAATACCTTGGCAGTGAATATGTTCTTGATTTTATCGTTGAGAGGAAGAACGTAGACGATTTGCGCTGCTCAATCAGGGATAAACGTTACAGGGATCAGAAATTGCGTCTTTTGGTACCAATTCTTATTCAAATGACTAAAATGTTTGATTTTAATGCATAGAAAGCGTTCCTTTGTGATAGTTTTTGTAGGACGCACAAGATGATGTATGCTATCTTGCTCATAGTCAATTGATTTTCAATCTCTTTCTCTTTGTACAAATCTTGAGATTTGGAAATGCCTTGTAATTTGAAATCCTGCAACTTTTAGGATTTTTAAAACTTCCAGGTAGTGAACTCTAACAATTAGTTATTGAATACAAAAAATTAACTATAACACAAACATCAATGTTCTGCCGAATGTAGTGACAATCTGTTCTAATTACTTGAGAAATCAGAAGAGAAAAACATCATATCAATGAGGCATTATATTACATGGTTGTGATAATTAAAATCTGAGTAATTTCTTTGTTATTATTTGTGGCATTATTGGAAGGAATAACAAGACGTGAAATCTTCAGGGGTTCAAGTCTCAGAAAAGACAAGTGTGTGCGAGTACTAACTAGGAAAAAAAAAAAAATCTTCAATTGCATTGCATGTTGGTATGTTCTTTTGGCCAATTAACTCAGGTTCTAATTTCCTGGCATGAATTGTGTGGATAATTTTTTTGTTGTGCAGCATGCCAACTGTCATGGGAGTATAGTTCGTCAAACTATATCTTAATTTTGATTTAACATGTCCTTTTAGTTCCTTGTCTGAGATTATCTATTGTGATTCATTTTTGTCTTATTGGTGGTATTTAATTTCTTTTTCCAATTGTTTTTGGATATTAATTGCCCCCAAAGAGATGTGGACTCAAGAAGCTCATATATTTGGTGGAAGGAGATCCAAATTCTTCTGAAGCAGCTGAAAGCATCAAAACAGCGTAAGCATATTTTCTAAAATTTTCTTCTCTTTGATTTATCAGAAGTTAAAAACATATTTTAAATTGTTTACAATAAGCAAAATGAATTAGGATCTTCATAGTTTTTTCTTACCACATCATCTTTGCATTTTCATTGATGATTATTTTGTATTTGTGTGTGCTTTATGTTCAGTTCAAATTGTGTCTTGTTGAACAATGACTTCATTTCTATCAGTCATCCTGATGTTTACAGGCTAGTGTTACTTCTTTTAATGGTGTGCAAATTTGCAGTGTTTGTAATGATGTTATAATAATTTGAGGAGGACACTGACATGATTTAATTGATGGACTTGAAGTCTTAAATGGACAATATACTGGTTAGGAAGTGGAACTAACAGTGTTTTGATGTTACCTACGGTGAAGGCCATTATTTCAAATATAATTTAGCCTCTGTAATTTAACATTTTAAAATTGAATAGGTAATCTATGTCTGACAGATTGATGAGGGGGCGGCAGTGTGTCACATTTTTGTATCACTCAATTCAAATACCATTTACTGTATTTTTCTTTTGATATACCATTTAACGAATAAATAATGTATTTATAAATAAAAGAGGACATGAGATTATACACAGGTTATGAGTCAACTTTAGAGAAAGGAATCTAATTTACAATGTTTCAAAATATCTAATCTAAGAGAGAAATTTGTGTGACATGTAAGTGGGGAAAGGCCCAAGGAACAACTTCAGTGTAATAGTTATGATAGTAAAACATCCTTTACCTTCAACAAGGCAAGCTCTGGGCTCCTAAATATTTTCTATTTACATGCACCAAAGCAAACAAACAAGAGCCACTTTGAAAGTGTGCTCGTTCCTGCTCCATGAGACTTTATCCACCATTCCTACATGTCCATCATCAGAGGAGGTATATCATATATGCCGAGGGATTTGCGAACAGGACACCAACAAGCAATCTATGAATCTTGCTCATTCAATAAAATGGTCCTTCATTTTGTGTGTTTGTCTTCATCTGTGGGGTAAGGAATTCAATCTTAGATAGTGCAAGAACCTGCAGTCTGCTTAAGAAAGTTACCTGCTTTTAATCCACTTGGAATAATAATACTATAGTATAAAAAAATTCACCACTGCAATAGTCAGTGCATCCCTTCCAAATTGTTACATATTCTCAAATTTTAGAATGGTAATAACCTATCAAGATGCCATTGTCAATCCTGAAAATGACTAAAAGTGAGATTTGGTGCAACCACCGTTCCACCTTGTTTCCTTAGTCTCACCATTGAATATAACTCCAGAAAATCTTTCATAGAAGATACATTCCTTGACCAAATATCCTTCCCTAAGTGATGAGATAGCAATGGTTTTGAATGGCAATTGGAGGATCGGATGTGCCTATATTTTATTTTTAATTATATTCTTTTGCATGCTTTCCACAGTCTATTTCCTGAAATAGAAATGTCCAGAAAATTATCATGTTATTGTTAGTAGTGACGAAAATGCATGCTGTGATGGTGTTTGCATTGGTGGCTGCAGCTGTAACTTTTGCTGAATATTAGTGTTAGCATCGTTTGCAATGTTTTTTTTATTGTTTTTGCTGACAGGGATGCTGTCTAGAGGAGTGGTATATTGTCTTTGTCCGAAGCACTTCTGTAATTTTCATTTGGAGATTGGTATGTGACAATAATAAGTACAGTCTAAACACCAACACTTCTATGCAGTTGTGTCCGATTTGGATATTGTTGGACACTGAAGTTTGCTGGACTTGTTCCCAACTGAAGAAAATCAAATTATATGTTTATATAAAATTTGATATTAAAAATTTATGGTATACGAATGTCTCAAAAGTGGGCGTGCGAGGAAAGAAACGATCAAATTTTGTGTACACACACACACACACACAAAGAAACGATCAAATTTTGTGTACACACACACACATATATGGATAACTATAGTCATCTCCACATGCACGCAACCACATGCAGTCATATATTTCTTTTTCTCATTATGTTTTCTATGCAAATGGTTGATTATTATTATATGATTGAAAACTTAAAGAACTTATATTTTAGTCATGGAATAGTAAGCTTACTTTTTATAAAATAATATTTGTGTAAGATATTATAGAACTTTAAAATATAACTTTTGTTACCCTGTCCTTGCCGTGTTGTCCAACTTTTAAGAGTTGTCATCTCAGCACTCCATATTGTGTCATATCTTTGTCCAATATCTTGTGTCCGTGTTCATGTTTCTTAAACGGTGTTTGTAGACTTGTAGTAACTTCCAGATGGCAGCAGTTGTAACTTGTGAATGATAAATGCAGTATACTGATGGTTCTGTCAATTAGGATAGCTGTATTGTTTGTAAGGTTGGCAGCAACTATGGTAAAGGTGTAGTGTCGTGTAATCTTTTATTCTTAATTTGTTGGGTAACTTCTACTGCTCAAAATTTAAAATTTTGTATATTTAACAAGTTTACTTGTACAAACATGATAGTACCTTTCTTTGGCTTATTGTAGATGACTTGCAGATGGCGGCATTGTTTTTTCTTGGCTTCAATCGTTTTGCCTTTTGTGTGGTTTTCATATGAAAGGCTTCATGCATTCATGGTTTTGTTAGTTAGGTCACTCTCCTAAGGTTTCCCCTTTGTACATTCCCCATTATTTCTTCTAAAATTTAACCTTACAAAGAAAAGAAAAAAAAAAAGGAAAAAAAAGAAAAGAAACAAAGACAAAGATAAAGACGGTTTAAACTGATTGAAGATATTTAAGTCTTTACAACGGCTTCACATATACAATACAAGTTTAATATAGCAAATTCTTCTTAAAATTGGTGTAGCTTCTGGAGTGATTTTAAAATTTTAAAACACTGAACATAAGAATTTCCAGGCGTGCATCGTGGCCCAATGATATGTGATCACTGTATATAAATTTCTTGCATATATTCCTGGGAGATGGCATTTAACATTCATTGTCTGTAGTTAGGAATAGGCTTTGTTGGGTTGATTTAGGTCTGGATATTGATATATTACCTGAGAGTCTACTGATCTACTGGGAGTCTCTGTGCTTCTGCTTCAACTAAATTCAGTTCATTACTAGTTTGCACAATGTTTATGTGCCACTATTGCATTCTTTTTTTGTTTTTTGTTTTTGGGAGGGAGTGATATTTGAATGCACTCTGCTAAAATGACTGTTGTTCTATGTTATGTGTGTAATGTCAAATGTGTTGTACCTATCGAATTATTGTGTGGATATTAGTCTGCATATAATAATAAGTACGGGAAAAGGGATGCTTCTGAAAACTTGTTGCCTTTTAGTTTCTCGTCTGTCCCAATCTTCAAAACATTTTCTTTATTATTATTAGTTTCTCATCGTAATAGAATTGTCAATACAAAAGTAGCATTTGTGTGGTCCTATTGTGGTATGTATTATATTTGCATATCTTAAGATTTATGTTTTTATGCTCTAATGAGAGTTCGCAATTCTTTTTTATTTTCTACTTTATCTTCCAACATTTTTTCTAATCATACCACCTTATTATGTGCAGTTGTTTCACAACAGAGATCCTGGAGGGATTCGATGTGCAGAGAACAAGTGGCTTGGCTGATACACTAAGGAAGTATGGTTACCTTACTCAATCAATAACTCGGTTCTACAGATCCCGGTTACCTGTGGAAAAACATAAGAGCTCTGGAGTATGTCCTCCTTTTGATGAATTTATGAAAAGGTGCCAAGATTTGGATAAAATGACAGTCAGTGATGTATTTGCCGTCCAACTCATGCAGGTTTAGCTCTAACTGATAGTCAAGTTACACCACCTGATATTTGCTATAAAAATTATATCTTTTTTGAACTATTTGCAACCTAGATGATCTCATAATTGCCACTATTTTACGTTGGTCTGAATATTATAATTTGTGTATCGGGTACTGGTGCTTGTTTAGGTGTCGGACTTCCCCTTAATCCCAGAATCTTAAGGTATGGGACTTGACATGCGTCCAGAAAGTTGGTAATAGTTAAATATGTTGTATTCTACACAATATTCTAATTTCTGATGTTATTATTATTGAAAATAATATACTTAAACAAGATTTAGTCAATGGGAGGTGGTGAAACAGGGGTTACTCTCTATCTATCCATGTGAGAAGTATAAAACCTTCTCCACTTTCAAATCTAAGTGCCTTCTTCCATCATCATGTTTAGACGGCTGATTATATTTTATCCGAGTTAGTGTGTTGGACACAAATCCAAGACCCGCACCCACACTGCATCGTCGATACAGGTACGATGGAGGAACAGGAGAGTCCATGGTACAAAACTGCCATGTTAATGAGGTTAACCTATTCTTAATCACAGTTTTTATATGGTGATAATAAAATGTTGCCTTACTGTTATGATACCTTAACTTATAACCATTTAAGATTGCCTGTGCTATTTTAGTTCTATTATGTACTTTTTACTACTAGAGTTGCACAGAAAGATATTACTTTTACTCCAACAGATGTTGACTTCAAAAGTGGCCATGAGATGCTTTCTATTTTTATCTGTGTTCTTTTAATATATATATTTAACCCTGTTATCTGTTGTAAGCTCCAACGATAGAAGATCCCAATTGATAACAGGATGAAAAGGATTCTTCTACAATGCAGGTTCCCCAGGTAACAGAGGAGGTTGCGCTTGCTGTTCTGGATTTGTACCCAACACTTGTATCTCTTGCTCGTTCATACTCTGTTCTTGTGAGTGCTCTCTCCCGAAAATGTTTTGGTTGAGCTATTGTACAAAGGGGGTTGGGTTAGCTATAAGTGGCAACTAGGCAAAACCGCTATTTTTAAAATCTGTCTGGTGAGTAACCTGTAAATGGAACCCTCATGTGGAGATCAAAGAAAGGTAATACACGAAATCAAAAGAGCAAGGAGCTAAATTCTCGTGCAATAACTAATTAGCCACATATTGTTGAGTGTTGTGTGCAACCTATGGCTCAACTTAACTAACCGGTTAACCAGGTGATCTAACGAATGATTCGATTTTATCTGCTCTTGCAATTTTAAGCTGTTTCTCCACCCTTCCAATAGGATCATTGCAAATTGGCTGGATCATCATGTTTTATACTTTCAGGAACAGACTTTATTTTTGGTATAGCTGTGAGGATGCTGGATTTCTTTGTCTTTTTATTTTCTTTCCAGGATTTCTAAATAATTTCAAAATGTATCTGTAATGAACAATAAGGGCTATTTGTATGTCCCATTATTTCAGTTTTCTATGCTTTCCATAACAATCAAACAACCAAGTTGGTATTCTAACGTGGAGACTTTTTCTTTTCCCAGTTTGTTAATGTGGCTGTATTAGCTAATTACAGAAATTTGTGGGTATTAGGCAACCCTTTTCTTTTTCCTCATTATAGAATTTACATCTTCAAAGCTTAAGGCAAGGAGTAGTGCACATTTATGCTATTGAGGGATCTCTGACTGGGCTTCATTTAAATTCATGGTTCAATGACATGATTCATTAAACATTTATATGACTGACATGTGGTTAAGAAAAATGCCATTATCTGATGTTGACCCCCGCCATCCCCCAACCACACACCCCCCCCCCCCCCCCCCCCCCCCCGGGGCGCCCGAATATTGTCGGTCTGGACTAGAAGTTGAAGTGGTACAAACCTCCCGCGTTACATGTAAGGTTTTATATATCCCATTGACAAATATTTGTATCTCTTATAATATGTCAATTCCTAAGTTAGGCATTGAAATGTAAAATATCAGGGACTGTTTATAATATATGTCAATTCCTAATTTAGCATGTTTATCAGGGACTGTTTATGTGCATGCGTGCATACACCTAATCAACTACTTGAAGTGACACGATTTGTTTTCTTACTGATTCAACATGCTATTTGATCTGTATTGCAAAATAACAGCTTTGCTGTACTCACTTTTGATCATTTAATTTGCTTTGTGTAGGAGGGCGACACTTCTGCACAAGAGGAAATGCTTAACAAGCAGAGTAACAATGTGATCAGTAGAGGTGCCAGTAGAAATATCTACCAACTAATTTGGGGCAGTTGAGTATGTATATGTGCTATATTCTAAGATCAAAACATGGCCTTGCTGGTTGTGAACGTTTTTGTGGAGCAAGCAAACAGCCCTCTGCTTCATTTACTAATATTGTATGCATGTAGAGAGTTTGTATATAAAGAATGGTGATAAAGCATCCAATGACAATCTTTTTCGTGAATGGTTTACGAAATCTTTTCATTTTGATGTAGGGATGTTCAATCCAGTTTCTTCACATTAATTTACGTGTTATTTGATGCCAACGCATGCATGACTCTATGATGTTTGTCCTTTGAGAAAGAAGCAGCAGGTTTTCTGGTAACTTTTGGTTGGGTTTGCTTGGAAGTTTTTTTGTTGATTTGATAGAGACAGTTTACAATCAATAAATTTCTTAATTTCAATAAATAAGTGGAGATGATTGTGGATTTACCGGGAAAAGAAAAAGATGATTATGGGTATTTAGGTAAATTTGCAATCAAGTGCTCTAATAATTGGAGAAATACTCGAAATGTTTGAAAACGAGTTTTTCATATTTTCGTTTTGTACCTCAAATGTTTTAGAATTTATGAAGATGCCTCTACTAAAATTACAATTTGCCCCCACTAATTTTTTTTTTTTTTTTTTTTTCCATTTCATACTTTAATTTTTTGAGAATTTATGAAAATGTCTTCACTAAAATTACAATTTGTCCTTACTAAATTTTTCTTTTTGCATTTTATACTTTAAATTTTCAAAAATTTATGAAGAAAATTCTATTAAAATTACAAAAATGGACTCATTATATAAATTTGCCCCAACAAATTAAAAGGTCGTGTTCTCTCACGAAATTTCTGGGTCTGTCACTGGAGATGCCACTGATATATCGTGTATAACACACCTACCCTTCAATGGCTCTTGTATAAGATAGATGCTTGGAACTCTAAAGTCTAAACGTATACTATTACGTACTACCCCATGTAAGGTTTTCATAGAAAAAACAAGAACATGTTTGAAGATGTACAAACAACGCTGATAAATTTTTATAACCTATACACATGCTTATGAGTTATGATCATGAAATAATCTCTTGGTATACATGGTCACTTTGCATTTGCTTTATATAGTGAAACTATGATCTCTCTCTATATAAACACGTAAATTCTTCAGTTTTTGATGATGCGAAAGCTGTCTTCAACTTTTGTTGTATTTGCATTCACATACTGCAAAAATGAATGAAAATAAGTTAAGACTCTAATAAAATTGATTAAATGCCTTATAATAGATGTTAATTATCAACACATTAATGTTTTTCTTAATTGAGATAAAAATGGGGATTTGAATTTGTACATACTAACCTCTAGTGTCAAATCTTTTTTTGTTGCATGCACTCTTACATACCCAAATTCTGAAATCCTTTTTAAGCTCCAACTATCTCCCTGTACACAGATAAAAGAAACACATTTCATTAATTCAGAGCACGCACGCACACACGCATATATATATATATCTATTAAAAAAAAGAGTTAGCTCAGTGCATGAAACTAGCTCCCGCCACTGTGGAGGAATTAGTATATACACAGAAGCTATTTCTTGTTTTCAACCAGTAACTTTTAGGTCACTGTGACGTTTCCGATTTTTTTTGCCATTTTTTAATTTTTTGAAAATTTTGTTGCCGCAAAGGTATTTCTGTCATTTCACGTTTTGCGTACGGGATTGTGGTTGGGTCCAATTGCAATTGGTATATTTAAATTCATGTGAATTAAGTGGTATGTGCATGTAGTGCATTGTACATGTTATGTGGTGTAGAATTTTGTGACAAAAGAATGATGGAAAATCAAAACTTGAAGTGGAGGGACCCACCACTAATGCATTAGTGGTTTAGAGACCACTCCTCTCTCATTTTCTCTCTCCCCGTTTCTTCCTCTCTCTCCCTCATTTCCCTTCATTTTTCTTTTCTTTTGGAAGCCAAACTTTGGATCTTGATTTCTCTCTCATTACATGGTAGATTTAAGTGCCGTTTGAGGCAAAACGGAAAGCACGACGAACTCTACACGTGGGTACAAGCAATTTCAGTTTTTGTGCTCCCTAGAGACTTCGAAATTTGGACCCATTTTGAGGGTTTTTGCAATTCTAAGAGGTAGGGGTTTCTAATCCATGAGTTCTTGCCCCCTAGTGAATTAATCCTTGTTAATTGATGCTTAACATGCTTAATTGAGTTGATTACCTCTAATAATGATTTGGTTTTGTAAATGAGATTCATGTTTATGTGTATATGTAGTTTTGTGAGACAAACATGCTTAGATGTTGAATGGGAGCATGTTAAATTGTGTATTGTGTGAATCTTTCATGTATCATGGCATCATGAAAGCATATGATGGTTATGCATGCCATTGAGTATCAAAATGGGAAAGAAATTGTTTGATACAAAAAGGGGAACTTTTGGGGGAAACAAATTTTGATGAAAAATAGTTTGAGAAAATCCGGTCGCTGCGAAGTCACCAACGGGCCGGTAGGTTAATGTAACCTAGAGGGAATTAGGGAGATTGCCCTAACGTGGTTGAGCTATCTGGGGCCCATAATGACGCTACGGAGTCACCAAAGGTCAGGGACAGTAGCCAATCCTTCTCTTGGCGCTGCGGAGTCACCAAAGGGGGTTACATTAACAGTTTGAAATTGGTGGATTTGAATTGTTGAAAATGGGGAGCAACATTAACATGCACTGCATTTCATTGCTCCATATTGATTGTGTTGAGACTATATGTTATGTTGTATTTTCCTTACACAGTATGACCCCGATTCCTATTGTCCTATTCCTTGTTTGGGTTCACGGAGACACAAGATGCATGTCTTAGGTGCTACCTACTGAGCAATTTGCACACCCCATATATTTATATTATTTTTTTTTTTCAGGTCTTGGAAATGAACTGGTGGACAACAATCCACCTCAAGCTTGAAAGTTGTTAGAAGGTTGTTTGCTATTTTGTATTTTGACCATTATATATATATTCATAGTTGCGGAAATGTAATTAAGTTAGTATTCATGGCCTTGTAACTTAAGAACGAACTTATCTTTTGTTTGATGTAAATGAAACTAATGGAATTATGGTATATATATTTTCATGCAATTGTATCATGTAACGTTGTAAGACAGGAACTTTAAATCTCAACCATGTATTTTAGGACTGTAATTATGATAATTTAGATTAATTGGTGTGTGGATATTCCACCATGAGAGGAACTAAGTTAAGGCATGGTGAATGGATGAAAGGGATGTTAGAATGTATTATATGTTTATTGTGATGGGACAGGTTAAAAAATTCATTTAAACAGGTTGTGGTAGGCCCATTTTTTAGGGGAGGTTATGCCAATTTTTTTTTTAAATTTTGGCATCAGCTAGGGTCGTTATAGTTACAATAGAGCAAACATACTATTACACCTAGGCTCGCCCTCATATATATATACAGAGAGAGAGAGAGAGAGAGAGAGAGAGAGAGAGAGAAGGGGGGGGGGGGGGGGGGGGGGGGGGGGTGGAAAGTGGGGGATTCAGTCTACTTACACTATTGGAGGACTTGTCCAAGGTGAAGCCAGCCATTCCAATAATGGCATGAACCGGGGCAGCATAGTTGGTGCTGTCATACGTGTCAATCCCATTCCCATCTTTCTTTGGCATGCCCTTGCATTGGTTTTGATAAACAGCACAGGTTCTCTCATAGTTATGCACATGTCCAAAGAGAACCAGATCAACCTATATATATATAGTTTACATTTCCAATTATAAATATATATTCCAACAAAATAATAATAAAGGGCTGAGTTGATGAATGGTATAAAGTCAGAAGATATATATTATACCTTGTTTGCTAGTAGTAATGGCTCCACAGCTTCCACAAATTTCTCATCAACATTTGGAATAATGGCATTCCCTTTAGAAGATGTATACATGGGTCTGTGTCTGCAATTTACCATTTTTGTTATAAATATATATTATATTCATTTGTTCTTAATCATATATTAATGAAGTGGTATAATCTCCCAATTAGTTTAACCCTACATAAATTCAATTTACCCTGTAAAAATTATCCAAGGAGTTCTTGATCGATCGACGGAAGCCATGTCCTTGTTCATCCATTCATACTGTGAAGAAGAAAAATATATACAGATGCATGTAAGGTAGATATAATATATATGGTATATATTGTTTAATTTATATTACCTGTTCTGAATTTTGTGACCAATTATGCTCTGTTGAAATTACAGTGAAATGAACACTTCCTTGATCTACAGAGTACCATGGCTTGTCCTTTGCTGGGCTTGGCATTGGAAAATAAGTCTCATAAGGAACTCCACATTCTCCACCTGAGTCTGGTGTTATGTAAACTGATCCTGAATCTATGTAGTCCCTGAAATTTTCATGCACTTTCAGTCAATTTCACTTTAACTTGTTGCATTATAAATGTTTTATATTATACGTGTGAAATTACGGTATGCTTAATAAGTAAAAGGGTTAGTCCATTGTACGAGTCTTCCTATGAAGGAAATGTTTTCAGTTTTGAACCTGTGACTTCCACATCATAATGAAGTAATCTTATAACACCTTTGGTATGCTTAACAGGTACTCGATTGAAAATTTTCAAAAGAAAGTTCATCTAAAGTCTTAGAAGCGGAGAAAAATGCACATCAGGTGGAAACTTCTGTAACATGTGAAAGAATTACATATAAAATCACATATTAATGAATTATATGGCATTACTTTAGCCTATTTCTGCATAAAATGACACAATCTGCTCCATATGGTCGGTCAAGTCCATGCTACAACATTTTGCAAACATTACCTTATTTGAGTGGCATTAACAAATGACAAACAGAACATAATGAAACTATAATTTGTTTAGTAAGATTTGTTGGTTTATATGTTTATTGGTCACATATTATGGAAAAATATGGTGAAAAAAGATATATAAATATATATACCTCTCATGGTTGCCAATGGCTGTCATGTAGGAAAGTTGAGAAGCAACTGGGCTAATGAGGTGAAGGAAGAAGTCCCACTCTACCAGAAAGCCTGTGGCATAGCTTATGTCCCCGATGTGGAAGATGGAGTCCACGCTTCCTGATGCTACTTCGCCGGCCATGGCATTAATCACCGAGAGAGATCCTGGCTAAATGAGTCATAAAAATTGAAACGTGGTCGGAAAGTGACTTTGAATGTGAAAAGTCAATAATGCTCTTATTTTATTATAATATATTACTTGTGTTTTATATAAAGGAAGGGAAAAATTATCATTTTATAAAATTTGGATAATAGATCTGCTAAAAAGAAAAGGCGAAGAGTGTCGTTGATTACACTCGCCAAATCTCATAAGAGGTCAAACTAATAAACTTTGAACTCTTCCCTGCCCTTTTTCAAGGACAAAGTAGATTGCCATTTTTATTCATTTTGACCAAACCATTGATTTTTCTTAATGATCATGTTTGTTGTAGTTCTGAATTCAGCTTTACCTGAATGTAGTGTTCAGCAGAAGCATCGCGGGGCGCCTTGCCCATGTCGCCAAATGCAAGAAATTTGAGTTCATCTGATCCCCCAGCAGGAGGGGTTCGGAATTGGGTTTGATTACTCCAACCAGCTGAATCACTGAAATTTAAATATATAAACATAACGTCACTTAAATATTTTTTGGAAACTAAGAATATGTCGTGCTCTTGACACAGTAACAAATTGGTTCAGTTTTCTAAAAACGGATTTCAAGAATTCAAAAAAGAGAAGAGAGAAGAGTGTTTTAAGAGAATTATAAAAAACAGTTATTCAGATTTTCAGTTCTCATAAAACACGATACTGTTGTCATAAAACTAAACCAAACAGGCCCTAAATGTCCCTAAATGCTCTCTCATTATAATTTCTGATTTTTTTTTTTTTTTTGGCTCGAGAGGCTTAAAAGCAGAGGACCAATTTCAACACATTTCTGGTTTTTTTACTTTTGTTTTATGAATTAATTAAGATTGTTTAAGCAAAGAGGAAATGGTTTAATTACCTTCCATATCTGTAGGCAAATGCAGTTGAAGGCTGGAGTGCTGTCATCACTGCTGTATGAATGTAACCTGGGTCATGCCACCCAAAATCCTTTGCTGGACTTGGTAGAGCAGAACCTTTCGGTTTCCAAAAACCATTCAAAATGTAAGTACTCTCTCTCTATATATATATATATATATATATATTTCACTATTCTATTTTAGTATTTTCTTGAAATAATGTTTCTGTCGATAAAGAAACACATGTATGCACAGACAACAAAACAATAAATCATCAAGTCTTACTTTATGTGACATTCTACATAATTTATGTAAACTTTTGCTACAATTAAAGAAATATTAGTACTTTTTATTTTAGGACAAAAGAAAATCTGAAAATATGAAGAATCAATTAGTTAGGGGCTAAATAAGATTAGAAACTCACTGCACATATTGTCTGGTGAAAATGTAGTGACTTGTGATGTTTCTGATTTGCCATCCCCATATTGAACTTGTTGAGGCTCCTTATCCCCACTCACCCAAGTCAATCTCATCTGCAATCATCATCCATAAATATTGTTAATCTTTATATAATATAGTTTGAATAGGTTTTAATTGCTAACCCGGTCTAGTCCACTGATATGATTTGGATCCAAATTCAATCTGATGATCTAAATTAGATAGAAGGGAAAGATCCGTTTGATTGAAACCCAATTGACCATATCCGCCATGGATTCAGTTTTCTATTTAATTATGATTAAAAATATCTTAAATTATATAATTAATTTATACACATACTATGCATATTTATTAGGATTATTGGTTTTTTTTTTCTTTCGTGACAAATGACATACCCAATTATTTTGTATACTTGTGGTCCAAAATCATAACGGGCATTTGGTAATGTGTCTTGAAACCAATTATAAAGACTTGTAAAGAATGAAAGTGGTTTCTTACGGATGTTCCAGTTGAATCTGTGCTGGAGAGATGTCCGTACAATGGCTTCTTCGGATTAGCAAAATGAATAGGTTTTGTTCTTCTTAAAATGCAAGGTGCGTCGAAACCACCGGAGAAAAACACAAATTCAATGTCGGTTCTGATGTTAATAACATGAAATTTCAACGACCCACTGCAAGTGTGCACCATACAAACACCCCTTCTGTGTCTCTTGCATTCCTTCTGTTTGCATCTGAGATAGTCTGGATCATTGCTTAGAAACTGTGCCTGCAAATTTAGAGATATTATATATATATATACACACACACACACACAGAGGTTAGAATTTGTAAATACTATATATAAATTCATTTTAATGAAATTTTTTCAGATTAAAAAATCATGCATCCTTTTTGTATGTTAGAACCACATAATTTAGACCATTTAATCATTTCTTGTATGGTTGACATAAGCTATATTTTTTAGTTAGAAATTATAAAAACATTTATGACGGACCAACGGTATGTCAATGGCAAGTTGGGCCAGTGTCAAATTCTTACTTCACAAAGGGAGGTTAAGGGACAAGCTTCCATAGAGGCATGTGTATGTGAGACTACCAACTAAGAAAATAAAAAAATAAAAAACATTCATGACGGTGTGGGTCTCGCAGCAGAGTTTTAAACGTAGTGATACGATCAACCTACGTAGTTAAATAGATGCAAAAAAAAAAAAAAAAAAAAAAAAAACAAAACATTCATCACGGTGTGAGTCTAACAATAAAGTTTTAGTTTATATGTACGTAATTAAATAGATGAATTTTTATTTATTTGATAAAATAAAATTAATTAATGATATTGATGACATAATACTCTCCATGAGTTTTTTTATTTTATTTTTAAAAAATAGAAAAATAAATGAAAGGGGTTTGTTGTTGCTCTGCATGACAGGAAGTTGAGTGGCTTCATTTATTTATGTTGCTCATACTAGAAGGTTTCATGCGTGCAAGTAGTAGTTACTAGCTTCTTAGGAAAAAAACCTTCATGTTAAGTCCATTAGTTTATGAATAGTAGTTGCATGATCAAATCTTCCAATTTTTATTTTTTTTTATTGAACAAGAAACTTAAGCACTCAGTTTTATGCCTATATATATGAGTACTAAATAAGTGTATATATATATATATATATATATATATATATATATATATATATATATTTGTTTTCTTACAATAGTGCGCTTACCTTAACAGGGTAATGGCAAAGAAGAGGAAGATTACTTAGATCACCAGTCTGCTGATAGTAAAATCCATTAAATGGACAATACGTGACACTGCATGTTAACGAACAAAGAAAAAATAATCATACATGTTTATGACAAACTTTACATGGATATATATATATATATATATATATAAACTCAACTGCACTGCCAAAATATTCATGTTTGTGTGTGTGTGTGGTACTTTTCTTACTTGGAATAAGAAGGTGAGATCATAGCAACCCAATCTCTCTTTGTAGGAAGCAAAACTCCGCTTACAGTCACCGTGACATATTGTTCATCGGAAAGATCAGAATTTGAGCTGACATTGATTTGAAGATAAGGGTTTATGTTAGGACATTGACCCAACCTTCTTCTGTTTAGAACCCGAAACTCTGAGATCGCGGTGTAGTGATCATGGAATTCTTTCGTAGAATCGATATTAATGATCGGAGATGAAGAAGAAGATGAAGAACCAGAGAATAGTACAATGAAAGTGAAGAAAAATATGTAAATCCAATAGCAAATGGATGGTTCCATACGAGAAGAAAGAGAGAACATATCCGAAGAAAATGAAATTTTTGTTCAAGACAGAAACAAGATTTACTTATATATATACAATTACATATGTATACATTACTTGGAATATGAGACAAAAGAAGATCAATATATATATATTATATACACACACAAGAGAAACCAAAGATGGAAAATGGAAGGAAATTAAAATATGATTGAAGAATTAATTATGAAGAAGATTGTCAAAATTAACTAAAATCCAAAAGCTATAACGAAGAAGTTGCTAATACTTATATATGTGGATGTCTTTTAACTATAGAAGCTAGCATTTTAAAAATCTTAAACACGAACCATGTGCATAATGGACCATATGTACACGGTAAGGGGTTCGGGTTGTAATTTAATTATTATAAATAAAAATTTATATTATATGTGTGTAGCTAGCGGGAATGTTTTCGGAAAGATTGATGGAAGTGTGGGGAGTTTATGGGAGAGTTGAAGTGTGGACAAGATGGGTTTGGATCCAACTCTCACGGCATATACGTACTAAGACCAGGAGAGAGGCGAATATTACGTTGGGAAATTTTTGTTTGTTTGACTTACATTGTTGGTTCTGTTGATACTACTGAGGTTGATCATATATAACTGTCCCTTTTTTGTCTTTTCTCTCTTTTTCCATTAAATTATATATGATCCACTGTGCCCCTTATTCTTTGGCTTGTTTTTTCTACCTGATTTCGTATTTATAGCCGAATATATATATATATATATATAGACAGAGAGAGAGAGAAAGGAAAATATATATAAAGATCATAGCGGTGGGGAAAAAAAAATTTCAGTGTCCCATAATTCAGGAAATCTCAAAAAGAAATTAACAATCCCTAATTAATGAAAAGTATATAGAAAAGAAAATATATAATGTAAGCTTTATGTATTCTAAATTTTTAATAGAAACGTGAAGCATATATTTCAAGTGTTCAGAAAAGCATGTTGCTTCAATTTCAATTTGTTTCGCTTTCATTGGCAATTTAACATTTAGGGGAAAGAGTGTATTTAAAGGTACGACTAGGAATACATTGAAATACATAACCATAAAGCATGATTATAGAGAATTAAAATATATTGCACGATTAATTTAATCGCTGTCATTCTTTCTATGGACATTGGACAGAAATTGTATATATACACAAATATACTTTTATCCATATGTTCACGCTACAAGCACACAACAACATTCTTATACAATTATTTACTTTTACCACCTAAAAAAAAAAAAAATTCAAGACTCTTTATACAAATCATGCATGAGAATAGTCATTGAAACAGTCAAATTTATAATTATAAATTATGTTACATGAACTTGGGTACGGGTGTTGGATGCGAGTAACAGAGCATGTATTTATGGGTGTCAAATCTTCAAATAGAAGGACACACGAACACAATTATATATTCATTTTATTAATTATTTTATTTTATTTTTTAAAGTAAAGTAATATTTTTATTTAATATACAATTGAATATATGCATTTAACTCATTTTAAAGTAATAATATAATGTAATTGAATAATTGGATATGCTTTTTAAGTGTATGTCCAACTAAAAGTGTCGGACACATATCTCAAACCTATATCCGAAGGATATGTGTCCGACACTAATATTTCACTACTTCTATTTTTGAAGAGTCCATATAACAAAAATTATATATCTAAATACGAGTATAACATTGAAGATATAAATACCCTAGAAACGAAACAGTTGAAACATAATTAAATCATGCGAATTCGTATGACTGCTTTTCCTTCCAACTACAAAGAAAAAGTTCACATGGCATATTCCTCCTATTTGGTTCATCACATGTACATTCACATGAACATTAATAGAACGGCCTACTCTGTGGACCAATTTCCACGGAAAACTCAATTGAGTGAACTATATATATGGTTCGAACCAATACCTAATTATATATGAATTAAATGTGTGTGATATATATACCTATACATACATATATATATATATATATATATACACACACACAAATACATTTGAATGTAAAGTTGGACATATTGTTGATCTTAGGTCATAAGTAATGTAGTGAAGAATTTCTTTCCTTCACGCAAAAAAAAGGTAAAGATATGCTGACACAATAAGCATGGGTTACTCTTATTTGTTCCTCACTGATAAGAGTGAGCTCAAACAAGACCATATGCAATGTAGACGAAGTCATGGTAGGGTTGGTCCAGTTAATGTGTAGAGGTGGTGATTGTGCTCAATATTGTTAGGTTTCTAAATTAGGTCCTTATCACCACACTTTTGACCACTTCAATACAGTTTAATTAGGTCAGACAATTACGCTTATTTATTCATCTGAATTTACGACTCATCTCTTAAAACTCATTAATCACTAAAGACCACTGTGTCGAGTTGTCTATAGTGATATTACCTCCATTTTCAGTTTGATTATGATTTCTAAGCCGTTATCTCATAACGGTCTCTTCGATTGGTTTGGGCCTTGTGTTGGTCGGTTTTTGTTTGAGTTGGCCCAAACTCTATTGTGCTTAGTTATTGGGCCCTGTGGTTTTTACCGGTGTTGGGCTTTGGCCTATGCTTGTCTAAACATGTTTGGCAAGTCCAGTTCCTTAGCCTGTTCTTTGTAAATATTTTTGTTTATACATTTTGCTTAAATTTCTGGGGAAAAAAAATGTGAGAATAATTTTTACAATGAAAAATTGCTATAAAAAGAAAAATAAAAAGCAGAGTGTCTTTTTACAAAATTCTATATTTCTCCGATTATCTTTAATAGACAACAAATAAACAACTGGACCAGTTAGTATAACTATCCAAGATTAGTGAAGAATTCTAGTTTCACAGTGAACATTTATGAATGTGTATAAATATTTACCTAACCAATAAAAACACACGCACAACAAAATTCACAATGGTTCATATGAATTTTCAATCAATTGCAAAATTCAATTGAGTTCGAATTTACCGTTGTTTTTGCTCAGTATTCAATGGTGGAAAAGCTGAACTGTTTTGAGGTAATTTTGTACCTCTCTCTCACTCACTCTGTTTCTTATGATTAATTCCTAATTTTTGTAGTTTCAAAAAATAATAATTCATACCCATTTGAGACATGACAACATGTAACTGTTTAGCAAATCCTGAGAATTAATCACAGAGCTTCCACTAAGCATTTTTACATTGAGTACAAAAGATGACACTCATCACCAAAAAGTTAAATAAAATCTCAAAATATAAGATTAATTTAGGAGAGCAAGTTACATAGTAAAACACATATGCTATGTTTTGTGGTACCGAATGAATAAAATGAAAAAAATGTAATACGAACTAAATTCCTTTCGATTTCAAATGCAAGTGACAGATTTGTTGCTACCAAATATAACAATAAATTTTTTAATCATGCATCACAACCACATTATATTCAACAACAGCATTTCCAGTATCCAGATTAAAATGAACCGTCTTTGCCAATGCATAGCCACGAGCAAACCGGAAAAGCCCAGTTCCTCCGACGATCGGCATTTCCCTCACCGTGTCATAAACCATGTTCCGGCCAAGAATGCTAAGTCCACTCCCATTGAACTTACCTTCCAAAAATGCAAAATTCATGACCACGAGCAACCCTGCATCATGCTGGGAAGCCAGAGCATACATTCCCTGAGCTCGTCCCACGAGCTTGGAACCGTGTTCGAGGCCTTCAGTCAGCGGATCGTCCATGATCAATGTGGCGCCAAAGGCGTTTTTGCGTCCGGCAATTCTCGTAGCAGTTGGGTTTTTGCCGGTGACAGTGTCATGGAAGTAGAAATGGAGGTGTGTCATTTTGCTGACATGGTCATTTCTCGTCTTGGTTTCGAGGTATTGCTCTGAGAATGTTCCGTCAATGGTGATGAAGGAGGTTGGGATGAGGATGAGGTACAAGGAGAAGAGAGTGTAAGATTGAAAAGAAGCCATTTTGAGGTAGGTCTCAGGTATGTTTGTGAGTGATAGAACCATAGAAGTGGCTATATATAGATAGCCAAAGGAGAAGCTATGATGTAATTTTGTATGTGGAGTTTAATTTTGGAGGGAATTACACTCAAAGGGGAAAATGTGGAAATGGAAAACAAATCATTTCCCTGGTCAGGAAGGAGGGACGGAGTCAGAAAATTGCAAGGGGTAATAGTGTAATTTTTTAATAATTTTAATGGATGTAAATTAATAAGGTATATTATTAAAAAAAATATTTAAGTGGGGGCAATTGTCACCGCTGACCATTGAATGGCTCCGTCCCTGTTCCGAAGGTTTCTCGTGCAAACAAGAAATGGAATATATATGTACAAAAATTAGAAAAATCATTTCTATGCTGCTTGGTTCAGTTTTTTAAAAATGAAAAATTAGAAAAATGTACAAAAGTCTGTTTGGTTGACGGTTTATGAGAACTTTTTGCCAAGAAAAAAAAAGAAAAAAAAAAATGTTATCATCCTTCCTATATCTGCATAACCTTTGTTTATGGCATGCAAATTTTTTCATGAGAACTCCATTTTTTTAGTTCAAGTACACATTCATGTGATTATAATGAGCTCTAGCACAGTCTATCTTCCATAAACTCACTGCAATAATTCAACTCTGATTGCCTTAATTTACAAATTAACCACGTGTTAATTAAAGATGAATATAAAATTAGCCACATGTATCCAAATCTACTGATTTCAAATTGGATTAGTGAATTAATTACAGTGACATATATATATAATGAAGTGGCCACATTTGGGCCTCAATGAATCATACATTGTCATCTTTTGCCAATCTGAATGGTTTGATTAAACAAGTGAAACCCTAATTGAAATTTTCATCAAACACTATGGCCTTCGAAATTGGCATCTGCTCTAATGATTCAACATGCAGTCATAATGGTAAAAAGTCTTGAAAAATGCTTTGCTTGTACAACAAAAAAGCTTTTGCAGCTTTTTCCTTTACCTGCAGATCTAAACTTGGCCTTTGAAATTGACATATTTTCTTTCTATTTTTTATTTAGAATGTAAAAAAATACCACAAGACTATCATTGTTGATCGTATTATATGTACTTACAAATATCTTGAAAAATGTTCTTTCTAAACTTGCAAATCTAAACTTGGCCTTTGAAATTGACATATTTTCTTTCTATTTTTTATTTAGAAGGTAAAAAAGTACCACAAGACTATCATCGTATTTGGTTGAACGTGTTATATGTAGTTACAGATATCTTGAAAGACTCAAAGAAAACCCTATAATACCATGCCATCATTTGTGTCACTAGAGGTGGCATGCACCATACACACTGATTTGTCTATGAGATGGCATGCGCACTGAGAAAAGAGAGACCAGAGTGAAGAAGATGACTCCAAAAATCTTAGCTTGCTTCACATGATGTTGTAGATTTGAATGCCTTTCATCTAATTGTATCAATTATCTCTTTTAATTAGACTCTTATCCAACCATGTAAGCTTTCACGTTATTACGAATCAGCATTAGTTCTGATAATACGGTCTTTCTTTCTGAAACGAAAGATTAAGTGTAGGGGACAATAGTGCATGAACAACTTGGACGAATTAAGATGATTAACCCACATTCATACAATTTTTTGAATTATTTATATAATTAAAACAGAAGTAGCAGTAATGTTTTAGAACCACTTGGACGAATTACTTGTACACTGCACCAAATAAAGACATGCAAAGCTGGACTCAATTAAATCATTCCAGATTTTGGGTCTTTTTTATTTTTTCACGTCTATGTGGAGACTCGAACCCTAAACTCCTTTTTAAAAATAAAAGTCTGATACTGCTAAGCCACTTATCTCATTTTGGTACATCTCCAACTACACTCGACCGATTAACTTATTTACACATAAACAACAAAAATACCATGTAGCCAATATTCCTTCTCATATTCTAAAAATTCTCTTCATGTGTATTACCAATCCATTCATTATTATACATATTGCATCTTTTTTACTTATTTTTTCATGTTTTTGGTATGTTATTAATTGTCATGATTTCTATTATAATTTTCATATAAATTATAGCAATCTACTACTAATCACTTAATTTACATTTTTCAATCTTTATTTTCACTTCTATCAATCCTGCTTATCAAACCAAAAATTCATCACAACCATTTTTCATTTACACAAGGGTAGTTTCTTCCACAATGTTATACAGAGTCATAATACTAAGCTATTCTCTATATCTGATTAAGAACATACGAAAATTTATTAGCTCTACTTGGTCATAATTTATTGTACATGTTACATTGGCCAAACTGCGAAACAAAACAAAGCAAAAAAAATGCATAATCAACTACAATAATTTTAAGATCAACCTGACCATCAAACTTGACCCTAACAATACTAGCAAAATCATACAAGTTTCAATAGTGCATCACATACACATTGTACTCAACAGTGGCATCTCCAGTCTTGTAATCAAGCCAAATTGTGTGCGCCAATGCATAGCCCCGGGCATACCGGAAAAGCCCACAGCCTCCAACAATTGGCATTTCTCTAACATCATTAAGCACAGGGTTCCTCCCAAGGATGCTAATGCCGCTTCCATTATACTTGCCCTCTTCAAACACATAATTCATAACCAAAAGTAGCGAAAATTCACTTTGCGACGCAACAGCGTAGATTCCTTGAGCTCTTCCAATGTGTTTCGATGTCAGATCAGGCCCTTCAGTCAGAGCATCGTCAGCCATCATAGTACTACCAAACCCTGTGGTACTGTTGGGCGCGGTAACAATTTGCACAGCGGATGGGTGTTTTCCACTCAGAATATCATGGAAATAAAAATGGAGGTGGGAAGTTTTTTCAATGCGTTTTATCGCTATGGCTTCAGAGACTTCCTCAGAGAAAGCTGCATCGGTGTTGCTGATCAAGGTTGAGAAGAATGTGAAGTAGAAGGTGAAGAGTGTGTGTATGAGAAAACAAGCCATTTTGGGCACAGTTTCAAGTGTATGTGACTAGTAATTGATGTTGGACATGCATTTATAATGGTTTGATGTGTTCTAACTTAACCTTTTGTGTGTGTGACATGAGCATTTTGAGGGGTAGAATCATTGCTTTGTACTATTTCCGTTCTTACAGTATTGCATTATACGTTTTGAAAAGCTTGCTTTCTTTTGAAGATGAAGTAAAGATTATGCTTCCACTACCATGGAATTACTTTTATGTCATTTGGATATCATGGATGGTTGTTAAGTAATTCAACAACATTAATTGATGCACTATTGAATAGTTAGTTTTTTTCTATAGTGGAACAACTTCATAATTTGTCCTAAACAATCTTTTGATTGAGAATCAGGAAAAGGAAAGGAAAAAAAATTAAAAAATTTACAGTTTGTTGTTAGAGAAATTTTTTTCCAATGGAAGGAGGGGCTGGTACAGAGGTTTAAAAGCAAAGTTGCAACCTATGGATAATTTAGTCATTTCAATTAAATAGGACTCATTTGAAGGTTTTTATTTTTTTAATTTATGTTTGATTCTAGAATTTTAAAATTTCTCTGTAGAGGTCAGCTTTGTCTATGTTCTCATTTTCTTTTTCTTCTCTCTCTCTCTTTTTCTATTTTATTTTTTTAAAGGGTATATACATACATATTAACAATGGCAGAAGACTACCATACATTCATCAAGGGGCATACCCTAGCAAAAATTAAGCTCCAAAGAACCCCAGTACCACCATTCCAAGGTAAAGACTAATATACCCAACACCCCAAAATATAAACAGGACTGTACATGGGAGTGAAATAATAGGAACATCTGGGATATACAGAAAGAGCCCAGCAGTGATGATTCATAAAAGAAAGCACAAAAAAATAATCATACCAGTAATCCTTCCAGTAGCTAATATGGGAGGCCAAATCACTGCAACTCAATGGTAGACCACCACAGCAAGTAGAGGCTGTTAAGCACCAAAGAAGGAACAGCATGATAGTATCCAAATCATAACCCACAACCATTAAAACAAAAAACCAAAAAGTGTTTTAGATGACCATGAGGATTGAGATTACAGCAACAATTCACACCAAACCACATGTATAATGTAGATGTAAAATTGCACTGCCATCCTGCATTTTGACTTGCAAAACATTAAGAAAACAGTAAAAGAAGAAGCCCAATCCAAACCATTCATCACTGTGCTTACCCTCAAAATTACCTCTGCAGACAAACTCAGCCTCATCACAAACAAGCAAATTAAGAGTAACACCTCTGTTTCTCTGAAGGTCTCTATTTTTCATCAGAGAAGAATGACCTCCCACATCTAAGGGTATACACATCTGTAGAGGTTAATTGATAACCATCAAAGGCTGAAAATTAAAAACTCCAATTTGTCTGTCCACTAAATGCTTTTATGCATTATTTACCAACTTAAAACAATTCACTTGAACATATCTAAATTTGAAGTTAGAGAAATATGACTTTTGACCTATCCTTCAATAACCTGAGTGGAACTGTTCGGACTAAAAAAAAAAAAAAAATCCTAAATTGATGGACAAACAGCCCCTACTTTTTCTTTTTTATATTTTATATTAGTCATCCTAAGAAATTTGTCTCATATTGTCATCATTTTTTTTCCCAGACATATATTGTCATCATTGAATGATCCCGCTTTCTAAGATAAATTAATTTCTCATCAACCTTCCCACACACAAGAAAATTTAATTCAATTGTTTGTGCATATGAATTCTATCGTCTTTTTAATGCAAGTTGGGGAGTGTACTCTAGTACTAAATTGATGCAGAATGAGAGAGAAGAGAAAAAGATGGAAGAAATAGGAGAAAGAAAATATCTGTAATCAATAGTCAATAATCATCAAAAGTGTCTACCCAATGTCACAAATCACATATATATAAGCATCAAAATAGAACCCTAAATAAGACATATGCCTAAAATATAAAATAAATTCCAAAATAAAATATTAATTAAATCCTAAAATCATCTCTAAGACTACGCACCATGTGGCTCATCAGGATCTCCATAGAGGCTGTAGGGAAAGACCTCATCTAGTGCTTTGAGATCAAAGTTTTGTGAATGGTCCAAAGAACATCATATCATGAACCTATCAAAATGGCTGGCACTTTTCGCATTTGGTGAGATTTCTTGTCATCACCATTCAGGTGGCAGCTGAAAATCAACTAGATCGGTTCACACCAGTCATCAGGCTGCTCTAGATTATGCTTCCGCTTAATGCACTCTTGACTTTTGGGTGGTCAGCCACGCGCACTTAGCACTAGGTTCCGGAACTGATGTACTAGCCTTTGGTAGTCAACCCAGTGCTTTTTGATGAATTAGAGTTTATATCTGATGCACTCTTGAGTATTTCCATCGCCGGCAGAATTTTGCCAGTACCATTCACCTGGTTTGGAAGTGGTCCCAGGGCTTGAGCTTCACAATTAGGTAACCTTAAAAGGCCACTATGATTGGGATTTGCTCCGTACTTGAAACTCTTCACGGTCACCATCTACCAAATAGCAACTCAGGTTGAGAAGTAGTACTTGTAGCAAAACAGATCAAGTGAAAATTTGTTGGAGAAATTAGACCAATTTTGAGCATCTTATAAATCAACTGATTCTAGGTTTTACATATAATTCTTAGAAGTTCAATAATCAAAGTAATTTCTACAAAGATAATTTGTTAATGATATATAACAAATCCAGATATTATAATTGGAGTAAATGAAAAGATGAACATGGAGAGGAAAGAAGCTTACCAGGAAAAATGCAATAGCAAACTCTTCCATAGAGTTTTCAAGCTTCGTCTTAAACAAAGATAATTGTAAGAGGACAGCCACTTCTGCTATCAGCTCTGACTTTCTCCTTTTCCTACATGAGTGTGTTTCAATTTTCCATCTGTGAATGACCTTTTGCTTCAGAGATCATATTGTAGACATGAGGTGGTGGCTTTAAACCTGAGTCTGTCATTTCATAAAGTAGAATTTCAGCCTCTTTCCACTTCCCATCCTTACAAAGAACCCCGATCGTCAAATTGTAGCTAGCCACATTTGGTACCATCCCACTGTCACTCATTTCTTTTAGCAGCCTCAGGGCCCTATAGGAGCTACCCTCTTTGCAGTACCCATAAATCAACGTATTATAAATCACATCATTTGGCTGCAAATGCTTCTCACCCATCAATTTAAACAGCTTTGATGCTTCCTTCATATTACCTTTAATGCACAACCCATGTAGTAGGACACCATATGTGTAAACATCAGCCATCAAACCAGCCTTCTCCATGGAGGAATACATTTGAAAAGCTCTCTCCATGTCATCTGAACGAGCAAAGGCATCAATCAGAATTGTATATGTCACTTTGGAAGGAAAAATGCCCCTTTCCTCCATCTCTCGGACCAAGTTTTTGACTCGTGCCGGGTTGCCAGCTCTAGAGAAACCTGCAATTAGAGCATTATAGGTAACCAAAGACGGAGACAAACCATTTGACTTCATCTGATTAAACAAAATTGAAGCCTTGTCCAACTTCCCAACATCACAGAAGCCGTCTATCATAGTGTTATAAGTGATTAAATTTGAACTCAGTCCACCCCTCTTCATCTGACTCACCAGTTTCTCAGCCTCCGAGACCCTCCGCTCGTTACACAGCCCACCAATTAAAGTGTTATACACAACAACGTTACATGCCACTCCTCTCACACGCATTTCATCGAGCAGTTCGAAAGCTTTACTCATTTTGCCATCATTACAGTACTCATTAATCATACAACTGTAAGTATATATATTAGGCAACACTCCATCAACCTTCATCTTCTCATACAGCTCAAACCCATCTTCCTTGCGGCCTTTCTTGAAATACCCATTGATCAACACTGTGTAAGTAAACTGATTAGCAACCAAACCCAACTCCCCCATCTTACAAAACAGCTCTTTTGCCCGTTCAATATCCCCATTCTTACAACACCCATCAATCAAAGTAGTGTATATAACAACATTTGGCGACCAACCCATCTCCTCCAATTGAGCTAAAAGCTCAAAACCTTTATTCAAATCACTATTCTCACAACAACCCTTGATCATTATGCCAAAACTATACACATCCAGTGAACCCCCACCTTTCATTTCTTCGAAAACCCGTAAAGCTTTTTCAAAACAATCGGAGTTAATAAGGGAAAGTAGAAGATTATTGAAAGTGTTCGACGATGGTATGAGGCATTTATTGGTCATTTGATTGAAATAGAAAAGGGCTTGTTCTGGTGACTGAGATTGAATGTAGGCATTGATGATGGCTTCATAGAGAAGTGTATTGAATTGGGGATCGGAACTGAAATGGGTGTGTGTCAAATGGTGTAGGAGAGAGGAGAGTGTGAAGGATGAGGAGGAAATTCGACCGGAGAGTAAGCGGAGGATGAGAGACTGGGCATGTGAGAGCATGTTGGAGGAGAGGAGGAGGTGGACGACGGTGGATATGGATTGGTGGGTGTGTTGGAGGCCTTGGATGGTTGAGGAATTGAAGAGTGAGAGAGCTCTGAGTGGTGGGCTTTTCACCAATTTTGGGATGAGAATGAGAGAATGGTGGGTAGACATGTTTGGGTTCTTCCTCAATTGCCTGCCGTGATTTGCATTCTGGCTATATAGGTTCCGGTTTGTTGTAAACTTGTAATTGCTCTCCAATGGAAAAACTTCAGTCAAGTTCTAATAGAAATTTGAAGTCAAAATCATGCAAGTGAAAACTATTTATTTGTAATTATGATGAAAGTTTTATTTTTTAAAAATTGAAAATACTGAAAAGAGAAAATTGCATTAAAAAAAATATATATGTTTAAACTCAGTTTAGTTCAATTTTTTGAAAACATGAAACCATGGTAAATTATATTAAGAGTTGGACACCCAACCATACACACTCCAGACTCATTCTTATTAATATATTTACCACTCGTTTTTTACCTGAATGTTCTCATTACAATCTAATTATTCTATCTACTCGGATGGCGGTCTGGAACACCTCTAAATCAAGCGGCCGAAACATTATATCGGATTAAGAAATAAGTCGACTATGATACTAATCATAACAAGCAGGATTCAAAAACTTAAGTTATTGAATAGTGTATTCATAAGCCATTTATATATGCTCAATATTCTTTCTATAACAGAAAGCTTATATAAAATTAACCCATTGAATATGAGATAATATAAATTTTCTAAAATTTAAGGTGTTTTATGCAATCAATTTATAATATATCATATCTTCAAAATTTCCGGGCAAAGGATCATTAATTTGTTAATGGTAACCACAAAAACACCATCACATGTGTTAAAATGTTGAGGGAGATATGGTGGATAAAACTGAAAAATAAGTGCCTAAAATTTTAGGAGTTAATTTTAAGTATTGAAATTTTAAGTGGTAATAAAAAATATATATATTTTTTGAAATCTTTTTAAAATTTGTAAGTGTCATTTAAAATTTTATCCTATTTTAAATAGTATTTATCATTTTTAGTGATATCTAACTTGCATTATTAAAAACACTTAGTTTGAATAAGTACTTCATTCATTCGTAAATAAGGCTCTGAATTGGGTTTCAAATACCACCTATATAGTCGAATAAAATGTTCTCGCACACCTAAAGCCAATAGTTCTTTTTCATTTTATTTTTTTTTTTCTTTGAAAGGGCTTTAAACATAATTATCTTTTAAATGAGGTATCACGTGCGATTTTAAAAAGGTTTAGAAGTGATTATCTTTTGATGAAATTAAAAATAATAATAATAATAATAATAATAATAGTTTAATTTTTAAGTGGTTCCAATTCCAATTAAGCTACAATTTCATGCCCCGAGTTTCCAAAAAGGTGAATAAACAGTTGGAAGTAGTTTCCAAATAAGCGAGACCTGAAAAGACCGATAAATACGTGAGAAATGGTAACTTTGGTAAGTTGATTAATCGTGTGGGTGGTTAACTTTCAAATCCTAACAATTTTTTCTTTCAAATCCTAACAATTTTTTTTCCGTATTTCTTAACGCTCTAAAATTTGTGCTCATATCCAAGCAAATCCCATTTCTTTTAAAATTACACCCATTCTAAACCTCTAAAATCTTTTTCCAAATTCACCACAGCGAGAGAGAGAATAAAAGAAGAAAATTTGTGGAAGAAGTACTGAACTCTACCTATTCTTCAGGTATTCTTCCCCGTTTTAAGTCTTAGAATTAGGGTTTTTCTTCCCTATAGTTAATTTATGGTCAAGTTTGTCTATCTGCTCTCTATTTTATGTTTAATCCGTCTTTATTATTTTGTGTTGTTGGAGAAATCCTGATTGTGAATTTGCATTCCTTATAAATACAGAACTCTGTATTGTTCTTCTCTCTTACCTTTTTTTTTTTTTTTTTGGAAATTTTTGGGTAAAAAAACTCGTACAAAAATTTATGTAATTCTGGGTGTTTGTTGTGACAGTGTCTGAATCATTGTGGAAATTCCAAAATTGTGTTATTAAAACATTTTTCCGGGAAAAAAATTCTTTTTCGGGTGTTTGGTTGCATACCAGAATAGTAAAACATATTACTTCATTAGTCCAGAAACGACCTACGGACCTTAGGTAGAGGGGTCTTCTTTTACCTGTGACACCGGTGACAACTGTCTAATGTCAGAGAGTTGCGATTATTCCGGCGGCCATTTTAAAGGCCAATGTCGTTGTTGTCAGTCTTTGCAACCTATTTGTTCTCATTTGGAACTGTAAGTGGGCCTCCTCCATTAATTGTCTACTAAATGTTTGATAAAATCTCTCACCAAGTAACCTTCATGAACTTGACTTTTCCTGTATATAGTGCAGAAATTGGAGCCCTGGCTAGGGATTTTTTGGGCTAGAATTGAAGGTTATAAATATATGATATCGTGAATGGCTCCAATTCTATAAGCCAATAATTACCCTTGCTTCTTGGTTTTGAGTTGAAGCTTTGTAAGGAAGCTGATTAATTATTTGCCATTTTTTCAGTGCCCTCGGGAATGATGGTTTATATGGCATTCTTGGTGTGGTCAATTTTAAATTCTATTTATTTTGAATTTTGAGATTTTCTCTAAATGAAAACTTTGGTAGTTATAAATTTTGAGTTTTGGATAACTGAAAATATTTTTTAAAAAATGTTTTCTGGAGCCAAACATCAGAAAATGAGAAGAAAATCAATTTTCTAGTGTAAAAAAATTTACGTGGAAATTATTTTCAGATGAAAACATTTATGTTGAAACAAAGGAGCCTTAAATTTCTTCCACCCTGCAACCGTTTCATCTCTCTGTAGTTTTTAACCTAATGTACCCACCCTTGTAACTGCAAGCTTAAACTCTGCATACCAACTATTTTTTATCAATATATGTTATCAAATAAGATGAAAATTAGCAACAAGGTCATACTCATAAACACTATATAACTCCCTGTTTATCTCTACTTCTTTGTTGTGACAATGCTTGATTCCTTGAATGATGAATTGGACTTCTTTGTGTTATGTTTTTTACTTCTCTAATTATAATCAAATCAGTAATATTGCAGATAATTTATAAAAAATATTGACAGTTTACATATAAAAATATATTATATTATCATTTTGTTACAATATTCTTGTTGTGTCTTTGTCCTAATTTTTTATAGATTTGTTGTACTGTGTATCTGTGCCTGTATCCATGTTTCCTGGGTGGCATCATTTAATGATTCTTTTTCTTGGTAAGGGCATTTTTTTTTTTTCTTTGTAAGTATTGGTAAGGGCATTTTTTTTTTCTTTGCAAATTTATCTTCCCTACTGGAGCAAAAATAGGAAGACCTTACAGGATAAAGGCAAGAATGATGATGACAATGATATGGCCTAGTGATGAAAAAAGTAGCAAGCACTCATGTTAAGTTTATTACGTAAGAATTAGTTGCTTGATATCATGCCAGTTGAAATTTTCTTCTTTCTGACATGTCTATCTGATATTGATGGTACAAATCCATTGACATTATCTCAGAGTTGTTATGATTATTTTTATTAATTACTCGGTACACAGATGGACCACAGTCTTGCTAATGAGCTCTACTCGGAAAGTTTGCAGCTATCAAATGTTGAATTGGGTTCAACATCAACTGCCAACACTAAGCAGTTTGATTCACACGGTATAAATTTCAGTCTAAACTATTTATGTTAGTAAGCACTGCATTCATATAAATTTCAGTATAGGATATTCTGATGGCATGTTCCAGTTCCCTTTTTTCAGATGAAAGATACTAAGGGGTAAGATGATTTTTTTCCGGTGTAGCCTTTCTCCTCTTGTCAAAAACCATAGCAAGTTAGTTGTTACCTGTGAGCAATTAGTGTTGACGGGTGAAGAATTTCTATTTGTTTAGATGGAAAATTCCTCACACTTGGTGCAGCCTCGACAGATTATAACAGCCAATTAAACAAAATGCAGGTTAGAGTACATGACTAGGAGAGAGAGAGAGAGAGAGTATTTGAAGATCCCAAGTAGACTGGACTAGGGTGGAAGTCAAGGCTGATGTGTGTGTGTGTGTGTGTGTGTGTGTGAGAGAGAGAGAGAGAGAGAGTAGAAGCTGTTATAGACTCTGGGGTTCAAGGATTTACCTCAGATCAAGCCAAGTCTAACAATCTAATTCAGAGGTCTAGAATTCTAGAGTCTGGTTTCAAAGATCTTTGAATTTAAGATGAAGTTCAGTTAAGGCAAGGGGTCCTTGAGATCAGGTGATATGTGAAGGGACCTCGAGGTTAAGGTCTTCTATGTAAGTATGTTGATGTCACCTGAGGACTTGTACTTGAAGTTAAGTAAAAGGTGTGCCGGTTTACTTTAGAGGTCAAAGTGAGCTTGGTAGGTTTTAGATGTCAAGATATGGGGTTTAATGGTTAAGATATAGGCTCTTGGGTTTTGGAGGTCAGGGTTTGGGTCTGAAGACTTGAATCTAGCTTTCAATGCTCGTACCTAGACTTCAAGGCCTCTATCTCTACACTCTTTTGAGCCTATCCAAAGTAATAGAAGCTTTTGCAAAGACGAGAGTAAGCCAGTAAGTTGGTGTTCATGCCCCCATGGGAGTCCAGTCAGTTGTACCCTGTGCCTATGTGGTGGTCCAATTATGTAGCGGGTCCAGTCAAGTGGTGCCATTTGTCCAGTCGATTGTACCTTGTGATTATGTGGTGGTCCAATTATGTGCTTCAACATGGTTGTCCCGTCAAATGGTGCCATGTGTCTAGTCGGTTGTACCTCGTGCCTATGTGGTGGTCCAATTTTGTGTTTCAACATGGGTGTCCAATTAAGGGATGCTATGTGCAGATTGAGGACTAACGCCGTGTGCCATCTCCTCTAACATTGTCCAATTGGGTGATAAGACTATGTTGTATGCTGGCATTAAATTGGCTAGGCCTCCCTTGCAAGCTTCTAACAGTCCAGTTGGGCGTCCTAACGTCATAAAAGGCATACTGATCCTTTAATCACATGATATATCCTCTTTTAAGTCCAGTCCACTTGCACCATACCTTAAAACGAGGTCACTTCGATGAGACCTAGTCTTCAACCTCCAAACTAACTACCCCTAGGATTCCAATGGTTTGAGGCATATCCAAGACAGAGATGGGCCAGCCGCATGGCTTTGTGCTGAGGCATACTTGTGTACCTTGAGGTGGACAATGGACCAGTTGTGTATTGAACAGTATACATCTCCTTGAGTTGCTTTTGACTTAGGTTGTGTACAATAGACATTAGGATGCCCTTTTAGTATCACGGGCTAGTCCTTTCTGTAGGATAAAGTTTCTTGCAATAATTTTATAATCAGGTGGGTCTACTGGGGATATTGTGCACTTGTAGAAAACCATAAGGGCTGTTTGCAGCTAGGGATGTCAATTTAACCCGCCCTGTCCCGTCCCACCCCTAATGGGAAGTGTTTGGGATTATCCTAATCGGATTAGGGGCAGGTTTGGGAAAATAGTTTAAAACCTGCAAAGCCCCGAACCCGCCCCGATTAATAATTATTATATAAATAAATATTATTTTATTAGCTATAATTTTTTCCCCTTTATTTTTAATGATAATTTTAAATTTTAACAATATTTTTGTTGTTATTATTGTTAAAATATTCGACTATATTATAAAAAATTTACACAATTTATCTTAAATTTATTCAAGTTTGAATTATTTTTCTTACAAAATATGCATAGCGGGGCGCCCCAACCCCGCCCCGACCCCGATGTGAGGTGCCCTGAATCGGGTTTGGGAAAAGATTTTCATTGGTGGGACGGGTTTGGGAAGGGGTGCCCCGTCCCGAACCCACCCCGTTGACATCCCTATTTGCAGCCAGGGCGTGCGGAGAAAATGGGGGGATGTTTGGCAAATACTTGATAACCACTCAAAACAACGTAAATGAGCCTGTAGAATCCTTTTCATTATTTTGTAAAGGAACCATATTTTTTTAAGCTATCAAGAAAGATATTCTTCCTATGATGGTTGCCTTATACCTTTGGAGGCCTTAATCCTGCTTAAATTCTGATATGTATATTTGGCTGCTGAACGGTTTCGTATTTTTCTACTGAACCTCAACGGATTTATGGTTCTATTTACTTTTGTATACGTGAGTTGCAAGGGTTTCATTTTTTTTTCATATCATTCCCTTATATCTACTGCACTGGATACCTTTCATGGTATCAAGGTTGTGAGCTATATAACTTCCTGAAAAAAAAAAGGAGGTTGTGAGTTCTATTGTCTACTGAGTGACTGGGAATTATTCTGCCAAATTTCTTTTATGCTCAATTTTATTCCTGTTGTGGTTTGCAAAATGTTATTAAGTACTTTTACTTTGGTATTTAAATAAAGTTCCCAATTCTAGCTTGAGCTTGCTTCCTCATATTGTTCATGTAGCAGTGTTGTATTAGAATTTGTGTCTATATATGAACTGTTGGAATAGTCTTGCTCTTCGGTAGAACATATTCTTCTGGGTTTGTTTAAGCCTGACGGCTGATGTGATATTTAATTTCAGACTTTGATGAGGATGACCCATGGTATGAAGATGGATCCTCTTGGAATGATTCTATTGAGGATTTGGATAAAGCATCTGATTTGGACAGGGAGTGGCAGAGGAGGCGCGATCAGTTCCATACGGTATTCCCACGAATTGAAGCTTATTTCCTGTTGTACTAAAAAAAATTTGTTTTTCCCAGTACACTGATTACTTCCTTACCCAAGTTATCGTGTCTCTGTTGATGATTTGATAGCTTGGATATCGTAATGGTGTCATGAAGGGGAAAGAAGCTGCTATGCAGGAGGGGTTTAATATTGGATTTAAAGAATCTGTGTATGCTGGGTTCAACTGGGGTCTTGTTAGAGGCATTACTAGGTAAACAAGAGAATAATGGGAAGGAATATTAGCATTTTGAGAATTTACAGTTTCCTCTCTCTCTCTCTCTCTCTCTCTCTCTCTCTCTCTCTCTTTTCTTTTTCTTTTCTTTTTTCTTTTAGTGCTTTGCTCTAAACCTAGTTTCTTCCCTCCCCCTTTTCTGATTCTAACATTATATTCCTTATTTCATTGTATGCCACCTTGATGAAGTGCTATGACTTGCCTTTCGGATGAGTTGAAAGTACGGTTAGTTGAGACACAGGAAAAGAGAAATAAGTTCCAGGGCTTGTATGAATGTGCACATTCTCTTTCAACAGCTGATGCACTGAAGTTGTTCCATCGGGATATCCTGACAGAGAAGTCAGTGAAACAGCACGAGGATGCTGAGCCCAACTCCTACAAGGCTGATTTGCAAGATCAAAGTTCAGATGGCAGTCTCCTGAGAAATTGCTATGGACAGCTTCAATCACTTCTTGAATGTTCCGAAATCAAAGTGCATTTAGAGATTGACCAGTAGATACCTTTATTTCTTATGCACAACTAATTAACATTGATGAAGTCATTTGGTTTACACTGCAAGGAGAAGGGAGGGGAAACAAGCTGTCAAGAATTTTGGTTGTAGTTTGTGTAATATTTTGAAGGATTTTGATTCTTTTTGAGAGAAATGCAGTTAGTGATTGTGACTAATGTCATGTCCATATCTCATAAAAAGAATATATTCTTGATCATTTTATGATGTTGCTGTAGTTTTCGTTCTTATAGAAGTAGTGTGGTAGATCATGTCCTTTTAATACGACAGATAAAACACTGCTGTTGTTCTGATGATTCAGGGGAAATTTTGGAAATAAGCTGAACTTTATTTACAAAAGCACTTTGGAAAGATACACGCATACATTTACATATACATGGAACATATATGCACACTTTTATCACAACTTTGAATTAATTCAAGGAAAATAAAACTGGACAAACTAGGCACATTTCAGGAGGAGGCAACAATTAGACAAGTTGTCAAGAATGTATTGTTTGTTCAGTAATTTTTTGCATTTGGATGATTTCAAAACCCTGGAAGTTCAACATCATTGACTTGCCACTATATAGTTGAAATTGCATCATGCATTTGTCATTGTGGGTTTAGATGGTTATGTTGAATCTTTTGCTGCCTTCATTTAATTTCAGGACTCTAATTGTCTGATTACTCAACAATCTGATTGAGATACTTGTGAAATGCATGAACCTTTTCTACTTGATTTTTGGAATGCATAACATTTTGATGCTTTCTTGGGTGTGACATTGGAAACACTACTGGGGATAGTTTATGGACTAACTGTAATGATAATACCAACAAACATCGACTATAGTTATTTGGAAGTAGAAGTACTCACTACAACAGCCAAGAATAGATTTGATTACATTGAAGAAACTAAACACCACACTTTACATATATTATTTAACTTAATGTTCTTAATGCCCACAGAGCTTAAGAGAATCCTAATGCTTATCTAGCATTCAATCTGCATTCAGTCATCACTCCATCAAGCTGTTCTGCTGCCGGTAGTTCTGGAAAAGAGTTGAACAAACAACAGGTTAGTTGCTCTACTGAACTGCAGGTTACTCCTAAAACTTGGGCTTTGGTTGAACGATCATATACTTCCTAGCTGTTGTGTCATTTGATCTTCACCTGCATAAAATATCAGCAGATATGATTTGATCTGTATTGTATCTATTACATTATTTCTTTAGTTGTTTTGTTCTAACATAAGAAAATTATGAAAAATAAGATCTATCAAATAAAAAGTTTCTAAATTACCTTTAAGAAGCAGCATCAGCTGCATGCTTGAATGGGCCTGACATTGGTAAAAGCTGCTGAAGTATGCCTCAGACGGCTTTCATATTTAGGTATTGGCATGACGGCTTCGAAAGCTTCAACAAGAAGTGCCACTTTTCTCTTCCGAGCTGGAGCGAGTTTGGTGACTGTCTGTCGGAGCGCATAATCCACCATCCATTCCTCTGAATTTTTTCTTTCATCCATCATTTGGTGTCTGAGATCAACCTTTTCTGCTTCTGCGTCTGGCTCCATGGGCAAGTAATTTGGCTCTCGTGGGTTGAAATCTCTTGGATCCTCGCAGTCCTCATTTGCTCTCTTGCATCTGCTGATTGTTCCTCGTGGATTCTTGCATGTATTGGGCAGTTCTTGGTCATGATTGTTTCCTGAATGGAAGAGCTCATTTTTTGTTTCCATGGCAGCAACATTTTTGGCTCTGAGGCATGTATTTTCTGCATCTGACTCGGTTCTCTCTTCCACCTCCATTTTGGCAACACCTTCATTGCTATTTTCAGCAGACCTTAATTTATTCATCCCTGAATGAGTGTGCCCTTGAGAATCCATGGAACGTGATGATTTGAACTTCTCAGCTGCATCTTGATCTTTCTCTGGGTGATCCTGATTTTCAACAGTGTTATTGCTCTGGGATCGCTCATCAGATGAGTGTTCTTGAGTTTCAGCAGGAAGGCCTTCGTCAACAAAACCTTGATTCGATTCACCATCTTTGGCAATGGCATGAAGCTGGTTTTCATCATCGCCTTCCATTGTTGTGTCCTGGTCAGCTTCCACGAAACCCAGCAAGTCACCCAATGATTTGGCTGCATCAAGTTGCTCGTCCACCATTTGGAATTTTTGCTCTTGGCAATTCTGATCTATCTCTGAATCCTCTGTTTTAAAAAAGCTTCCATCAAATACCTTTTCACAGCATCCCTCTTTTTCAATAGCAGCACCGAATGGATTAACTTCAGTGCTGTTTTGGCTTTCAGTGTACTCGTCATATGTTTCATCCTGATCCCTTTCAGTGAAATCAATAGAAGAATCGGACTGTTGATACCCCAGTAACACAGTTGCATCTTCATTTTGGAAAGTGAGATTCTCCTGATGATCAGTTAAAGCTTCATCCTCGTTGCTGCTCGCACACTTGGTTTCATCATCTTCAAGTTCAAGAACCATTATAGGGATTCCATCATCTGCTTCAGAGTCTCCATGATTTTCTTCATCAGCTGTCCTTTGTTCAGTAGGCTTCTCAACAGTAGCTGAAGTAATTGCAATGCCCACAAAGCCATCTGACTCGGTCTTTCCATCTCTTCCTTCTGTGGCTGTAAATTCCTCGATTGCATAGACACAAAAAGAAATTTGATCATGGTTTTGGTTGTTGGATACCTGGACAGATTCATCTCTTTCCAAATCCTGAAATGAACCGTCTGATTCAGAACCACCATCACTGAACCATCCCTCAATGTTCACATTTTCTTGCAGCACTTCATCAGCGGGAAATTCCTCAAAATAACTGCTTAGAATGTCATCTGACTTGAAATCAGGTTCATCAAGGAAGTTAGCATTGTCAACTTCCCATGAATAACCTTTTTCCATATCAGATATGTTGTTGGTTTGGATTGAAATATCAACTTCATTATCGATATATGGGGCAGAGTCTGGCCCCTCTTCCCACTCCATATCAGAAGCTTCGGCATCTGGCTCATTTAGTCCCAAGCTTGCAGGGCTTTCTACTTCCAAGTCGCTTTGATTGCTCGAGCACTCTGATGATGTTTCTTCTTGAGCTGAGGATAGTGAACAGACTTCTTCTGCGGCTTCTGCATTTTGATCATCTTCAGCAAAGGAACCGGCAATGTCCATTTCTGTTGAAATAACATCGCTGTTTCCACCAAGGTGGTCGTCAAAATCAATCTCAGAATGCAGTGATTCATCTGGGAGGCTCTCAACGACTTGTCCATCTTCATGTCCTGCTACTGTTTCATCACTTCCTCCAACTGATGGTGTGATCTCACCAACAGAAATATCAATCATGTCCTGATCATCCCCATCATGCTTGTATTCATCATTTGCATCAGAAGCATCTTCTTTATCTTCAACATAGATTTCAATGAAGAAATCCATGGGTTCTTGTATCAGAGGATTGATTTCTGAGCTATTTAAATCAAGTTCTTCAATTGCAGGTTTCTCATCAAGGATCACCTGCCTAGTATCAATCTCTTTCATTCTGGCACCTGATGGCTTTGTTCGGCGTGGAGATAGACATCCTAGTTTTATACTCTTTTGAGTCTTCAACATACGTCTCTTTGCCGCCAAGAAGCACTTCAATGGAGGCAAAGGAGTATGATGATGACCGTTAAGAGAACAGTATGTATAGGGGCAAACCTTCATGACTGAGGTTCCTTCTGAATCGGTTGCCCCAGGACCAAGTGTGAGGTAATTGGGAAACATAGAATTTTTTAAAGTTGAAGAACATGTTGCTCTCTGTGCCTTTAGATTTTCACAAAGAACAACTTGAGAACATTTCTTTGTTGATGATCTCGCAGGTTTAAAACTAGGAGTCTTTGTTAAAGTCCTCACCAGTTTCAAACTAGATGTCCTAGATAGTGTTCTGCCTGGTTTATGACCAGAAGCCGAACTAAGTTTCGAGATGCTTGAGTTCTTTCTGCTTGATTTCTTATTATCGCTACCAGCTGGAGAATTCCGAGAACTCACCTGAATATGCTCCTTCCTTGCCTCAAAACTGCTTGTGGACTTCATATAATTCGGCGATCCATGCAGCGCTTTTGTTGGAGATTGCTTCTGTTGGACTGCCGCAGCTTTTGGAACATCAGGAGGCGGTGGCTTTCCTGGTTGTGGCACTTGCTGTCTCAAAGCTGGTGACAACAAGCTCTCAAACTCCGAACGTTTGATTGATCTTGATTTCTTCATTCTCTTCTTCAGGTCAGCTCCTCTGTTCTTGCCATCCTGGTGCTGAGAAGAGGGTGATTTGAGGTTCCCCAACCGCTTATCGGATTTAACATGATCAAGTTGGATACTAAGCTTGTTGGGCACCTTTCTTTGCACCATCTTCAAAGGAAAGCCATAGGCAGAGACAAAGGAGATGAAGATTTGAGGTGAGTTTTTCTTCCCTTCAGGATAGGGACTTCAAGCCCTGGAAGAAAAGTAGATTTTTTTTTTTGGTTTTTGGTGTTGAGATAAAATTTCAATGGGAAGAAAAGGGAATTCTTAATATCTCAACAACCTGAGATTCCAGGTTTGTTGTTCTCTTTTTGTTTCACAGTGGGTGGCCTTTCTGGTTTGATTTCAAGGGTTATTTTACATTATCAAATTTGAATAAGGGTGAGATAAGAGCCTGATGCTGACATGCACTAATGGGAGGTCTAGGGGCCCTTTTTTGGGCATTTTCTGAATTGAATTATTGCCATCTATTACAAGGAGACTCTACATATGGCATTGTCTTGTTCCTTATTGCTTAAGGCATTCAAATATATTTAGGGTACACATTACTTATTAGATGCTTTATAGAATGACAAAACTACCCCTCATTGCCAGGATAAGTGATGGATATATGAGATATATTACTTCAAATTATATGGGATGATGTAATTAAGAATGATATTTAAAAAATAATAGAAAAGGAGAATTGATATAATGCACCCTATTGGTTTTTACTATGTAAACGGGACAGTTTGGAAAACAAGGTTGAATTTAATGTGGAAGGCAAGAAGTTATTTATTCCTTGTTCACTACTCAATGTGTAATAATGTTAATTATAAAAACAGAGAAGGTGGTTCAAATTTACTAGTGGTAGATAAAGTTTAAACCCCAAATAAATAAATAAAATAAGATTATTTAAAAAAAAAAAAAAAAAAAGAAAAAAACAGGTCATCGATTTGAACTGGAACACCAAAAATTCCAACAACCAAAAAAAAATTGAAAACTCAAATTCACAAAGTTATCAACCATTACAATTATGTGATAAATTACCATATATCATGTACTCAATAAATAAGGAGTGTACTAAAACACTTAAGGGTGCACATAATTTTGGTTCCTACAGTTTCTTGGCGGAATTGGAACCGAAACCGTTGGGACATGAAACCGGAATCGAACCAAACTGGTTCCACGGTTCGGTTCGATTCCGGATCCTTTTTAAAAATATATATATATATATTTTAATGACTCTAAACCCATTCGTAGTGCATTTTGATATATAATATTGTACATGAGAACATACTTTTATTATTAAATGTATCGCTTTATATGTATCAATAGACATATATATTATCCCTTAGCCTCAAAAGAGATATTTATTTTGAGACAGTGGTAGTAATAATTATATAATTAAAAACATAATATTTATAATTCTTTAACGGTTCCAGAGTCTAGAACCGGAACCAGAATAGTTCCCAACGATTCTTAAAAATTAAAATCGAAACCGGAACCGTTAAGAATTGGAATTGAAGCATTGATTCTGGTTCAATTCTACCCGATTCTTTATGCACCCCTAAACATACTGTATCCTACCTCTCATGTTGAAGTGTTCAGACTTCTTACCGGTTTGCTTTTGTTATGTGAAGAATTTTGAATTTTTTTACATACTCGTTGAGGGACCAAATAGTTTTCTCCACCTATGTCACCTAGAGAGAGAAAATATAGGGATGTAATCTTATATACATATATATATACACACACACATAAAAGAGAAATGTGTCTCATCCTCTATCACAGGGGAACTATTCCCTTCGAATATCCACATTGTTGTTAATTTTGCATTTAGAATATCGTACATATGGATGTCAAATATTACGTACAAAGAGAGAAAGGGTATAATTGTAACTTTGCCATTGTTATGCGACTGTGTGTGTGTGTGTGTGTGTGTGTGTGTGTGTGTGTGTGTAATATATATATATATCTCTGTGCACATAACAAATACACACACAAATGACAATATTTTTGGGTTCCATACCTAATATTGACCAAAGCCGACCATTGGAAGTGGGCGGTTACACTTTGATAAAAAACAAGGTAGTGGTCGGCGAAAAGGGTCCACCGGTGGGACCCTTTCGGAGCGCAAGGGGCAGTAGACAGACGCTCCTCTCTTTAAATGGCTTGAATTCATTTATGCCACAATTCAGAAAGTAAAAAAGGTCCACTAAATGTGTTTTCTTTTCAGAATTTTCTACCTCATCCCACACTTTCTTCCAACAAATATTTCTATTTTTTATAACTTCCAAATATTTTGCATCTCATTAATTGATGGTTGTTATAACACGTTATTATGCATGATCAATGGAACATATAAGCTCCGTTTGTTTAGATCCGTTTATTTAAATGTAAAATATTTTTTAAAAAATATTTTTTAATTTTTGATTGTCGTAAAATATTTACAAAAAAATATATATTAAAATTTAACAAAAATAACTTACTCATTAATTTTTAACAAGTTATTTTGTATACTTTGCCCGATGAATTCGACCTCAATCTCGACGTAAATTTTTGTCAAATACCGAAAAATAAAAAATAAAAAAATATTTTACTTGAAAAGAAAAAATATTTTATGTCGAAACAAACAGAACCATCATGTAAATTTATTATTTTTATTTTTTTTTTATTTTTTATTTTTTATTTTTTTTTTGCACAAATTGCTTTGAGTTCGAACTCTTAGTTGATTTTGCATATATTTAAAATTTGTGTTATGGTCCCACGTACAAAAGGCTTTTGGTTAGAAAGATTTCTAGTTTTATATGTGTGTGTGTGTGTACACACGTGTGTATAAAGGAGGTATATGTTGAATGCACTTGATTTTTGATAAATGCATTTACTTTAGCATATTTAACTCATAAATAACAAAATCAAGTATTTGAGGTATTTTGTCATTTAAATTATGGGGAAAAAAAAAAGGGCATTTATCCAATGAAAATTTATTTAAGATAAAAAAAAAAAAATACACTTTTTACTTTTTCAAAAATTCCATATTTCTAGTTTTTGCTAATCCTCATAAACATATTATGTTATTTTTGGAATACCGAATTAATATCCAATTCTAAGGCGCTGGTGCTCCCAAACATAACATATATTTTTTCTTCTTTTTATTATTTTTTTTATTATTATTTTTTTTTGGTATCTCTCATCTAGATAAATTGGAAGAATAGACATTGTTGAAAAGCGAAAAAAATACATCATACGTTTAATTGTTAATTAATATAATATAAACAAATCACAAAATTTTCCATTGTTGAACAAAGGTATACCTTACTTCTTATAGACTCCAACTAACAAAGATATTCAATTTCATGCCTTTCGGTGTGGTGGCTGTGACTTTTTAAAATTCCAACGGCACTCAATCCCCCATATTTGTCAAACCAAATGACCTACAAAACCTATTCCATTTTGATACAACCAAGTTGAATATTAGAATCATTTTCTTATTCTAGGGTTCGGCATGATCAAGATCAATGGTTGGCCCACAACAATTGGTACAAATCAACTGCCTTGACATTTCTTAATCACATGGTATTCAACAATCGTGATCTCATGTGATTATGGGCTTGAAATTTTAATTTAATCAAGAAAATTAAATGTGTCTGGCTAATCAATCATACCACATTTCTCACATGCTGTGAATGGATGTAGACCACAAAACATAAAATCGTTTAAACTACTCGTAAAGAATAAAAAATATATTCCCTTCGTTCCATAATAGTTATTATCTGTTTTTTTTTACTGTCCTAAAATATTTGTCCACTTACCAAGTTTAAACAATATATTTCAAACTTGATTATATATATATATATTTAAACTTGAGTTTAAACAATATATTTCAAACTTGATTATATATATATATATTTAAACTTGAAAGGGTAATTTTGTAATTTTTAAAGGAGACAATGCAATAATTACATGTCCCCTTAAAAAATTCTACTCCCCCATAAATGATATTTATTATGAAACTGAGGGAGTGTATATTATTAATCAACTTCTCATTTATTAATTATTTAAATCATGGTTTGAAAGTTCAGGAATAAAAAACTCCAATGGATTGTGAAAAATATGTCTAAATTAATGTGTACCCTTTCAATATTTATTAATTTATTTTAGTCTGCCTTGGTTGCTTGGTTGGTAAGCTAAGTGATGTTTATAATTGCAAAATGATTGCAAATATTCGAGATTTACATTGTAACAACGAGTTCAAAGTGGTCTGCAGGTTGGAATAATTACCCGTTATATAAAAATAAATTTTAAAAAAAAATTAAAAATTACCTAGACATAAAAATATGAAACATAAGCTTCATTGATTTCGACGTGGAATATTCTTTTTGAAAAATATTTTTTTTTTTGGGATAAAATATTCTTTTATTTTTACTTTGTCTGTATTTGACAAAGGTCTACATTGAGGTTGAGTCCATCGGGCGAGACATGTAAAATAACTTACTGAAAATTTATGAATAAATTATTTTTGTTAAATTTTAATATTATTTTTCTTCGTAAATATTTTACGACAACCAAATATTAAAAAATAAATACGTCCAAACAAACGGAACCTATGTGAAAAGATTTTTGTACTCCACAAGCCGAAAGAAGATTATTGAAAATCCATTCCAATTCCAAACAGAACCGAAGTGTGCTTTTCCTTGCACGCTGGGCCAATACAGAATGCAAAATGCAGTAATAAAGATGACACAAAATACAATTAAACACACACAGTCACACACACACACATCACATGGGTAGCAAGAAAGACAGCTCTTACATTCACACAAAGTGTTGGATGCAACATCCCATATATGTTTCTCCTCTATATATATGGTCTATCCATTTATCTTGTTCCCATATATATATCATCATCATCTTGATCTTGTTCCCATATAGTGTGTGTCTATATATGTGTATCTATATATGTATAATATATGTTTATGGTCCATGCATCATCCTATAATGCCGGTATGTTGTTCCCTACATTCCATTACTAGAACAGAGTGGCTATGAGGGCTGCCTTATCTTGTTGATGATGGGATGCTACATCTTACACTATTGATCTTTCATCCAGATAATGTGGATCCAAGTAAATTATGAATACAATAATAAAGTATTAGCACTATATATATATATATATATATATATATATATAATATACACATTACACACGTCCCACAAACTTATATGGCTGCACAAAAAATCATAACATAATACTATGTTTAGGAGCATCGAATCTGCATAATGTATTTGAAATTGGAGAAATCTTAATTATAATTTTGAACTAAATTTTTTCCAACTCTCAATCCAAGACACCATTTCAGTACTCCCAAACACATCATAATGTAATTTATTACGTTTACAAATTAAATAAGTTAGATAGATACGTAATTATAGTTATTCTATAAAGGAATCACACATATGAACAGAAGAAGAAAAATGCATGAGAGAAGTAGAAGAGACCATCTCTTTCTATTACTAAAATTTTATCACGAATGCAATTCAATGTGCATTATACTTGTATAAAATGATCCACATAAAAATTAGAGTGAGTATGCATTAAATTTAATATATATATATATATATATATATAGCCTATAATGAGAGTCACCGCATTAAAAAAATAATTTTTTTGTTACTTGAAATAAATAAAAAATAATAAAAGGAAGAAGAATGAAACTAAGGCTAATCATTGAAGAATGAAGCATAAAGCTAGACTGATTTCAGTGTGATAGAGGATTACCACATAATCTAAAATTAACCAAAAGTAAAAGAGTGTGGTGAGCAACTTTTCAGGATTCGAATCGTCTTTAGGGTATGAATGCTTTGGTAATCATGGTGGAAAATTAAAGATGACAAAGAACATATATATATAGGGAATATATATCTACTTTCTTTTCTCTTCTTTTCTTTTCTTTCCTTTCCTTTCCTTTTCCATGGCAGAAAAGTGAGGTGTGTAGAAAGAATATGTTTTCTGTTTCATTCACACCAATCTCAGAATGATTAATAAGAAACTATCTAAATAAACAAATTATAAGCATATATAATAGTCGTAAACACTATTTCACTGTAGTAATAAAAGTTCTTGTTTGCCTTTTCAAAAAGAAATTAGTTGCTTTTATTTTTCCACTAAGAAAGCTTTGTATAATAGTAAACACTATTTCACTGGAGTAATAAAAGTACTAATTTGTCTTTTCAAGCACAAATTAGTTGCTTTTTTCCCACTTAGAAAGCATAGTTAGTGTTTGTGTGTGTGTGTGTGTGTGTTCACTCTATAGTGGTTTTCTTTCAATATATGACCTTGTGAGTTTGCAATCAATCAGTGATTATTTTCCTAACATTTTAAACAGAACTTGGAAAAGCATTTTATAACTGGAAATATACCATTATTTTTCACAGCATAAGTTTATTGGCTAAGAAGTTCAAAAAGTTTAGGGATTCTGAAAATCAGATTAGGAAATGCTAAAAATGTTAACCAAATGGCTAGACCTGATTATGAAGGGTCACAACACAGTTTTCGTTTACCGGAATAAGAATGTTGCGATGAATGAGTAGAAAGGCAAAAAATGCGTATTAAATTGCTCATGATTGATCGTAATCATTTAGTAGAGTAGTATTTAATAAGTCACAGTCTACTCTTGGAACTTTTTTTTATAAAAATAAAAAATTTGAAAAAAATATATATATACATGTATTAAGGAAAAGTTGGTTAGAACTCATGAATACTAAAATAATTACCAAAAAAATAATATCTGAATGGTTCCCAAATGTTTTAGTCAAATTCAGTTTATACGCTCTCACTGACTATATTAATATTTTCCCGCTAGTTGCGATGTCATTATCACATTATGAATTTGATTAGAAAAAGACAGGTTTGGGCTCACAAAGCTTTTGAGTGGCTGTTTTGGTAATAACATGATCATTTGAGACTTAAAACATTACTACTCATTTAAAATAATAATAATAATAATAGCATTTAAAACTAATAATAGTAGTAGCAGTAGCAGTAGTAGTAATACAAAACTGGGAATTCTAGGCTTTGACATTCACTTGACAAATGAAAATTTGATCATTTTATGGAATTTTTTTTTACCATAAAACAGCTATTGGCAGCAAATATCACATGAATGGAAATTGTAGTATATAATGGAATTGCCACCAATAACATGTGTAATGAATTGAAATTTCATTTGATTCAACAAAAGAGATGCATAGTATGACTGTATGATTATACACACACACACACATTCTGGATTTAATGATGAATAATTTTGCACTTCACAGACTCATAAATGGTAAATTAAATCCCAAGAAAATGGTACATGTGTTTTGTAAAAGATAATAATTGATGAAAACTTTTTTCACAATAGCTTGGGGATAAATAATGATGAATAAGAAATGAAAGCCTCAGCAAGATTATGCTATTTTGTTGCAGGCTTTAAGTCAGCCTTTTTTTATGAAAAGAAAGTGATGTGGAATTTTTAATAATGCTGTAGCATCTTCATGCTAACTAATAAAAAGATGATACACAACTTGGTGGGAATCTACTTTTTGTTTCTTGCATCCCAAAATTAAGGACTTTCTTTTGAGATAACACACATGGACAAGACACAGAATAATTGGAATTTTTTTTCTTAGTCTGCTCTTATGCATACAAAAAGCTGCATCAACTTAGCCATCCAGTCAGATTCACGGAAAACACCATCTGATAAAAGATTAACAAGGGTAACCAATGGGCCATTAGCCCAATGGTATATCCTCCCTACGAGAGGAGGGGTTCGAGTCCCAGCGTGGGCAATGTATGTGTGAGTACTTCCCTGATCAATATATATATATATATATATATATATATTATACAAGGGTAATAGGGGAAAGATCATTACCTTCAAATTTTAAACTATTTTGCTGATCATGATCAACTAATAAACTAAGATTGGTGGTTCAAGAGCATGTGACTAGAAGAGGAGTCATGAACTTTCTAGAAATTGGATTGGTTGAAGTACATCTCTTTTGTTAATGTTAGATATTAGGTATACTTAACCATGATTTATGGTGGGGAGGCAGTTACAACAATAAGCATGGAATTGATAACTCCACAATCTTGTTAGAATCCTGGTGAAATTTTTGCCAGCCCTAGAGACTAGAGAGCCTTAAGCATTTTTACTGACTCTTGTGCCAATTAGCATTATTATTAATGGTATCAAAGGACTTTGCTTCATTACCTTGAACTTTGAATCAATCACAAGTTCCTAAAATCATTGTCATTGTGGCTGCCATTACTGCTCTTACTATCTTCTGTCAATTCTTTTGACTGGACCGGAAAAGGATTTACTGTGTCATTCTTATGACTATATCAACCAAAATGACCATTACAGCATAGATATTTCACATTCATCTCAGTACTGAAAGTCATATCAATTTGGTTCTCCTCATCTTCCTATAATCTGCAACAAACCAAATTAAGCACGACTCGATAATACTATCACTGAACCAGATAATATGTGATGAGATAATTTCAACGGGTTCAACTCTATCGTTCCTATAAAGACTACTCTGAAATTCCTTTTGATGTGCTTTTTCCCTAATGTAATCCTGCACCATCATCTTATCACTCACTCTCATTTCTTCACTGCATTTGTCCGACAAACAATTTTCTTTATCGCCCAACATCTTTTGCCACACAGCATAACTGATTTGAATCTTAAAGCTCTTCTATAATTTTCCTTTTTAACTTGACCATCATACTATTTGGCTCCCCTGAACACATTTCAACTTCAGTCACTCACCTCTAGAATTTATTCTATACATATCTCTTTGGATGGACCATTTCCCTCCTTAGGTCAAAGGTCTAAGAATATGATATTATGCAAAGGTTCTTTTCAATTTTGGCCAATCTCTCTCTCCAGCAACTAATCAATTTATCCATCATATAGTAGAATTGCTAGCATTAGGTCTTATTTGTACAATACTAAAATTAATAATTAATGGAGAATATTTTTTCTTTAATTACCAACAAAAATAATAATTAATGGAGAATCTTTCATCTACTCAATCTACCACTTGATCGATATTATCACGACAAGAAAACTATTAATGTACATTTTGGAGGGCACAGCCTGTTGATGGAAGTGTTATATCTCCAAATTATATCCCTTTTCGCACAGCAATAAGTAGTATAATAAGAATGGGAGAAGCGAGAAATATGATATATGGAAGGGCTTGATCCAGTTCACCTTCTTTAACCTCAGGCTCTTTCAAAGGGTAGTTGGATTTATCTTCAAGAAAAGCTTCAAAAAAGTTTTGGTAACCCATCTTCAATGGAGAAAGATACGAGTCCCTCACCTTCATCATTTCCATGGCCTGCCATCAACAAAATGGTTTTCAATTGAAAGTAAAGAATTCACAGAGAAAGTCCATCTTAAAATTCAATATTGAGTACAAAGACCCCTAAATCAATATGGCACTATTTCTAAATGTAAACTATAATGTTGTAAGAATTATCAAATCTTAATTGGAAAACCACCATTAGGCGTAGCAATTGGCAGCACACACAAGCTAAGGCACTTGTGCTAATAAAAAAGTACTTATTTGTCTTTATCGGAAAAAAGCAACACTATTTTTCTTAAAGTGGGCATACTCTACTTCAAAAGTTGCAATCAAATGGTGCCTTTTTTTTTTTTTCACCGGTCATCATGATAGTTTAAACTTTTGTAACAAGGAGATCCCATAGTAGAACTAAAATGTTGGTACTGCAGCACTATATGCACCAGCATGCATGCATATTAGACTTGTTTCAACTTTCAAATTTCAAGTACTGTCATGCATGCCATGGCTCAATTTGTTTCAAGGCCGCCAAGTCAGATAAGAAATTCTAAATTTATTTTACCACTCTTGAGCGCTAGGCCCATATATGCAAAAAACTCTCCATCTTATTATAAGTTACCTGGAATCCAAACATGAATTGTCTTGCTTTCTTGCTCACTTTAACATTTGGATGAGACTGAAGCCTCTCATACATAACTTGAGCCTCGTTGGCCCTGCAAACCATTGCAACTGTTGAATTTCTCTCCGGCAAGCAAATAACAGAAATATACTATTTTGAGATGAAATTCCCAAAACTGTACCAAATATATATATTTTTAATAAAATCTTAATTATACCAGATTCCAATCATTTGAAAATATATTAAATATTGCATTAGTTTTATATACTACGGAGTATGAGGTTCATAAAGTGAGTCTAGTCAAATATACCGAGGGAGTCTTGACAAATATGACACACACACACATACCTACTGAGTGAGTCTTGACAAATAGACCACTGCAAAGCAGCTAACCCGTGAATTTCACTCTGCACAAAGAATATGTTAGGAAACTACAATACAGCTCAGAAGAAGAAAGAGATCAAGTATGAATCCCTCTAGACTTGATAATGATAACCTCAATATCAATTTCATTCAGCGCATGTACAACTAAATCCCCTAAAGTTTATAAAAATAAATAAGTAAAAGAAGTCCACAAAAGATGTTCTTATCAATAATGAAAATGGCAGATTGTCATTTACTTAGTTTCCTTTTCCAGGGGAAAAAAAAACAAGATAGCTAAATAATAAAATGAATAAATTGGATGGCACAACAACTCCTATAAAGCAGAAAAGCTTGCAAGCTTGGGGGTTAATACGAGGACAGTCGACTGGATAAGGGGGCCTCGAACCGACCCCACACATTCGCTCACTTACGCTGTCCCCCCAAAAAATTACACGGCCGTTTCATTATTCGAAAACAGATGTTAGGAAATTAACAACTGTCAATTGTTTGTGCATGACAGGTTACATCAGTAAAAGAATTGTGTGGGCAGATAATGATGTCATACATAGCATGGAAAGAATGACAGTCAAAATACACGGTTCTTTGACGTCCAAATGACAAGTTTCAAATGAATGTATGAAAAAAAAAAAAAAAACATATCAAGCAATAATATATCATAAACAAAAAAAGTAAGAAGTAATTAGTTCTATAAGTTTGGTCACAACCATTCCAACAATTAACAACAGGCAAGGAATGCAACTTTGGTGGTACAACAAATATCAAGCAAACAAATAACAGTGACGCACCAAAACTTCAACAAATCGTGATCACCAACACAAGCACGAGACCCCGGCATAACTCATGATACATCCCATGCTTGCACATTGACGTAAGCATGGCAAGATAAGACCCGCAGTACTAGTGAAGCACCGACAAGGTTAACAAGCCATGCATTGCACCCACAAGCCAACTTGATAGGCGCAGCACATGTTCATGAATGGAATTTCCCCACAACCATGCCGCACAGCCCCATGAGCATGTATAAACCCGAGACAAGCACCGACGATATGCACATAACATGCTGACAGCACATTGGTATTACACTCAGCTAGCACATGAGTTTTAACCTTTAAGTTATGCCACATAGGATTTATACATTCAAGAATCAAGCTGAAAGCCTATGTGTAATACCAGCCACTGGTGTCCCTCTAGCACCATTGTCCCTGGGAAAGGTCAGAACCCTTTTATCAAACTATTGGAATATAATCAAATAAGACCTAGTTAGACGGTTTTTTTACATGTTCATTTGCTAACGAGTCTAAACCCCACAAATATTTCACTCGTTTCCAAAGTGGACCCTTGCCAAGTATGTATCATTGCATTGTGCAATATCCTGTGTGATGTAGTTTACAAGATTGTTCTAGAGTACTGGCAAATAGAGTCAGCCTTTCTTTGCCAAATATTATAGAGTAAAAATAAAGTGTTTTTGTCCTCCGTGAGATAAAATATGATTGTCAAAATTAAAGAGAGAAGTTAAGGATGAAACAACACAAGGATATACATGGTTTGGCCACTAAGGCTTACATCACGGCACACAAAGCCCAAAGGGCTACATCACTTTTATTACACTCTCTTGATCTTGTTTATAATAATCACCTCTTGCTCTACAAGAATAGAAAAGACTTGTTGTACAAGTATTCTTGCTCTACAAGTATATAATAAAGGAAAGTTTCAACGAGAGTCAAATACGCAAATATGGTAACAAAGTTAACATGTTGATAATTTTAACAATGATAATGTTTTTGCTTTAAAAAAAAATAAATAAACCAATGATACTGTATCAGTGGCTCATAAATTAAAGCATTATATCAATAGAAAAGGATGAAGGGGCCATCGCTTGACGTGATGGTCAAAGGTGGGGTATGCATGAAGACACGGGTTTGAATCTAAGAGCAGCCACTTGTGCAAAATAATGCCAAATGTTAGATGGGACCAGCCACACACATGTACGAGCATTGTCTATAAATATATTTATATATTGGTTGGCATGTAGGGCCTAGGTTGGGTTATTTCAGACCCTAAATCGTTATTTCAGACGATTTACAATTTCAACAAACAGGCATCTGAGACTATTCAGATATCAGAAGCAGACTACCTTAAACGGCAACTTAGCCATAACTTCCTCATAGTAGGGTAATGCTTCCTTAAGCTTTCCAAGATCCATCAGATAATCACCATCCTTCATTGCCTATGTATAAAAGCACTATAATTAAGATTAAGTTGTGTTATTCATCTTGATCAAGAAATGCACAACAACATATGCATATGAAAGTAGAGAAAATACAACACAGCTAACCAAAGAATTTCAAACATCCACATGTTTTGAACATGTGCAATATCTGGCTCAAATTTACATTTTTCACCAAAATTCCCGATTTTACGACAAAATTTCCAGATCGGCTGACAGGACATAAAATTCGAAAGCAACCCACCCCTTCCCTCATAACATTACAGCACTTTTACCATCGTTTTGCAATGGCTTTGACATTATTATGTTATTTTTCCATTTTTTGGGCCGCAAGGGGGGTGGGGGAGCCACATATGGGCCACTGAGGACAGCTGTCACTATTCAACTTTTTCTGTCATTTAAAATTTGTATTTCTTTTCTTTTTTTTTTTTTTGTAAACATGACCCCTCTCAAAATTGTCAAAGTCTTAATTGTTCCTAGTTCTCTCTCTTCTCAGTCTCTCTCTTTTCTCTCACAAACTCTCTCTGCTTCACTTTCCCATGACCCACAGCAAGATCACCTCCTCCATTTTAGCCATCGATCTCTTCTCTTTGACTCTCTCAATCTCTCTCCAAGGCAGAGACATGATGTTGTTATTATGCAAAGTTTCAAATTATCAAAACTTGTCAAGTAAAACTCTGAATGAAATCAGTATAACATTAATCAAGTGCACTTCTTTTCATAATAATATAACATTATTACATATCAAGCAATAAATGTGCATATCAGCATGGGTCTTTAGTTCACTTGCAATATTCAGATTCAGACTTCCTAACAGTACATGGGTTAATAATAAGGGCAACACTTGTGCAAATACTTAGGCTGTGTCCAAAAGCAAACCCACAGACATAGCAATGCAATTATGCAAACAACACAAATACTACAAATTTTAAAGAGTAGAAAATGAATTATCTATCTAATGTAGTGGAAACTTTGAATCTATCATCAATGAGGTAGAAACGAGTTAAGCAGAATAAATGCATAATATGGACTCTTGACCTTGATAGAAAGAGAATAATCCAATTACAACCCTCACTAACAAACTTTAAGAAGGATTCTCTAATATTACTATGCACTTCTTATAACACTTGATGGATTGCATTTCGATGGATGATGAGAAAAGGAAAAAGTCACAGTTTTCTTTTGCTTTGCTTCCAAAACATATATAAAGAAGGTAATATACTGTTTTATCATACCTTCTCACATTCAGTTTTTAGTTTTGGATCAATATTCAAGCCAATTTGGCTTTTGTAGGCAGCAACTAATTTCCTTGTACGTTCATCTTTGGCAGCTTTATCTTCTGCTTTTTCAAGCACTTCCCCAGGACAAATGACTCTTCCACCACCATACTGAACACCAGAAGTTTGTGTCAGAAAATTTTGAAATAAGAAAACACTCTCTAAGGATGTTAATATAACAAGATGGAATTAGTAGCAGAGCAGTTCTAAAATGTAACATAATAGTAAAGTAACTATTGTCACCTCCCAAATTTGGGGTCCACTCGTCAAATAAACTTGTTTGAGAAGTAACCACAAAAAGTAAAAGTCAACGCGTATTTTGATTCCTTTTGTACGAGCATGGCCAATGGATATGAATCAGCAGAAAGTGAAGGTGGGGATACAGAGATCTTTTTTTTTTTTTTTTTTTTTTATGGATGCCTTATTGTGCCTTTCCTTTATCCCAGCTTTTCCCTTATAATAGGCCAACCGCCATCAATGAGATCACTCTTCTTGTTATTAGCAGTAGTAGTTCATGCTTGATATCCTAATCATTTGGATTTAATAAAAATCATAGAATCTAAAATGTCAAGTTGGAGTAAACAAGTGAATAACACTTGATGATGCCAAATATAGCAGAATTAGTCTACACAGCCACAAAAGCCAGTGCCCTTGCCCATCATATAGGGGATAGGGATATGGGATAACCCAGTGCACGAAGTTCCCACCACTATGACCTTTGAGGATGGTCAGAGGTACGCAACCTTATTTTTGCATGCAGAACGGTTGTTTCATGTTTCAAACCAGTGACCTTCAGGTCACAACGGAGCAACTTACCATTGTGCCAAGGGCCCAAGGCCCACCGGGATAAAATTTTAAAAGAAAACACCATTCCCAACATGATAACACTTATATGAGGTGTTGGGCAGAGAAAAAGACTGGAAACGAACCAAACCCTTAGGTATTATTTTGGTTATTTTGGATAACCTATGTCACCACACTCGTCACCCCGAGTTTTCAGAATCAAACCAATCAATGGATCCTGTGTGCAGCATGATGCCAAATATAATTCAACATTTGTCCTTTTACTAAACTTTTTCTGACTATATTCTGAAAACTCATATATTAACTTGGACTACCAACAGATTTTAGGTAATAAATTTGTTTCTTTGCGTCAAAATTGGCATCAATATTTTCTTCGCCAAAAGTAATTTCCATTTTACATAGTTAACCACTTACAATTTATCAAACTAAAACACACTATCCCCCACCTGTCTCCAAGGATTAGCGACGGAGCACATCAGCACCATCAACAGAAAAATACATAAATGATAATTGAGCTTCTAAACAGAACAGTAATATGCAATGGAATATACCGATTTGGAAATGTTGCTAGGTCTGGGGAAAACTCCCCATGTAGAAACCTTGGGCTTGTATAGATCTGAGTTGTCTTCCTGTGTTGGCTTTGGCTCTGACACCGTTGCATCGTCGAACTTGCTAGTGTCACCAACAATGATCTCCACCTCAGGCAAGTCTCCTACTGAAAAAGGGTCTGCTACTGGAACCAACCCAGCTGGAAGTCCCCTGCTCTGCTTCTTATCCGAGAAGCCAAGCCCCATAAAATCAATGCTTGAAATCTTTGGTTCTTCCTTCTTAACAACCCTCTTCTCACCAAATTCATTTCCTGAATTCCCCCCATTCCCTCCGTTCAATCCTGGTAATCCGTGCACATAGACGGTAAATTGTCTCATCTTCATTTAACAATCAAACCCTACTAAAGGATCAGATTCTACTGACATAGTATGTAATTTCGAATCAAGCAGAAATCATAGATAATCAATGAAAGGGTTTTCTTTCCCTAAGCATGACTGTCAGTTTAGAATCCAAATCAAAGTGATTATAGTATCTACATTTTCCAAGCATCATTTCAGACCACGTCCCATTTCAAATTTGGATGGCAAGGTAAACCCTAATCCTTGGCCAAAAAAATTCATATAGCCAATCCCTAGTACTGTCTTACAAAAGTGCAAGCCCAGTGCCTTTCGCCATTGCGCCAATTCACAACGGAGCAATCTTACTGTTGCGCCAAGGCTCGCCCTTTAGTACCATATTATAGACTACATATTTTGTTGAATGGGCATTAGATTTCAAAATTATATCATGCTCATTCAAATTCCAATCAATAAAATTCTTGACATGTAGGTATGTATATATATTCTAATTATGCTATAACTATATATATATATATATACACTATTCATTGTTATAATTTTTTAGCCCATTTTGTTGTTGTTGTTTCAAGATTTGTATAATAACTTGTTAATCATATATATATATATATATAGAAACTCACATTTTATATATATATATTTATGATTAACAAGTTATTATACAAATCTTGAAACAACAACAACAAAATGGGCTAAAAAATTATAACAATGAATAGAAACTCACATTTTACCAAAAAGCAGTACCTGAAATTGTTTCAGTCCTCTCCACACTTTTAGTGCCACCCATAATACCTTTGTTCTTCTTATACTCTTTTGCTTTCTCCATTGCAAGTTTAACAGCAACTGGGAGTTCCTGATTTCCACCATTCCCACCTTCAGAAGACGAACCATCAATTCGATTCGCTATTTCAGCTGTCTCTGGAACTGCGTTTTGATCAACTCTGGAAGTCGGTTTCGATTTCTTATACGCCTTAGCTTTCGCTAATGCAATCTTCACGGGGTCGGTCTCGGCTGGTTCGTCTTCCGGATAATTTTCTGGGGAGTTTGACGAATTGGGTGACGAAGATTCGGCATTGGAAGATGATGAGACTTTGAGCGTCTTGAATGTGCAGTGTCTGGGATTTCCTGATGTTGAAGAGCCACCGCCTTTGATGGGCCTGAGAGAACAAAGCCATGATGATTGGGGAACAGTGGCCATGGTTTGGACTTTGGTGTGTGAAGACGGGTTCTTGAGAAGGCTCTCTCTGAGGCCACAGTTTATTGGTTGCCGTTAGATAAGACTGTGTCTAAGTTAGATAAAATTAAAAACTTTAATAATTGAATTTTGATTTTCTTGATTTTTGATTGTTCGATAAAATTAAAAACATTAAAAATTTTAATAATTTAATTTCAACACTTAGGGCTGTTTGGCATGAGTTTTGTTTTAGGCTTGAGGACCTATTTGTGTAGTTGTGGTTGGAATTTTGTTTCACCAATAAGACTGAATTATAATCTATTATACAATTGATTTTAGGGTTGTAGAAAAAATTTAAAAAAAATTTAAAATGTGAGAGAAAGATGAGAGGTGAAATTTGTAATTTTCAATTTTTAAATATTTTTTTATCCAAGTTTAACTTTAGACATAGGCTTTAAGCCAACCAACGTAAATCTTTATGTTTTGTATTTAATTCTTATTTTTCTTCTACCAGTTTCTTATTTTTGTTCAGTCCGTTTTGTAATCTCCTCATGTTGCGTTGTTTATGATAACATGAGTTTAGAATATTATTTGATATTTTTTTTAGTTTTAACTTTTGAATAATGGTCTATCTGCTTAAAATTTTACCCTATTTTAAATGAAACTTCATTTTAAAGCCATATTCAAAATATTAGTATTTTTATTTATTTATTTATTTTGTTCTATTTTATTTTATCCTGGTGAAAAATGTAAATAATATGAATGCCCAGTGAACTAGGGAGTTCAAACTTTTCACATGGTTACTTTGCTTTTTCGTTAAATATTTAATATTTGTGCGTATACAAACAAGACAATAGAGTTTTACTAAATACGAGACATTGAACATCCAATATTTTGAATATGTCTTATCAATATTCATATGCATTGTTTGCTCATTTATTGAATTTGTATGGTGGTTTTCACAATTTCCTTAACATTTTACCATAAACTTCCAAGTTCCAACATCAAAAATTCGAAATGCTATTTTAAAAAGTATATGGAGCTGTTGATTTCTGCACAACCAAACATGCCCTGAACAGCTATACGTAAGTTGTGCACATGACCACGTCCAAACAAGCCCTTAAATTTTACATTGGCAACTCTGAGCCTTTTGGCTTCCAATTTCCACAACATTCACACAAAAACTTGGATTTCCTACATGTATTTTAATGTCGTGTTGCCTGTGAGCTAATTATTATTATTTTTTTTCCTAGTTGGAACTTACACATACCGTCTCCATTGAGGTTCGAACCCTAGACTTCCCTTTGGAAAGTAGGAGCCTTATACTGCTAGGTCACAAGCCTGTTGGTCCTGTGAGCTAATTTACATGTATGATTTCAAAATTAATTTCAATTCCAATTTGATTGAAGCACCCTGTCCGAAAATGAAAATGTTTCGACTAAGCATTACTTATCATGAACTTCAAATCACACGAAGCAAGAAAAACAATATTTTGTCACTGAATCAGGTGCTGGAATAAGATCATCAACACAATGACAATGTTCATCCACTTCAAAAACAAATTCAAATGTACCATTAAATTTATCCACAAATATTCAAATTCAGTTTCTATAACTGACCAAGTACACAAATTGCAAGCATTCTAACATTGTGCAGATCAGCAACAAAAATAAAGATCTATAATTTTACAACCAGAAAGTACTCAGCAACTTTATCCAACTTTATCCCGAAACCTCACATGAAAAACATTATTGTTCGTCTGATACCGGTGAGTGATTCGAGCATGGCTTCATGAAGAACATTATTCTTCATCTGAATACCCGAAGTGAGTGATTCGAGCATGTGAAGCCACCGTCAACCATGAGATTAGCCCCACTAATATACCTTGCTTCATCGCTAGCCAAGAAGACAACAGCATTAGCCACATCATCAACAGTAAGTTCCACGCCATTCAAGTTGGCGTTCTTGCCAATAAAAGCACGAAAACCTTCCAAGGCATCATCAGTCCTCTCCTCCTCAGGCAAATGAGCCAAAGCCAAGCTTGTTGCAACTGCATAAGGGGAAACACAGTTCACACGTATCCCATGGATTCCAAGCTCAGCTGCAACGCTCTTGGTAAGCCCCAAAACCGCATGCTTGGAACCTGTGTATGCATGTGGCCCTAGGCCTCCTATGGCACTTGCTACACTACAGAGAGAAACAATTGCGCCTTTCTTCATCGGGATCATTATGCGAGCTGCGTGCTTCATTCCAAGGAAGACCCCCTTCACATTAATATCGAAAATCTTCTCAAACATTGTCATGTCCACATTGCGGATGTCTGGAGATGGGGGTCCTGCCATCCCAGCATTGTTAACCATGATATCAAGTGTGCCAAATTTGTCAACTGCAAAGTCAACTGCACGGCGGACGTCATCCTCTATGGTGACATCGCAGTGGAAAAAACACGTATTCAGGTTGCCATCAAGGGCTTCACATAGACGCTGACCGAGTTCGTCTTTGATGTCAACAACACAAACTTTTGCACCGTGTCTATGGAATAGACGGACAATGCTCTCTCCAATGCCAGTGGCACCACCAGTGACTAATGCAACTTTCCCTAATAATCTGAAAAAGGCAAATAAATAATTGATTACATGACTGAAGAAATCTGTAAATTCAATTTAATGTGTAAGATGGGGGATAGGAACTATCTTTGAGATTCAACATTATTCTAAAAGAGATTTCAACCCAGAAACAAAAAAGAAAAGAAAAAAAGGACATGATAAAAAATGTGCCGCACTTAGCAGACATGCCTATAACAATTTTGACTCAGTTTTATCTCCACTCATTATTTTTTTTTTTACTCCTCCTAACAGGCACAAAGGGGGCACTAAAACTTTGAACAAGCTAACAAAAGATAGCACGTCGATTTGACATGAAACTCGGTAGAATCTAAAAGAAGATCTAAATTCAACTTGACATAAGCAAACTCAATACAGTATTAAATAATAACCATTCTAATCAAGTATTTTTTTCCCCCTTTTAAAAAAAGGCCTTCTCAAATTTACTTCTTATATTGAAGTCTATTATAATTGGATAGGTCAAAATTCATCAATTATCTTTAACTTCCAATTCAATGGGCCATGTCAGTTATCAATAACTTCTCTTTTGTAACAACCCCAGTTAAACCATAACCTGATGCACTGTTCATAGACAATGAGAAAGGCCAGAGATAATAATATTTTCAATTAACAATCAGTATTATCCCAAACAGCTGTAGGATTCTGACTTGCCTTTCTCTGCCATATCAACAATCAAATCGAGCAAAAAGAGGTGGTAGATTTAACAAATATGAGTTTGGCTCCAAGTCGGGAATGAGTGTCTTGCTTGTCAATTAGATTCCATTACGAACAAAAGGAACTCCTGTCCATTTGTTCTTTTGGGTTCGCGCGCCTTCTAATGAAATCTTACTTATCAAAAAAAAAAAAAAATTGTCTACAAACACAAGATCTATAGTCTCCGAAATTTAGTTACAGTTCCCCCGACCCTTTGAACAACCAAAAGGAGCATAAAGGAAGAATACCATTAAGAAACACTGAAAAGTGAGACTTCATTGTTGTGTCACGGATCCGCAGCTATTGGATTTGGCAATTAATATCCAAAGTTTTCTAAATTCATTTCAACTACATGCCACATTATAGCATAGACAAATAGGCTAAAACATTATTGAGAATAGTTTTGAAATTTTGGTCAAGAAATGGATGCAAATTAAAAAATGGAAAGGAAAAAATGAATAAAATGGCCACATAAATTTTATTTTATTTTTTTAAAGCCAAGTAGAATTATGAATTTCGGGCTGAATACAGGAAAAAATAAAAAAATAAAAAATGATCCATATAATCAAAACTGACACAAATTGAGCTGCTTGAACAAAATTCTCTTAGCTGTGCCTGAGTGAGATCGGGCCAAGTCTAGATTCAAGCATACCACTCAAATCAAATTCGGACAAATGGTCCATGAGAAAGAGTGGCCTTAAATTAAGAAATGGTGTACATTTTGGATGAATTCAAGAAAAATATCCGAACCCTAAAATTTACTGGGAGATTCAAAGCATTGGGAAACTCGGATGGACTAAAAAGGATAAAAATATTAAATTCAAGCAGTAATTCAACAAAACAGATAAAATTTAATTCATGAGCTACAACCCATTTCAGAAATCAAATGAAACAACTTGGAAGTGGTCAGAATCGAATCAAGTGCACTCATCCCAGTTACAACAAATTCAAGTTTTTCATTAAGAAATTATGTGCATTTTGGATGAATTCAAGAAAAATATCCAACCCCACAAATTTACGGTGAGATTCAAAGTATAAATTCACTAACAGCAAAAATTTGAGAAACTCCGATGGACTAAAAATTCAAGAAGTAATTCAGCAACGCAGAAAATGTTTAATTCATGAACTATAACCCATTTCAGAAATCAAATGAAACAACTTGAAAGTGGTCAGAATTGAATCAAGCACACTCATCCCAGTTTCAACAAATTCAATTTTTTCATATTCTTAAACCAGGACAGAGTACCAATTTAATTGGCATCAGACTTGAGTGTAAAACCATCATATATATATATATATATATATAACTGTTCATGTAAGTAAACATATATAGAACAATTGTATGCATAGATTACCGTTGGGTGGGAAGAGAAGGATCACCAGAGCTGGTCGTTGCCATGGCTTGAGCTTCCGCTTTGATCCTCTCTCTCTACGACACAGATCGCTCGCTTAAGCCTTGACTCTCTATCTCTCGCTGTGGATAACACAAATTAGACAGAAAATCTCTCTGAAATGGATCTTTTTGTTATGTGGTTTCAGTTCGATTAATCGAGAATGTAATACACACGCAACGTTAAATTGACAATACAATAACTTATGTGACAGTTTTTTTTTGTCTCCATGTGTTTTGTTCTTTTTTCCGACCAGTATCTCATATACAATAACTTATTATAAATAAGTGGGTAAGCTTTATTTCATTTTTATTTGTGTGTCAATTGATAAATGATGGGATCTTATAATAATTTCTTAAAATAATACATCATAATTCACACTTACTACATTTAGTTCTCTATTTTATATATTTTTCTTATAATTATCATAAATGAGAGTATTTATCATTAATTTATTTTTTTAGATTTAACAATGTTTCAATACTAAGCTTGCGCTTCATGACATAACAAAGGTAAGTCACGTAGATCTAGCTTTCGAATAGTAGTCCGGACTTAAATGATGTACGAGGAGAAAAAACAAAACAAAACAAAAACAAAAAAATACTACACTTTGTAATGTTATAGTATTCCAAAAAATTTGTAAGTGAAGGTACAAGTAGGGGTGCATACGGTCCGGTTTGAACTGGATTAAGAGTATTTTGGGACCAAATTTTTTATAACAGTTTCACTATTTTTGAAACCAAACCGAACCATAATGTCCATGGAACCAAACCAAACCAAACCAAACCGCAAAAAATCGATTTGGTTTGGTTCGGTTTGTCTGTTTTAATTGATTTCTTTTTTATGTTCAGTCTGGGCTGGTCTGGTTTAGCACGACTCTAAATCAGAACCGGACCGAAAAATTACGATTCCATAATTTTGGACCAAGGACCGGACCAAATCGCTTTACAACTAACCCAAATCACCCAATTTAGTACGGTCCAATCCGATTTTTCAGTTTACCGAATTTTTTGAATACTCTTGTGTACAAGAAGATTCTTATCATGTCATTCATTACTAGTTTTATTTACTAAACTGCTGAATTGAAAAGAACAAAAATTAAATTAATTATTTACTTTTTAAAAACTCCGAAAAACAGTTTTGTTATTAAAAATGGGGAGCTCGTGATTTATGTTACTCATACATTTGAAAAAATAAAATAAAGTAAATTACTCACAAATGTGGAACTCGGGATGTTGATGTGAGTTTACAGTTTCCTAGAGTCACGTGACAATCAAGGGTGCACGTGGTCAGTAGAAGGGATTCTCTAGTGAATTGGATTTAATAAAGGATGGATATATATAAATATATATATGTATAGAGAGAGAGAGAGAGAGAGAGAGAGAGAGAGTTTTGCTCAGGGTGCCAAAGTGCATCTCCAGTTCTCTACTGGGAAAGAATAATCAAGTGGGCCTTTCCTTGGTTAAACTTACCCAGCAACTCTCTCACCATTAATATGTACAGTAGGTCTTTCCCTTAACCTATCGAACTGTGAAGAGTTGTTAAATTTTTAATTTAATAGTATTATAATAAAATGATATAATATGTTGGATTAATATTGTATTTTCAATATTAATGTATTGCATAATTTTTAAAAAGTTGTTGCATCAGTGTTGTATTTTGTGATACAAGTATGTTTGGTTGTATTACATCAATGCACAAAATAAATGCAGAGAATCCTCTAAATAGCATGAGTATACTTTTGTGTAATTTTACTCATATTCTCACCTATTGAAGTACTACGACAAAAAAATTATATTAAATAAAGTAATTGTGCTTGTCATGCATATATATTTTGAATAGTCCTTAATATGAAAGCTCATAAAATGTGTTATGCATAAATGTTTTGAATAATATGAAAAGCACATATAGTATTTCATAATACATCATTCAGACTCATACTGTGAATATAATAGTACGCAAAGAACAACTTTTGATAAGAACTAACTAATTGAATGTATCCTAAAGACGAGAATAGAAAATTACATAGTTAATGCACATATATATTTTTCACATATTTCGTATTATGTTAATAAAAAAAAAAGCAAAATAAAGATCTCCCTAACTTTCAAAATAAACTGTAAAGGTTCAAATTTTTAAAAAAGCAAAAATAATTTTTTTTTTTATTTTTATACCATTTCAATGACACAAAGGCCCAGCCACCGCGATACAGAGGCAAAAAAGTTAAATAAAAAAAAATATACAAATCTTGAAACAAAATAAGAAAAAATGACGAGCATGTTTCAGATTTGTAAAAAAACAAGAGTCAAAACTAAGCAACGGAACTACCAAGACAAAAACGCGGCAAAAATAAATTGTATATGTGTGAATGGTGGGTTTATTTTTAATAAAAAATAGAAATAACTTGTCCTACACATAAAAAAAAAAAAAAAAATCTAGTGAAATTCCTAAAAATTTAGCCATTAAGATTTTGACAAGTGGCACAACCTAACGGTGGATCCTCACTCTCCCTGCGTCGGCTCACCACCGTCTTTGCCTACCCAAGAGCAACGGTCATCTTAAAAGTTAAAACCAAAATAGCCCCAACCTAAACGCGCGCGTTTCCAAACCTAGCCATCTAGGGTTTATCAAATTGAGCAAAACGCAAACTGAAATCAGAAATCAAACCTCTCACTCACTATCTCTCCAACACACGAAATCAAACCTCTCACTCACTATCTCTCCAACACACGAAATCGAACCTCTCACCCATCGTCTCTCTAATACTCATAGCCCTAATTTCAATGCCAGTGTGAGAAACACATAAACCCAAGTTCCAGTTAGAGCGACAAATGACGAAGGTGTACGGAACTGGAGCCTACGACTTCAAGCGCCACCGAGTCGCTGAGTACCCAGTCGACTCACTTGTCGAACAACCGGTTCCCGAGTCGAAATCCGGTTCCAATTTGCCGAGCTCGATAACCCTAAGCGAGATTCAGCGCGACCAGCTGACGAAGATCGCGGCGGCGAATTGGTTGAAAGCGGGGGTCGATGCGGCGAAGAAGGCCTTTAGTCCGGAGCTGGTGAAGGAGATATACGAGACGGAGTTGTTGGTGAAAGAGGGGCAAAAGACGGTGCCGTTGCAGAGGGTGATGATTTTGGAAGTGAGTCACTACTTGGAGAACTACCTGTGGCCGAATTTTGATCCGGAGACCGCTACGTTCGAGCATGTGATGTCGATGGTACTCATGGTCAATGAGAAGGTTTGCAATTTGTTTATTTATTTTGAGATTTTATTTTTGTTGTTAAGTTAAGGTTAATGTCGAAAAGAAAGGAGAATAGATTTTCAGTATAACGAATTAGTTTGGTTTTAGAAAGAATAAAGGAAACTGGTTGTAATAGTTGCAGAGGAAGATCTCAAGATAATGTGAAAGAAGTAAGTCTTGCATTTTATGTGGAAATTGGAAAACTCATGTTAATCCAATGGTTTAAAATTTGACACTTCTCTAGTTCGGTAGCTGAGAAAATCAAGGAAGGAGGAACTAGCATATACACACACACATTTTGGTTTTTTAAAAGATGAGGAACTCACGTTATGCTACATTGCTGACCTTGGTAGATGGGATACTTGCTTAATCGGTTTCTAAATAATAAAATAAAAATATTAAAACTGATATCTGTTCTTTCCTTACTGCTTTTTAGTAACAAATGGAACTTAATATAAGCAAAAGACACAAGTATTGAACATGTTATGGTGCATAATCTAAAAGAGATCATACCTTGTCATAACTGAAGATACAAACTTCATCTGAAATCAATGCTCATTAAAATGTTCTTCAACCCTTTGCTTTATGTACAAAACTGGCTTCCTTTCACATAAGTAGTGATATTTTGAACGGTGGCAAATTTAATCATTGTGGGAGTTGTTGGTTGCATGACAATTATATATTGTTATTATCTTTTCTAAATTAGGAGTTAATACAATATTCTGAACCTCTATTAAGTAAGTTGCTTCCACTCTTTAAGTCCTTTACTTGCCATGAAATCCAAAAAAAATAAATTTTGTCTTGCAATTTTTGCTGTTTAGTCCAACAAACAAAGATTTTGTGGAGACTTGTATCGGTCAAATTTTCACATCTCCATGGCAATTTAAACTTTTATTTTATATTTTATTTTTGATAAGTAAGGTTGTATTAAATAGGCCTTAAAAAGGGGAAATTTAAAGGTTTATTTTATCCGAACGTCATATTATGAAGATTTAATGTGATTCCAAGGAATTAGGAACTTATAGTTTATGAATTTGATCCCTACAGTTTCGAGAGAATGTGGCAGCTTGGATGTGTTTCTATGACAAGAAAGATATGTTCAAGGCATTTATTGAAAAGATTCTTCGTCTAAAAGAGGTATTTTATTGATTTTGTTTCAGTAGTATAATGATTTCCATGTGATTGAAATAGTTGCATATTAGTTTTTAGTAGAAATTTTCACATGGCATTACATTTATGAACTTGCTTAAATTTCTAGTTAGCTACTAGAAGAAAAATTAAGAGCTTGTTTGGCGTTGCTGTTGTAATGAAAAAACCACTTTTATTAGTAGAGTTGCCATAAACTTAATGCCAACATACTTTTCATAATTAAAGTACTTTTTAGTTTGTTTGGTAACAATATTGTGTAACACACTGTTGTTCTAATTTTACAATAATGCCCTTTATTGGAGTCTTTTTTAGCCTTTCCATTTCTTCCCCCCGGGGGGGAGGGGCAAATTTGTTACATGGACTTGAGTACATGTAGCTATGAGTGTCAGTTTCATGAAATCTCCAAACCTCCACACATAATGTTTGAATTTTTTGTTAGATATTTTTAATTTATATCCTAGATTAAATAATGTTTGAATTTTTTAAACGCAGTAATACAACTCAAGTAACACAATAGAAGAGTTTTATGTGCAATTATATAACAATCTTTAATTATTCTATAAAAATAATCTTCTTTTTCTCCCCTTATCTTTATCTTTCATCTTCAACTTATTTATCAAATCCATTTGCATGCTTTTGATGGTCTCCACCTTTTTTTTGGGCAATGTTATGGGTATTTGCAAAGAATTATAGTTATTATTATTTTTTCCCCTTTGTTATTGTAATGATTTGTGAATGTGTATATCACCATGAAGCATGGATATGGGCATGGGATACGGATATGTCACAATATGGATTTGACGATACGGCAAATTCTAAAAAAATAGGATACGGGTATGCAAGAATACAACAATATATATATATATATATATATCTACAAAAACATAAATATGTATAAAAATCAATATATGTGTATCCCTGGATAAATTTAAATAATAACTGTTTATGTGATATATATTGTTATTAGCATTTCTTTATTAATATTATGATTAGTCAATAAAATTAGATTTGAAAGTTATATTGCATGGATAAATTTTATACTAAATAATGATATAATACTTATTTTTTGAATAATTTTGAACTTTTCTTAAACAATCATACTATGATATTATCGTTGAAAAAGTTACATTTTAATGTTAAAAAATTGTTAAATAGCTGTTCTGAAATATTAGAGAAGTATCAACTATGCGGTTGAAGTATCTGCAAAATATCGATTTGTGTTAAAAATTAATTAATTAATTAATTTTTTAAAATTATGGATATATTTAGGAAGTATCAGACACATATCCTTGAATATCCTAGGAGTATTGACACGGATACTATGCTGGCACGTCACTCTTGTAGAAGTATTCATACTTCTTAGGTATCATATTGTTTTTGTATTATATTGATAACTTTGGTAGCATGTCGTTGTGCTGCTGACTTATTGATCTATTTTATGTCAATCCGTTTTTGTTAAATTTGCAGGAACTCTATTTTTTTTTTGAACACTTAAGTGTGGTCCTAAGCTTCTTGTTATGCTGAATGAATTTGTGAAGACCTTATATAACTTGTGAACAGTTGAGGATATGTTAAACATAGTCCTGTTTATTTATGAGGTTTTCTGTTTTCCTCTAAAGGATTGCACTTATTTATCTCCCTTTGTTAAAAACTCTCTCATGCATTCATTTTTAAGAAGATTTTGTGGATCTGTAATTATGTAAATCCAATACTTGATACTAAATTTTTTAATTTTATTTTAGCAATTTAACTCTTTTATAAGCTTCTGCTATATTTTAATACACAAATACGCTTCAATCCAAAAATATCTTCCACTATTTGATTTCAACTACTGAAGATAAAATATGGTGTTTGTTGAATTTTATAGATTTACCAAAATTTGATTAAATTCCTGACAGTTTATAATGTGGGTGCAGGAAAGAAGCTTAAGTATTGCAGAGAAGACCAGTTACCTGCTTTTCATGATAAATGCTTTCCAGGTACACTGGTTTTGTAAAATATAGTAGTGTTGTATGTAGCCAACCGTGAGTCATTTGTTCTTTTTATGATTGGTTACCAATAGCAATTAAATAATCAGCCTACATTTTACAATATACACATTAATGCCCTGATCATTTGCCAAACTTATGATGCTAGATTGACTTTTCAGCGAAATTGTGATTGTTTGTATATATTACATTTCTTGAACATTGAACTAGTGATGTTAGATTTTTTTTTTTTTTGATAATTAACTAGTGATGTTAGATTATTATTTTTTGATAATTAACTAGCGATGTTAGATTATATATGTATGTGTATATATAAATAAGGGATACTGAACAATAATATGCTATTTCTAATATATAAAAAAACTTTTATGTTTGGTTTTGTTGAATAGTTCCCAGAGCAGTTCTATCTTCATTGCTTGTTTTTTTGGACTCCATTGCTAAAAATTATTAAATCTTCTACACATTTGACTGTTTGAGCGATTCCTCCCTCCTCCTCTGTCTTTTACATGTTTTAAATACCTTGCTCAAGGCCATTGCTTGGTGCAATTATATAAGCTCGTTCGGGAGAATGTGGTTTCAGTGTAAAGTTGGAGTGTAGGTTTGTCCCCAATCTACCATTCCTGAAAACCATTTTGTTCCCTAATCATCCTGGCAATCTGATTTGGTAGAACAACATTAGGTAATAATCATGTATTTTTTTCTTTCTTTTAAAGACCTTTCTGTATTCATGATAACCCTCACTGCAGCTGGTATAAACACCACGAGTAAGCATTACTCTGTAAAGATAATGAATTGATTTCTGGAACTGTACCTTGCAAGTATGAGCTGCATAAAGGACATGACCCAAGTACTCGTAGGGATAACCAACTTCAACACTGAAATTCATTGCGACAATATATATGGGAATGTGAAAAACTGGACTGGTAAATTATTAGCCACAAGTACAAGTTGCAAAAAAGGTTTAATCTAAGGCTCTTTGATACGAGGATTCTTCGCTCCTTCCTTTCCCATAGACTTCCTCTGAACACAACATCCTTATGCACCCATTTCACATGTTAGGCGTAGCTGGTGTATTCAGTGGCTCCCTATTCAGTGCTATGCATGGTTCCTTGGTAACTTCTAGTTTGATCAGGGAAACCACAGAAAACGAATCTGCTAATGAAGGTTACAGATTCGGTCAAGAGGAAGAAACTTATAATATCATAGCTGCTCATGGTTATTTTGGCCGTTTGATCTTCCAATATGCTAGTTCCAACTCGTGAACTTAGCTGATACAAAGCTATATGATAGCACCCAAATTTTCCGATTCGGCGGTTCGATCTATGATTTATCATTCATGTTCGTTGATAAGATCCTTCCATTTAGCAGCACCTTAGGATGGCATAGCCTTAAAGTAAGTTAAGGGCGAGGTTCAAATGAGGAAAGGCTTACGGTGGATACCTAGGCACCCAAAGACCAGGAAGGGCGTAGTAAGCGTCAAAATGCTTCGGGGAGTTGAAAATAAGCATAGATCCGGAGATTCCCGAATAGGTCAACCTTTCGAACTGCTGCTGAATCACACATCTAACTTCAGGAATGCATTCCCCCAATCCCTCCTTCCCTCCTTGAGCACCCTCCTGGCTTCTTGCCATGACGGCAGCTGAAACAGGAGCAGCAATTCTGGCAAAGGGGGCACTCTGACGCCTCCTGACACCTTCCACACCCTCACTAGCCATTGGGTAATGTGTGCCGGAATCCCCACTTCTCTGTCGAACTTCCGTATTAGGAAACTCTGCGAAAACTTCTTCCGTTTTCTTGCTCTCCTCTCATCCAACCTGGGATAAAGTCCTCTCTCCACTGGTAACCTCGTGGTGTCGCTTTCAATCAGGAGTTGTGGCAGTCGTGCCACCCCAGGAATGACCTGGATGCATTCACCTCTCTACCATATACATTTTCAAAACTCGGCCTTGCACTCCTCCCTTCTACAACCATCCACATCATCTAACGCCTCCACCCCCTCCTTTATGATCCAACTCTGAGATCTCCACTTCTGGTCCTCCGAAAAAGTCTCTAAAAGAAATGTTTATGGTGGATATGGAAGCAGATTAAAAAAAAAAAAATTCAAGTTTTTATTTTCGAAATAGAATGGAAACAAAACTAGATTCTTACCTCGACAGAAAATTAATAATTTTCAAGATAAGTAACCAACTACTCGATTTGTGAGTAGTTGGTTTACATAATCGACATGCCTGATGATAATGAAACGGTCCCTAAAACCTTGCAAGGATATGTTACTGGTTGCACATGCGATGGCTGGAGTATCATAATGGAATTTGTGTGTGCTCGTACTTGGTGTCTAAAGAAGTTGGAATGGCAAGGTACTTTCCTAGAAGCTTTGCTACCGAAATTGATTTAGGACAGTTGAAAGAGTTATTAGCTTTATGCGGCCTTCAAAAAAGTGATGGAGGTCTAGGATATGCAAAAGGTGTGGGAAAGGAGTAATGAGTTGGTTGGTTTAATTAAGCAAGGAAAAACGGAATGTTAAAGACTGCTTAGGGGCTATGGGAGTGTGTATGAACACTAACTAGGCTGACTTTGTAATCTTAGGGCTCTAGGGTTGAATGATTGAAAGGGAAAAGAAGCAAGTTTTCCAAACAGGTTCGTGAGGGTTAAATAATGAGTTTGGTGGTTTAATTAAGCAAGGAAAAAGGGAATGTTAAAGACTGCTTAGGGGCTACTGGAGTGTCTATGAACAGTAACTAGGCTAACTTTGTAATCTTAGGGCTCTAGGGTTGAATGATTGAAAGGGAAAAGAAATAAGTTTTCCAAATAGGTTCGTGAGGGTTAAATAATGGTTAAAACAAATCTGTTTGTGGGATTTTAAATGGTTTTTAAGCCTCAAAAATGGTGCTGAAAATTGAGGGGAAAGGAAGAAGAAAAGTCGGAAGAAGAATCCATCCGTTCTGCCTAATTCACTTGTGATCACATATAGGGCTAGAGCTGTATCACTTAATGTCAAAATAGCTTCAATAGCTTCTAAAATTCCTTAAACCTGTTCGAGATTTAACTGAAAGAATTTTGTAGTTAATTACCCAATAGAAAAAAAAAATTTGTTATAAATAAACTTCTAGTTAAAGTTAATTCTTACTCTTTTAGGTCTTAGGATCTATATTTTTAAAAAACGGCGACTCTGACTTATAAAACAGATTGAACCTATAACTTGATCCAAAATATTGCTAATAAAATGATCAGTATCTCAACTCAGTCCATGTCCGAGTGGGCCTTGCTTTTAAAATTGAACCAATTTTCAATATTTTTCTCTTTTTGAAATCTGTTTGCTTGAGCTTCTTATGGAATGCAACATCATGTTGCTTGTACATACAGCTTGTACTGATGGTTTAAAAGACACTGTAAAAGCATGTAGCCATATGTTTGTACTCTATTCATTGGCAAAAGAAGACAAAATTTTAGTGTCATTGTCCATCATTGTTTACATAATAATTCTTGGCATCATCTACTTTCATTTTCCTTTCAATGATCAACATTTCAGCATGATATCTTATTGTTTGGCCAAACAATTTTATTTGATAGAGCTTGGAAGATGAGATAGTTAGCGAAACTGTTATGAGATTAGCAAGTCTGCAGTGCTGGCATAGTCTATCTTATGGTCGTTTTCAGGTAAACTTTATGTGCTATATTTTAGTTCTTTTTTAGGAGGTTTTTTTTCCTCCACCTCTTTATAATTTGGTTTCCGGTTTGCTTCCTTTACCTGTAGATGGAGCTTTGTCTTAATCCAGATCTGATCAGGAAATGGAAAAGGGTGACAAAGAAAGAGGCCAAGGCAATGAAACGGGGAGAGTCTTTCGATCCCTCAACCATGCTTGAAGTAAAGTTCTTGAGAAATCTCATTGAGGAGTTTCTGGAGGTGCTGTTTTACTAAGTTAAAGTACCAGCTATTCTGATATATAATCTTGAGTACCAAGGAAATTATGGTATTTATTTTTTATGTTATTTTCTAATCCAGGTTCTTGATTCCAAGATTTTTCCTCACGATGAGGATGATGAAGGAGCTGGTGTAAATGGTTTTGAACAAGTTGATGATGCTTGCATCTTGTACTGTGAGAGGTTTATGGAGTTTCTTATTGATCTGCTGAGCCAACTGCCAACGAGAAGGTATCATCCCATCCTACAATTAATTTGTTTTCCATTAGTTAAGTTTTACTGATTGGATATAAGCTTTCTTTTTCAGAACATTATTTATCTGTGATTTTATTTAATTTTCTGTAATATGATCTAGTTAATTTGGTAGAATATATTCAAAATTTATAGTTCTTTTAATTAAAAATCAGGCTATTATCAGTCATGTTATCAAATTTCATACCAGGGAAGGTTCTGGAGGGGTCCAAAAAAAAAAAATGTTTCTTGAGCAAGTTGCAGAAATGTGAAGTTTTGAGAGTTACACATGAAATGTGGAGAAGGACTTGTTCTTTGTGAGCACTGGGGACCACCGGGATGCGGAAGAATTTGTGCAAATGTACCATTTAGATCTGTGATGCTTCTGCTGTATTTGTCTTGTAATACTTGTTTCTGGTGAAATGTCAGAGTTGATTTGTGTCTCTGTTTGTAACTAATGATATTAGGTCCTGGAAGAATTTCTCAAGAAAAAGTAATTTCATTAATGGTCCATTTGACTCAGTTGAATTTCATCAGCTCCTTTGTAAGGTCTTAGAAAGTTGTCTACCTTGAACTTGTATCATTGTCTCATCCAGGGTGATTCTGATGTGGTGCTAGGATGCGTTATATCTCGAACTCGTGGCCCTTGGCAGTGTAGTCATCTTTGAGAGAGATTTTGGATTTGACTTATTCTCTTACCTCTTTAATAAGTTCGGCAGCTGTTTTTGTAGTTTTGAATTTGTGTATCCTATGGGTTTTTCTAGTTCCAGTGTTTTGTTGGTGGGCCTTCTCCTTTTCATTTTTGTAATGATGCTCATCCTTCTTTCTTGTGTTTTTTCCTTCATCAATAATTTTGTTCCTTGTTTCTTATCAAGGGGGTAAAAAGTAGAAGAAAGATTTATCACCCTTAAGTCTTATAGTGTTGCTCTAGACTTGAAATCACTTGGGGAATGATTGTGCCTTCTGTTGAAACAGAAGGAACACGTGGATCACAAATTTTAGGTGTTTTATGCAGTACTGTCGGCAGGCATTATTTTATTTTATTTTTATAAGTATCATTAGAAAACACACGCTCAAACGGGGAATGCATCCTGCAAAAGGCTACACAAGGGCCAAATAGCATTTTTGCCAAATGTCAATTATATGCATTTTGAACTCATTAAAATTGGACATTCTTTTAATTGGTTATCTCATGCTGTGTTTTTACTTTGGGTGGGGCTGTCACAGATTTGTAAGGCCTCTTGTTGCTGATGTAGCTGTTATTTCTAAGTGCCATTTAAGTGCTCTTTATATCCATGAGAAGGGGAAACTGTTCGCCCAACTGGTTGACTTGCTACAGTTCTATGAAGGTTTTGAGATTAATGAAAATTTTGGGAGGCAATTGACTGATGATGAGGTGCTCCAATCTCATTATGACCGCCTCCAGTCCTTCCAGCTACTTGCGTTTAAGAAGATTCCAAAGGTATGCTTATAAGTGGTCTTATTTTTCAGATAGTTTCAAAATACTGCTTCTCTTATTAAAAAACTTACTCATTATTGTTGAGGTAATTTTGTACGAAATTAATATCCTAACTTTTCCCTCCTTTTTGTTTTATGGTTCGGATAGTTGCGAGAACTTGCATTGGCTAATGTTGGTGCAATTCACAAGCGCACTGATCTCTCAAAGAAACTGTCTGTACTTTCCCTCGAAGAGTTGAGGGATTTGGTCTGCTGTAAGGTTTGTAAAATGGCTGTTTGGTTTCTTTTCAGGATTTACTACATTTGAAGTGAAAATTTTCTATATTACTCTGTCAATTTATTCAATTATTATTTTGCACCACAATCTTTCCTCCCCCCTCAATAGATAAGAATATACACCCATTAAGCTTTAATTGCATACTCATATATTGTTAGAGCCCTGACTGTTGGACAGTTTTTAAAGGCAAAGATACTTTATTCCTAAAAATAATAAGTTGTACTACTTTTTCGAGATTTAACTCAATGTCAAAAGTAGTCACGGACAGTTATCCCCATTATTAAAAAAAAGACGGGGTTTTGCCTGTGGTTATGTTTGCCTAAATATATGAGATTTCTATGAGCAATTGGTTTTTGTACTTCTTAAATTTTGTAACTGGTGCATGGGATCTGGGTTGCATATGTTGTTTTCTAAAACGTTATTACTGATGTGCAGAGGTTGTTGGCTGCCAGAATACTGGACCACTCTTCTGTGCCTTATCGGGACTGCAATGTCTTCTTCTTTTTCTTTTTCTTTATATATATATATATATATATATTTTTTTTTTTTGTTTGTTTGTGATATGGACCTTAATAATAGTTGGGGAATCTTAAAGGCTGTTTATTAATGATTGGTATAGTTACTACTATAAAAATATTAACCTTATTTTATTTATTTTTATAATTCATTGGAGTTTATATGAATTCACCATTAGGACCTTGTTGGTTGGTTCTTCAATAAAGCGCATGTATTAACATAATGGGATCTTTTGTTAATATGATGCATTGTTGTCTTTTATGTGAAATGTTAGGCTATTTCTTCTTAATGCATTGTTCCATAACTTGTCTCTGTATCTTAATGCTCTCTGTATGTGTTTGTGGGTGTTTAGAATATTTTCTTTGAGTACAATACGATTGATCCTTTTTCGGCTGACACTTCTTTGTCTCTTCCTCCAGCTCAAGCTGGCACCGAAGAACGATCCATGGTCAGAAAGAGTTGATTTTCTTGTTGAAGTGATGGTTTCCTTTTTTCAGAAACAACAGTCTCAGAAGGAAGCCATAAATGCTCTTCCACTTTACCCAAATGAGCAGATTATGTGGGATGAAAGCCTTGTTCCAAGCATCAACTATTCTGGGGAAGGATGTTTGGCGCTCCCGAAACTTAATTTACAATTTCTAACACTTCATGATTATCTTCTTAGAAATTTCAACCTCTTCCGTCTTGAATCGACATATGAAATTCGCGAGGATATCCGGGAAGCTGTGCCTCACCTTCTTGCTTGCGTTAATAATGAGGGAGAAACTGCTTTTCGTGGTTGGTCAAGAATGGCTGTGCCAATTAAGGAATTTAAAATTACAGAAGTAAAGCAACCAAACATTGGAGAAGTCAAACCGTCATCTGTCACAGCTGAAGCTACTTTCAGTATTTCCAGTTATAAAGCACAAATAAGATCAGAATGGAATGCTCTGAAAGAGCACGATGTTTTGTTTTTACTTTCTATTCGTCCTTCCTTTGAGCCTCTAAGTGCAGAGGAAGCCACAAAAGCAACTGTACCCCAAAATCTTGGTCTTCAATATGTACGTGGATGTGAAGTTATTGAGATGCGTGATGAAGAGGGAACTCTAATGAATGACTTTACGGGTAGAATCAAACGAGATGAGTGGAAGCCTCCAAAAGGTGATCTGAGAACCGTGACTGTTGCTCTAGATACTGCACAATATCATATGGATGTCAGTGATATTGCAGAGAAAGGTGCTGATGATGTCTATCGCACATTTAATATATTAATGAGGAGGAAACCTAAGGAAAACAATTTCAAAGCAATTTTAGAATCCATAAGAGATTTAATGAATGAAACTTGTATTGTTCCTGATTGGCTGCATGACATATTTTTGGGCTATGGGAATCCTTCTGCTGCACAATGGACTAACATGCCTGATCTTCTGGAGACGGTAGATTTTAAAGATACCTTTCTTGATGCTGATCATGTCAGAGAGAGCTTTTCAGATTATCAGGTTGGTTGTCTCTTCTCCTCATGATATGAAATTTTTGGTGGTTAGGTTTATATATCACAGCCAGTGCATTGTGAATACTACATGGATTAATCCTTTTCTCTTTGTTTTTTAGGTTAGCTTTATTAATTCAGATGGCACAGAAAACTTGCAGCCGAGGCCACCTTTTCAAATTAAGCTTCCCAGGAATCTGAAAGGCAACACTCATGCTCTTCCTGGGAATAAGAAGTCTACCTTAGCTTCAATGGATAACGACAGTACTATGGGTGCCAGTTCTGATAAAGAACTTATTGTTGAGGCCTATATCCCTCCTGACCCAGGTCCATATCCCCAGGATCAACCAAAACAGAACTCAGTTAGATTTACTCCCACACAGGTGCCAAGCAACTCTTTATTCATTATTAATATTGCAGAAGTTAGTAAAAGGTTTTATTTTCTTTGCCATCATTTATTACATCTGGAGTCATTTCATACACAATTTATTTTCCTCACTTTTCATAGACGGTCAAGTTTCAGTTTTAGGGCCCTTATTCCAACTATATGGGATCTAAGAATAATTTGACATTAAATTGTATAGTTCCATCTTATATATATATATTCTAGTATGAGCCTATGTAAATCAAAATTGAATTCATGGAATATAAATTTAGAAAAAGTAGGAATACAAGGAGGGATGTTGTGAAAATTAAGGGTCATGATGTACCCGAACAATTAGTAGATTCGCTGCATTTTCTCTGTTATTCATGAGGGGGGTGATACTGTAGTTGATGTTACTCAGAAAATTGAACTAGGATTAGTTAAGTAGATAAATGCTAGTATAGCACTTATGCGATCAAAGTGTACCCCTGAAACTTGAAGTCCTATAACATTTTCTATCCTTTATGGGATAGAATTTTGGCTGGGTAAGAAACACTATTCATAAAATTATTAAATAAAATGAGTATGTTGTGATAAATGTGTGATATGATAAGAAATAATAAAATTAGGGACAGATGCATTCGTGAGACAGTGGAAGTGGCATCCAGTAAAAATGAAATTGATTTGGATGTTCTTGTCATGTGTGCTAGGACCAATAAACGTACCGACAAGTGAGAAAGAGTGACATGGTCATCTTCCTCACGTTGCACATCGAGAACAGGGAAGGAAATTCCCAAAATTAACGTGGATTGTGATATTAAAAAAAAATTTTATGCCTTCCGGCAGTATAATAGCAAAATATAGTTCATGTACTCGCATAAAATACTTGTGACAAGTTCTTTGTGAGTTGAATAGCCTAATGCTTTCACCAAGTTGTGTTCCCTTCCAGCACTTGTAGTAGCCATTTTGTCACGTGCTGTACTTAATTGTCAAAAATAAAGTAGTAACCTTTTTAGTCAATTCCGCACTAAATTGTCAAAATTACAAGAGAATTGTGTAATTGAAGGGAAATATGTGAAAATAGTTGCATATAATCTTTTTGGGACTAAGTTTGCATTGACGCTATTTCTTTAGAAGTCTGTCTTATTTGTGTAGCACGGGAAGTGCTGTAGCAAAATATATCAGTCTCATCACCTTATTTGTAACAATATTGTTTCAATCCCGTATATGCTGTCTCTTGAAGTATCCTACAAGTATTGGGTGCATGTTTGAAACTGAAAAAATATGTTTCGTACATTTAGTGTTTCGAGTATTTTACAAGTATACTACACAGGCGTGGCTTCTTTATATTCATGCTTCATAGCTGGTTGTTTATCTTAATTTCAACGTTCTGAATAATGAACTACTAGATTTATGCAACCAGAAAGTTGTACATTGGTATATTTTGTGCTCAAATGAGTAATATATGAATGGGAATGCAGTACTGGATTCTGGAGATGAATATGTTTGAATACTCTAATAGTTTTATTACCTTGCCATAGTTGAGGTAATCAAATCCACTAGATTCAGAACTTCCAAAAAAATTCAGAAGTAAAAAAATGGGAGTCTTGGTTGGTATTGTACATTTGTTCTTGTCTAGTAAACTGGAATAAATCCATCAACAGCAGCTAATGCGATGGATTTTCTTATTGAACTAGGGGGAACTGATCTTTGTGCAGCTGGATTGTTTTTTCCTGTGGTTTTTGGAGGATTATAGGATCATACTTCATTAGGTATATACTTTAATATTAGCTTATCCCTTTCGCAAAAATGGGAATTAAAAGTTAATGTGCTATTGAGATACTGAAACCTGTTAAAACTCGTGTTCTAAACTTGGCAATAAGTTAAATTACAGTCCAAATTATAAAGAATAAAATAATTTGAGTGACATTTCAATTTCATGGAACAATTCATTTCACCTTTATGATGACCTACGCCTTAGAATTCAATTCCTCTTCTAGAAGCTACTTTACATTCTGATATCATGCATGGATGATAATGATATGGTGCACAGTTTGTACGCTTTGAAGATGCTTCCAATACTGTGACAGCATTGTTCCAGATTAGTGGTTAAAATTGGATTGCTATTGCATGTACCATTTTACCAGGCCCAATCAGAAGTTTTTCTGGCACTGTTACTTATATCTGTACTTAATTTGATCTGGAATTTTCACTTTTCTATTTTTTTTTTCAAAAGGTTTTTTCACTTTTCTGATACTCGTCCAATTGGAAGTATAATTTTAATCCATTTCATTTCTATTTTTGATAATTTTTTTTTTTTTTTTTACCATAGTTCATTTTCATTTTTCTAATACTTATATCTGTAATTAAATTGGAGCCTTTTGTTAGAATTTAGTTCAATATCTGTGATACCCCCTAATTTCGGAACACGGGTTGATCAAGTCCGCGCACAAAATCAGGGGATATCAAACCAATTAAAGTATTTAAACAAGCACGGATTACAAAATGAAATAAAGAATAAAATAAAACGCTGAAGAAATCCAATTAATAGGAAATCCATTAATAACTTCCAAATGGTTACAACTCGGGAATCCCGTAACTCAAGGACCCCTTAACCAAAAGTTACTATTTAGAATTTCAACCAATTAAGTACTAATATCAACTGAAACAAAACTAATATCCTACTTTTAAGTAAATAGAAGGAATGGATAAGTCCTCCAGCTGCGGATCCTCAACCTTGAGACTTGACCTTTTACAACCTGAAAAATAAATCGCGGGTTAAACCCTACGAGCAAGTTCTCTCTACCAAGCCTCTGAAAACCAATAAACAGATCATCTTTACCAAAACCATCCCTAATTAAGCTTTAACTTTAATATACGATGCTACAAATATATATAAATACTTATATATATAGTGCAAGAATCCTACCAGTTAATAGGGCATTAAATTGTCAAAACCACTCACCAATAATTAATTATTAGTCATACCTAGACCAAGCCCCCCCTTTTATAATTTTCTCATAAAGTAAACCCCACTTACCTTAACTCCATCCTAAACAGTAATTTAGTCATCTACACATATAGCAATTTAAATATGCACCGGCAAATCAACCATACCATTTATAAATATATTTATTTATATACTAGCAATTCAACCATGCTTCCTTCAATATATTTACTTTTACAATTAATTAGCAATTCAACCATGCTTCCCATATATGAAATTTATTCATAACCAATAAGGCAGTATATCAAAGCCTTTAGCAACTCATCCATGCCTACAATTCAACCATGTATTAATTTTAAACTTAACTCTAGGTATAATTATACATAGACTTCACATGCATATAATAAGCATGTCCTTAATTTAATAACCGTGTATCTATTACGATTTTAAATCAACCATACCATACACGAATCAAGTCATACCAAACAAGATTTATAATATTTAATAATCTTAAATAATATATATATACACATATATTTTGTAATATATATATATGTGTGTATCATACATTCCATACCAATCGTTGACTATTTAAAATCATATCTACATATATATACACATATATACACCTCCTTTCATTGCAAAAATATTTAATTAATTATATTTATACCACTAAATGCTACTAGGTATCTTAGTAACACTCTGAGGCTCTCAAAATATCAAGAACACATCCTCTAATGATTAATTTTAACCCTAACAAGCTTAAGATAAATACTGGAACTTCACCGGAGTCTCAAGCAACTTTCCAGGACCTCACACGCATCCCCACGCGCCTTCACGCGCCGCCACATAGCCCTAGACTACTCCCACGCGCCTCCACGCGCTTCCCCTTACCGGCAGGCGCGTCCACGCGCCCTCACGCGCCTGAGCCACTCTCGGCGCGTGTTGGCAGCTCCTAATTGGTTGTTGTTTGGTGCTCTTGGTAAGCCGCGATGCACTGGATCCTCTCCCTTAATCAACTACATCTAACCATTGATGCTGCATGTGTATCAACTTACAATGGACCGCATCACACCAGACCAATCCAACTAAATAAAATTAATCCTATGGCCTAGATCAACGAGTGCACCCTTTTCCTACGTACGCGACCACACTGGATAAAAATCCTATTGATGCGCAAATACTAGCCGCCTCCAGTGTGTTTGTTAAACAATTTAACATATATATATATATATATATATATATATATATATAACAATTTCTAAATTAACATTAAAAATATAAATTAATTTCAGAAATTGTTCAGAAAATCTCAGAAAAATCCCAAAAGCTCTATTTATTATTTTGGGCATAAATGAACATATACAATTAAATTAAAATCCATTTAATTTAATTAATCGTGCTACACAAGGTTAACGCAAAATATAAAAATTTTAGAAAAATAAAATTTAATTAACCTAACCTCACCTACAAGATCTAAATTATCAGAGCAATGCATACATATATTCACATGTTTAATTCTATAATTTTGTAAAGAATAAATATGCTCCTCCAATCTGAATAATAATTTAATTTAATAAAATAAAATTATAATTTCGATAATCAAGGTGATAAGTTTATGAGTTCTAAGAGGAGAAGTAGAGAGGAACTCGCCTTTTCTTTTCCAAATCCGGTCTCCTCTTACGTTTTTTGATCCGGCCTCCTCTTCGTTAGCCCTTCTTCTTCTCTCTCTAATTCTCTTATTTTTCTAACGTGGAAAACTCCTAACCCTAGAGTCTTATGTGTCTATTTATATACATACAAAAACTAAATCCTTTTCCCATTAGGATTATCATATAAAATAAATAATATTTATCTTTTAAATAATATATATACATACATATATTTTACTATAAACATATATATATTACCTTCCATATATAACCATTAGTTAAATAAATTATATATACCTATATATATCAATATATAATTATATTGACATATATACCCCTCCACATGATTTAATAATGAATTAATATACACATGTAATTATATAGGTATAATTATGCAAAGATAATTATTAAATATCCTCACAACCACGGGCCTTTACCAATTAACCCAACAAGGCTTCCTTCAAGCCCAATACCACATCCGTTGGTCCAACTTCCTTTAATCCCAATACAAATAACTTAAATACCTAAAATAATGAAATTAAATTTAATAGCTACCAATAATTAACAATAAAGGTACACCAACATAAAATCACGCAAATCAAATAAACACTTCACTAACTAGCATTCCACAAATCAAACACCGTATAAATTTAACAAATAAAATTACAAAATATATAATTTAATTAAAACAATACAATTTACCTACGCACTTAATTAAATAAAACAAATCACAACTATCAAGCACCTAATTAAATAAAACCAATCACTTAAAAATAATAATAATAATATAATATAAATTAATTTAATTAAAAAATCCTTTTTACAATATCGGGGTATTACAATATCACCAGTTGACAATTTTTTTTCCTAGTTGGTACTCTCACACACATCCCTCCACTGAGGCTTGAATTCCTGACCTCCCTTTGGAAAGTAGGGGCTTGGTACCGCTGGGCAATGGCCCATTGGTGACATTTGTTAATCTTTATGCGTGGTTAATATAAAATTCTATTCTGCATGAAAATCAAATGTTACTAGTGCTATTTTGACCTGTGAAATTTGACTAAATACCTTTAAATTTTACCACAATACAGATTGGAGCAATCATCTCTGGTATTCAGCCAGGATTAACTATGGTTGTGGGTCCACCTGGCACAGGAAAGACTGATACAGCTGTGCAAGTGTTGAATGTACTTTATCATAATTGTCCTTCTCAGAGAACATTAATAATTACTCATTCAAATCAGGCTTTGAATGACCTTTTTGAGAAGATAATGGAGGTATGAGGTTTTGTTGGTTTGTTTGTTAGTGTTTTTTTTTATTTTTATTTTTATTTTTATTTTTATTTTTTTCAGGGGAAAACTCCAGCAATCATGTTATTTATTTGTTTATTTGTGGTGGCGTGCTTTGCAAGTTTATGGTATTTCTCACTGTGCAGAGGGATGTTCCTGCTCGATATCTTCTTCGGCTTGGCCAAGGGGAGCAAGAGCTAGCCACTGATCTCGACTTCAGCCGTCAGGGGCGAGTGAATGCAATGCTTGTTCGACGGTTAGAACTGCTTGGTGAAGTAGAGAGGCTTGCAAGATCTCTCCAACTTCCCGAGGATGTAGGTTATACTTGTGAAACTGCTGGGTACTTTTGGTTGCTTCATGTTTACTCGCGATGGGAGCAATTCATAGCTACTTGTGGTAAGAATCAAGATAAACCAACTTTTGTTCAGGACCGTTTTCCCTTTAAGGAGTTCTTTTCTAACACACCTCAGCCAGTTTTTACGGGCCAGTCCTTTGAGAAAGATATGCGAGCAGCCAAGGGCTGCTTTCGACATCTTAAAAATACATTCCAAGAGCTTGAAGAGTGTAGGGCATTTGAATTGCTCAAATCAACGGTCGATCGATCGAATTACTTAATGACCAAACAGGCAAAGATTGTTGCAATGACTTGCACCCATGCAGCTCTAAAAAGGAAGGATTTTCTTCAGGTAGGATTCAAGTATGACAACTTGTTGATGGAAGAAAGTGCTCAGATTTTGGAGATTGAAACTTTCATCCCAATGTTACTCCAGAGGCAGGAAGATGGCTATGCTCGGCTTAAACGCTGCATATTAATTGGTGATCATCACCAGTTGCCTCCTGTTGTGAAGAATATGGCTTTCCAGAAATACAGTCACATGGATCAGAGCCTATTCACAAGGTTTGTTCGCTTGGGAATTCCTTACATTGAGCTCAATGCCCAGGGTAGAGCCCGGCCAAGTATAGCCAGGCTTTACAATTGGAGGTACAGAGGTCTTGGAGACCTTCCATATGTAAAGGAAGGATCTATCTTCCATAGAGCAAATGCTGGATTCTCCTATGACTATCAGTTGGTGGACGTTCCTGATTACCATGGGAGAGGTGAGACTGCCCCGTCTCCTTATTTCTATCAAAATGAGGGGGAGGCTGAATATATTGTCAGTGTCTATATATACATGCGTTTATTGGGGTACCCTGCAAATAAGATATCCATCTTGACAACTTATAATGGACAAAAATTTCTGATCCGTGATGTTATTAGCAGAAGGTGCGTCCCATATGACTTCATTGGTCCACCAAACAAGGTAAGATATATTACTATCCTCTTTCCACGTTAAATTCTGCAATAGGTTGTAATGGCCACACTTTCAAATCTTCCCAAAAAGTTCTGTAAAAATTTCAGAAAGTCATTTGAATATGCCAAATGATGGTCGCGCATGTGGGATGTCCTTGATACGTTTTTGACCTTGTTAGATGATCATTTATAGGATTAAATATTAGGGAATGTCAAATAATGTATACCATCTTGGTCAGATGGCAAAATCCACTGATATCTTTGAAGGCGGCCAAAGATGAACTCTGGTGGGGTCCATCAGATGGTCCATAATTTTTTGTGCTATTAAGCAGGGCAGTAGAATGTGTAGTAGACCTGTCAATGGATTGGATTTTGAGTCCGAGTCCGATCCAATAACTTAGATATGGATTGAAGATTTAATCCGATAAGCCGTTAATGATATGAATCTGATAATCCGTTAGGCTTTAGCTAAACAAATTGGATATTGTTTATGGTTGATCCGATCCGAAATAATATTTTAACCCCCCCCCCCCCCCCCCCCCCCCCCCCCCCCCCCCCCGAGCTATTGGTATTTCTGCAACTAACCCCCCTGAACTACCCTAAATTATGCATTTTGTTGCAGATTACCCCATTCGTTCAGGCGCCGGTTGAATATGATCATTAAAAACAACATGTGCTATCATGTGATGCGTATTTTGATATTTCAAGACCAGTGTGCCCTTATTTACATGAAAGGACAATGCTGCCCTTCATTATTGTCGTTAGAACCAAACACGTCCTAAACACCACCTCTCCTAACTTCCAAAAAAAAACCAACTTCCCAAAATCCCTAGCCATAAATTGACTGAACTGAAAAAATTTTGTTAAGCGTTTTGTATTCGTCTTTTTCTCTCTCTGTGTGCTCGTCTTGGTGATCTTCCCATTATCAAAGAAGTGAAAAGGATTTGTGATCTTCATGATAGCAAGGTGGAGGTGAGATGAATCCAATGATACCGGCCAAATTGAAATCGGCGACCAGCAAGTTGGTGAGACCACCGCGAATCTGATTCGCAAATCTGCTTCCCCTGAATCATAAATGAAAGGCAAAGAACAATTAAGCTTTCCTGTCCCAATTTGAGTCCATCAAAAACTCACCAGCCTTTAACATCTCTATGAAGGTGCGAACCCTTCACGCGACAATTGTTGGATTGTAAACAACATACATGAAAGAAACAATACAAAAAAACAATTCCCATCTTCTTCAGGCTTCACTCACACGAAAGAGCCATATATACACATTCATGTACTGAAATACAAAAAGCCCCAATTTTCAGTCTTCACTCACCATTCACACAATATATACACAAAAGCCACAACGACAATTATGTGTGTGTTATATGCACTAGTTGCGACGTGGTATTTGATTGACTGGGCCGTGAAGTCGGCTCCTTTGCAATGGAATTCTTGTTTTTCTGATCATGAATTCCGGTCTGATCAGCAGACCTCAACTCAGTACTGATATTAACGGCAGACACATCACGGAGAGCGGTTCCCAAGTAAATAGGTTTGAAAGTGTTTGTTTTCTAGTATTTTACCATGAAGCAAATCGTTTGTTTTATTGTATTTTACCATGAAAAAGCAGACTTTGTTAGACAGTCCAGACGAATGTGTTTGTTTGGTGTATCTGGTGATAAGATTGTATGTGCTGTCAAATTTTCATTGGTCCACAAGATTACACCTTTCCACATCATCTACGTCACTCAAACACCATCAAAACTACGTAGTTTAAATAAGGGTAATGGTGTCTTTTCATTTTTCCGACCAAGTCAGTTGCTAGAATGCCCTTAACTGCAACAAATTAATAGTTCTGGGGGGTTTGTTGTAGTTCAGGGGGGTTTGTTGCAAAAGGCCAATAGTTTAGGGTTTTTTTTGCATTTTACCCTATAGTATATAATCTAATTTTATGGTAAATAATATTTTTTATATTATCAAAAATTCTTATTATTATTTTCTCCTCTCCTTCTTTACTCTCTCTATTTTTTCTTATTCGCAAGTTTTTATTCATTAACAATGAGTAAAATATCTAATTCTCTTTTTGTATATTTTATTTATCTTTGTTTTTTTATTATTTTTATTCTCTGTTGAAATTTATTTCTTTTTACAAAAAAAAAAAAAATTACACACACACCCTTATCGGATCGGATCGGACCGGATTATTAACAAATCGGATATGGATTGATTCACAAAATATCCGTCGGATTATCGGATCGGATCGAGTATATCATTGTCCGAATCCGACACGTTTACAGGTCTAATGTGTAGGCTTCCTGATTTATGCATTCTTTCTAAATTTTGTTCTTTGTTACCATAATCATCTAAAAATTTCTTTTTTTGATGTGTGATTTGTAGGTTACCACAGTTGATAAGTTTCAAGGTCAGCAAAATGATTTTATTTTACTGTCTCTTGTGCGTACTCACTTTGTGGGCCATCTTCGTGATGTTAGAAGATTGATTGTTGCCATGTCTCGTGCTCGACTGGGGCTTTATGTTTTTTGTCGTCGTTCTCTGTTTGAACAATGCTATGAACTGCAGCCTACATTTCAACTCCTGCTACAGAGACCTGATCATCTTGCCCTAAATTTGAATGAGGTCACACCATTTACACATCGCCATGTCGAAGACATTGAACCAATTACACTTGTCAATGGCATTGAAGAGATGGCTAGCATTGTCAATTATAAAATAAATCTGGTGTATCAGGTATCCTGTCATCTCTCTTTTAGATATTGAAATTAGCTTTTCTCTAATTGCTATCGTTTTATGCTTTGTTGACGCTTGATTTCAATGGTACTAGGAGAACTCTTACTGTTCACCTGCAGTTAGGATTCAGCCGAGCTGAAATGTGTGGTTAGCTTAGACTGGGGCTCAGACAAGGCACTTGACTCTTTGTAGTCAATAGACCTTGGCGTCTGCCTTTGGTTCAGTACATCTGGAATATTGACCAAACAAGTAGGATGTAACACCCTTACACCCATGTTTGATGGCATTTGAGCCTTTCAGGATTTGTGAGTTAGACGCCATTTCATTTTGTGGATTATTTTTATTGATCAACGACTTAGTAAGCTAGTCATTATTTTTTTTTTACCTCCCTATTTCCCCCCCTCATTTCTCTTTCCATGCCGCCCTGTAATTACTCTCATCACTCTCTCCTAGAACCAAATTATCTTTTATGAGAAAAGGGTAGGTGAGATATACCATTGTTTCTCAGCCTTTTGAATTCCCTTTAGTGGCCTCAGACTTCTCATTCTCCTTCAATAAGTCACATCTTAGAGGCAGTGTTTGATTACATTTGTTTGCTTTAAAGTCATTTACCAATCAATGTACAGAGCTTAGAAATTTGCTTTAAATGTTTTTTTCCCAATCAAAGTTCATAGCTGTAGGTGCAAATTTTTACCCCCGAGCACTTAAAGAAATAAATTGAAATGGAGTGCACAGAATATTAGTAAAGTAAAAACAATTTCTGAACAGAAGAACAATGATGGGAATTCGATGCCTCTTCATTCTCATTCAGGCTCTATTTATAAGCTTTTCTCAGAGATTTACATGGAGCCGTTTCTTGGCTTTTATTCCCAAACGTGGGTAATTATGTCTACTGATCGTGCATACATCATTATGGCAAACGTTATGGAATTTGGGATTTGTCAAGACTGGGCCATCCACTCAGCTTTTATGTTAAGTGGAACTTTCTTCACTTTAATTGGGCTGAACTGGTACGTGCATATGGCTTCTTCTGTTGGGCCTCCAACTGATTGTGGGCTTGTAGTTATCTTAGTTTGGTCGTGGGCTGCTTTTCGCCACCACGTGGTGTGTTGTGACTGGTGGGGTTTTTTCCCTCCACAATAGTCTAAAAATCATTCTCCTTGACATTTGAGTGGCAGTGTTTTATTTTACATATGTGTGCTTTAGATGTATTTCCCAATCAAAGTACGTAGCTTACCAATTATTCACCTTTGCCTTTTCACATTTTAGTCTTCATCAAATTCTTTTAAGAAATTTCCTTCGATATTTGGATACCTTGGACGCTAGCCTTTTCATCTCTTTGAGATTTGTTATTATTTGGAGGGGCGGGGTGGTTTTGGTTGGGGGTTGACAATTTGTTGCATGTATCTTCCAAGTATTAGAAGGTTTTTGTTTTTTCTAATTATTTCCTGCCATTTTTTAATTATTACCGGGCAATGATGAGAGAGTTACTAGTTAGTGGGGGAAGGGGATTCAAACCTAGGAGTATAGGGTGGGGGACACTTAAGGCCTGGTCCTTCACCACTCAGGCAACACAGCCATACTTTAGTATTGGAAGATTTTTGTATTCTTGTTTTTTTAATGCCTTTAATAGTTGTGAGACTTATGTTCTGTAGAGGTTAGGGGATAAAGGACTTGGCTGTTTGTGTTACCTAACTAAATCATATTGGCCTTGTATATAGCTATACCTTTTCAAATTAGCAAATCTCAAGGCCAAGTCTGAGGCCTGACCCTTTTTGGAGGTTAAGGCTTTTTCACTGCCCATGCCTTGCTTTCTCCCATTCTGAGTTAGCTTTGATTACATAAATTACCGAATTATGAGGCATCTTCCTTTGCACAGGGAGTATCATGTAGTTTTGTTATCGAATTATTAATCAATTATATCTTGTGACATGAATAAAAATGCATCTATTTATCGGGTCCTATCCCTACGTGTCAATGTTTATTTAGTTGGTGGCAAATTAAAGTTTTGATGCATTTTATTCTTATTGTCAGGCACGATTGGTGGCCCATCATCAGTTTGATCAGTTTTCAGCTCATCCGGGACAAGAAGTTCCATCAACGGGGGAATCTCAGGAAAATGTTGATGGTGTCGCAAATGAGGACGTGTCAGCCGAACCTACTCAAATGGAAACTCTTGTAAATCAAAATGGAGATATGCCACTTGAGAGCCATCCAAATGGGGAAGCAAATGAGTCGGCCCTTGTGGATGACAAAAAGGGCATGGCACCTGAAGAAGACAAGATGGAAGAGTAGTCTGATTGGGACTGCTCATCTGGAGTTCTGTACAACTGAGAAACCCATAATGATGATCATTTGATGCCATTGAGGGAGCAATCAAGTTCAAGCCAAGCCCTTACTTGACCATAGCATTGTTGTCATCTGAGTTGACACAGTGAGGTTTGGGATCAAAAGGCATGAGAATTGATATTTTATGACCAAAAGCTTATAAGCCAATGGGGGGTTTATGTCGATCTCATTTCCTGCCATGAGTATTTTCTTGTGCTTGTTTTTAGATGATACATGGAAATATTGTAAAAAAGAAAAAGAAAATTGATTGTATGCAAAACTGGAGGTTCTTGACATTTTCAATTGGAGTGTATATCTTCATACGTTTATTTTTTATTTTTAGATAAAAGGGTAAAAAAAAATAAATAAATAAAACAATGCACGAGCCTCTTGCCATTGCAGGGGTCTCTCCATGTGGAGAGGGTTGTTTCCTCTTCCGTAACTTTCAGGTCACAATGGAACAACATTCTAGTGCGTCAAGACTTGTCTGGTTAGTTTTAGATAATATATTAAAATATTAGATTGGATCATATGCAAGACGAGGGTTCTTTACATTTTGAATTAGTGTTATATTCATGTTTTTATGTAACACGGTTCTCAAAAACTTTTGACCGAGAAAATAGGGTATAAAGAACTAAAATGAGTGCTACCTCAATCTAAAATGCGAAGTGCCATTGATTTCACTTTCAAGTCATTGTCCATTTAATCAAAATACTACCAAAAATCAAGAAATATAATGATTGCACCTTGAATGGGGAGGTCATTGCATTATGAGCCTATAATAACATGATGACAAAGTTCGATAGACGGTTACAGAATAGTTGTAAAAACGTTTCACTTCTATCTATTTTCTATCTTAGAATTTTGTTCCCCAATAAACAATAGTGAGAAATATTTACACCAAATAAACTTCCAGATTGTCTACCATACTGGTCTTCCAGTAATTTTTGATGGTTGATTTGCCGAGCCCTCTCTCAAAAGTTTCGCATCTCGTGTAAGCTCAAGTACATGCTTCTCTATCACAGACCACATGGAGGACTTTCACCACCCCTCAGCTCTTCTCCCACCATTGTTCCTGCAACAAATTGTGAAGTGAACAAGTTACCCAATGGCAGTGCACTGGTCTAAGTCGAGTTACCTATGCATCAATTGCGTAAAAAAAAAATTCCCCAAAATTGTAAAATGACAGTAAAAAATGAAGGCTATTTAAGGATTATTGTTACCATTAACAAAATCTGGAGTTTAAGAGCACCTTGTGAATAAAAGAAACAAGGAAAAGTTGCTGAGAGCATACCTTCGAAGATTCGAGCTCCACAAAACAGCATTCCCATTCTTGACTCATATGTGATTTCTGGCAAAAATTACAAATACCTGCATTTTGATTTGCATCAATCAAGTTTGATGTTTACTGGTACAAATTGAACCTTTGACATTTCCTGAAAAGGTGAAAATGAAAAAATAAGGGTAAAGGCCAATTTTAAAAGAATCATCTCCTTTCTATATTTACATTCATGGAAGCTGCACAAGCAAAAAACATATATATCTATATAAAAATAAAAAGGAAAATGTGGTTTTACAACACATTTTTACTCTAAAATAATACTTAAAAAGAGTATAAAATCTAAAATAATACTATAAGGTAGATGCAATTCGTAGAATGAAATGTGCAATATTTTCTGTTTCTAGCACTGATTCGTCCATCCAGTCTTGTGTAACTGTCCCATAAAAAATAAAGTAAAATATATACAAAAAAGAAAAAGAAATTCCAATTGAACTTAAAAAAAAAAAAGAAAAAGAGAGAAAATAAACAAGAGAGAAAAATAAGATGATGTTTTACAGTGTTCAACAAATTCAGATCCTAAATGATGGATTTACCTTGTATGTCACCAACTCACCTCCATTAAACAGAATCTTGGCCCCTTTTCTTCCTGTAAATTGCAGAAACTTGAAGCTAATTAATATGATACAAGGGCCTTAATCTGAACAAATCAATTCAATAATTTCTAGAAATGAACAGAGAGAAGCATAAGATATGGTGTTCGACAAATCCAAATCATAAAGGATGAATTTACCTCGTATGTCACCAATTCACTGAAATATGAACATTTGGGATGTGAGCAATCTTTGGCCAATCTTCCCCTGTTCCTCTCTGGCATTTATCATTTATCACGTCCGCACAACGTGTAACGAAGTGAGCCCATCTAACCACTCCGGTAAAGGCATCAAATTGTGACAGTTGTGAATCCGTAGAGTTCGAAGCGTGGTAAGATGTTGAAGCCCCACGGGAAGAGATACCAACTTTGGAATACTTTGGATAGACAGATCCGTTAGGTTCCTAAGATATTGCATGCCGTTGTCATCATCTGACAGATCAAGCTCGTCGCAATCCCAAATACTCAAAGAAAGGAGGGCGGTGAGAGGCCGCAGCACACCGGACAGAGAGGTTAGTCTTCGACAAGAACGAATTTCAAGATTCTGGAGAGAAGTGAGGCTTAGAAACGACTCCTCTGGGAGAGTAACTAGATCGTCAATAACAAATAAATCCAGAGACTTTAAATTGGAAAGAGGAGGAAAAAGCAAAGAAGAAGATGAAGAAGAGGTTGCGAGTGTATCTGTTGGTGGGGTTGGGGACACCAATGTCATCTTTAACTCTTCTTCTACTACCTTCTTGCTGACGTTCCAGAGTTTTAGTTGTTCAACACATGGTTGCAGAATAGGCATTGATGCCAGATTAGGGCAAACTAAGATGGATAATTGGGAAAGAGAAGGAAATGATGGGAGCTTGTTCAAATGTTGTTGTTGTTGGTCCTGTAAAGTTGTTGTTGCTTCTTCTTCTGCTTGGCTCCTCCACCATCCCTTCAATTTAGGCAATGTATAGAGTTCAAGTGTTTTGAGGGATGGGAAGAATGTTGGTGTTGGTGCTGCTCCTCCACTGGATGAAGATGAAGAGCACAGAGAATCCTCACTACCACTCCCACTACTACTCCTGTCCTCCATGTACTCCAAGGAAAACATATGCCGAAGACTCAGAAATTGGAGAGAAGGAAGTTGCCCAAATAGTGGAAGATGTTTGCATCTCTCACACCCGAACATATCAATTCTGACTAGATTTGGGAGAAATGAAGAGAATAAGCCAATTTTATCAACCATCATCCAACTTGGGAAACTCACTCCCCCATAGTACTCAATTGTCAGCTCCTTCAGATTCCGGTGTGGACGTAGGGATTCCAACAATGCCTCATTTTCTTCATCCCTATCAAATTCTAATTCCAGCCTCTTCAGGTATTGTTTGGCCTCCAAGTAGTTTGTTCCCTGCATTCTTCCCCCTGCTGCTGCTGTTACCTTTTTCACATACCCGCTACTACTTGAGTCCTCGCGTCGACGTATACGGATACATAACTTTCCCCTTAAATTGTTTAGGCTTTGTAATTCACTCAACCCGCTGAATGAGTCCACTTCAAATCTTGTTAATGTCAAAAGAGACGTCAACTTACCCAATCCACATGGCATGCCAGTCAATTCCAAGCACCCGTCAAGCTCAAGATGCCTAAGGTTCACCAATTTTTTAATCTCTCTGGGCAATTCTACAAGATCTGTACATTCATTGAGTTTTAGAGTCTGCAAATTTTGCAACTTGGTTATGGAATTTGGAAGAATCTTGATATTACTGCCACTAAGATCAAGATACCTTAAATGTTTCAACTCGGCTATACAATTTGGCACTGTGTTCAGCTTGTTTCTGGAACCTCGCCCATCCTTCAGATTCAGCACACGTAAACATTTATAAGTTGAAACAATTCTTTTCAAAGCTGTTTGTTCTAAATCTTGATCCTTCAAAATAAATGTTCTCAACTTTTTAGCTTTGACCAACCGTGTTGGAATTTCCCATTCTGAATCTACACGAAAACCAACTGACACATGACGGGTTCTTTCGGTAATACTTTCTGCACCTGAATTCAAAGTGGAGTACTCATGCCTTGCACAGTCTGTAGCAAGGTCATGCACAAGATCATGCATTTTGCAACTTTTTATCTCACCCCATTTATCTCTTTGGACGTCTTGAAAAAATGACCTCCTTAGTAAATTCATAAAATACAAATCACCTGCATCTTCCAATTGTTGATTCTCATACACTGATTGAACCAATCCCTCTGCAATCCACATTTGGATTAATTCTTCCTTACAAATTTCTTCATCTTTCAAATATAAAGAACAAAATGCAAAGCATCCTTTCAAATCCGGAGGGAGGTAATTGTAACTTAGCTTTAGTATTGGCAAAATAACATCCTCTGCTTGAGCTATTTTCAACAAATCATTATTTTTGAAAAGCATCCATTCAGCCTCTGTATTTTTATAGTATAGAAGGCTTCCTATAGCTCTTATGGCAAGAGGAACCCCCTTACACTTCTGTACAAGTTCCTTCCCTATTGTTACTCGAAATGGATTCTCCGACTCCTCCACGTGTTTGAATGCCATTTGCTTAAATAAAGACCACGACTCTTCCTTAGACAAGCCTTCTAAGACATATGGTGAATCTGCACTTGTAATATTTGCAACTAATTCACTACGAGTTGTTACTAATATCTTACTTCCCTTTGAACCACCTTGCAACAAATCTCTTAGTTTTAACCATCTTTCACGGTACTGATTCCACACATCGTCCAACACAAGCAAAAATTTCTTTCTGTCAATTTCTTTCCTAAGGGTTTCTTGCAAGTTATCCATGGAAAGGTCTTTTTCAAGCTTTTTGGATCTTGCAGACTCTATGATCTTTTCTACAATGAGTTTCACATCAAAGTCATCAGACACACACACCCACATCTTAAGCTCAAAATGTTTAGTGACCCTCTCATCCTTATATACTAGTTGTGCAAGTGTGGTCTTTCCTAGCCCCCCCATCCCAACCACTGCAACAACTGACACATTATCTTGAACATTACTGTTCTCATGAACATTACTGTCCAATAAAAGTTGGATAACTTTCATTTTATCACCATCCCTCCCAATAACAGATTCTGCCTGAACAAAAGAGCCAGTCTCCTCCCTCTGAACTATAGTATTCTCTATAGTCCGTTCAGTGAGGTGAAAATTTCTCCTATCTTCTGCAATCTCATCTAGTCTCTCCCTGACGGCCTTAATATCACGAGCCATCTTACTACTGTATGCAAGCTGGTTTGAGCATGACAAGAAATTGCGTACCTTCTCTAGCCTTTTGTTCTGAGTCGTAACCTGGCGACGGAGAAGTTCAGTGGAGAAGTCGTCGAGCAAGTCATCGGCATCATAAAATGCATCGTTGGCCTTTTCGAGCCAGTCTTCAACCTCATGATTTGTGGCTTTGTGCTCCTCTGCATCAAGAAGCACGGCTCTAATTGTGGAAACTGTGTCTTTGAGTTTGTCAAGTTCATTGCCGACCCCTGATACAAGCCGGATCTCCTGGACAACCAACGAACCCAACTTCTTTAGGATTTCAGTGACAGTGTTATAAATAAGTGATTCAGCCATTTTCTTGTAAGGAGATGATGATGATATCAGTGATTTCTTTGTGTAGTTTTTTGTTTGTGCAGTTGTTGCAGTAGGCCTGTAAGATGATCTTATAAACCGGTGAAGCAAAAGGATACTTTTTTTAGGAAAAAGTCATTCTTGCCCTTATCGTCTATACCTCTTTTTAAAGTTCTCTTGCTTAGTAAGACATCTCTCTAAAAATTGCTCTTGTAATAATTTACTTACAGGGAATTGTTTTATTAAGAGATGGAGTAGATGGTCAATAAATTTTTATTTTTATTTTTATTATTTTTTTATTTATTACTTTTTTTTTTTTTTGAAATGTTGGACAAGTCTACTCAATGTTTCATAATGGAAACAGGCAATTCAAAGGACGAAAAAAAAAGGCAAGACCATGTGCAACCACCCAAATAATTGAAGGATTAATAAAGTCTAGTCTCCTCAAGTGGGTCCTTGCTGAGTGGGAAAAAAACAAAAAAACAGAAACGAAAATAAAAAGTTGGTGAGTCATAAAGCCAGACCAAGTATTATATCGGGTAAATTTTTTTTATTCACATTCCCGCCACCATGTCTGCAAAAATAAAAAGTTGTCTCTTAAATTTTAATTTGTTACCACACTTTATATATAGAAAAAGTTGGTGAGTCATCAAGCCAGACCAGTATTTCATCAATTTGTTCTACGGCATTTGTTCTATGTGTACAAATAAAAAAAAAGGCTATGTGTACATATGAACATGCAAGTTTGGAGAGAAGTGTGAAAATGAAACCTTCTTTGAAAATGAATCAATTTGTTCTACGGAGATGAGCTCTGTGTGCCACAATTTTCCGAGCTCCCTTGCTATGTCTACAGGAAGGCACCGTCCAGTTACTGTTATTTCATCAGCACCAGAACCAGCACTAACATCCTCAACTCCTACGGAATTTAGAAAAATTTACATCCATTTTTATACAAGCTTGAGGCATATATACTACTAAGTAGGTTTGACTTGATACCTGGAAGAGTCCTGACTATCGTAAAGGTTTCTTCATGAAAAATATTATCAAGGTGATCAAGTCTTAAGCAAAACTTCTGTAAGAAAAATGAGAGAAAACCAGAACACCCAAAAAGTAGTGATTCAAACTCTTGAGTCAATTTTTTTAATAGCTAAACTGAATAAAATGATAAAAGATACAACAAATTAATTCTAGATAGAACATGTAATTGAAGATGATGATAAAACCAGCCTGGTAACAAAATTTGGACGAAGGTGAGAAAATCAAACCTTGAGTACATCTACACTTGACCAGTACCTGAGGATTTATTTGCATAAATAAAGTTAGTAATAAAGAGAGAGAAAATCTTTAATTGCATATGACATAAAACATTGGAAATGAAAATTTTAAAAAAAGAAAAAGAAAAATTGCAAATGGATGATAAAAATTCTGCTAGTAATAAACCAAGTTTTGTCAATATGAACTGAAAAGAGGAAGATTAGGCCCAGAAATTTACTCTTTCTTGCCAATTTGAATCGAAATAATCTCTGCCAGTGTCTTTGCTGCTAAAGGCAGGCCATCACACCTGTGAATAATCTCATCCTTCATTCTTTCCAACCTTTGATAATGATCATCAGTTAAAAATTCCTTTCGTCGAATTGAATCCATGAACATTGACCAGATCAGTGCCTCTTGATTGAATAGTGGCTGGAGTCTGAATAAGTTATTCTCACCCACCATGCTTGTTGCTACTTCTTCGAGTCCACTAGTGACAATTACGACCCCTCCACCTCCCTTTGGCAAACCGTGGCATAGACGGTTCATATCCGTGCGCAGACTAGAACCCAGATCAGAATACCAATCATTCTGGTGCCATACGTTGTCTAGCACAATCAAATACTTTTTACCGCATAGCCTATTCTGCAATTCTATGAGCTGCTCTGGGAGAGAATCAGGAATTATATTGATAATTTGTGCATCATTGCCGTTGGCAGAAAAAGTTTCCAACAATTGCCTCATAAATTCTGACGGACTCAAATTTTGAGAGTGTGTGACCCAAATTATGGGTGAGAACAATCTACAACAGTATTGGTCATTGACAACCATTCGGGCGAGAGTGGTTTTACCAACACCACTCATTCCCACAATTCCAATTGTCTTAATACCATCATTGTCAGCCTGTTCGAGGAGCAATGCTTTGATCTTCCTCAACTCGTCATCGAACCCATGAATCTCGCCTGCAGCTTGTCGTCGTAACCATGAAGGATTCCACACTTTGATAGAGTCTGATAGCAAAGAGATTTCAGCAGCAGCAACATCATCTTTCACCAATTCTAAGTTACGTTGGATTCGAAGCAGTTTCTTTCCGGTTGTATAAATAAACCAACACTTCTTCACATTCGTCATCGTCATCATAATCCTTGTCTGAATCTCGTATGTATGGACATGAAAACTACTTTTCATGTTCTGGATTCTTTGGGTCCTCTCCTTCTGGCTGTCCCTCTCCTTCTCAGCTAACATGATGCACTCCTTCAACTCGTGTATCAGGTCATACAGCCCATTCTTCATTACAATAGGCGTCGAGGGCTTGATAGTCCTCTCTTGCAAAAACTTCTGGATATCATGGAACTTAGGAAGGAGGGGAAATTCACCACGGAATTCGTCCTCTGCTTCTTGGAATTCACGGATGAATCTGTCCTTGAGAAATTGTAAATGATCTGCTGCCATTTGATCTTGATCTGCAATTCTTAGAAATAATAACACACACTCTCTCTCAAGTCTATATATATACTAAATTTTACTGCTTAGTGGCGAATTAAGCAGTTGAAGTACTTACACAACTGCAGTTGCGTCTGGTGGACAGACCTGATTTCTTGGCAACCGGAGATGGCTTCTATTAGGGCATCCGGTATGATAGGTCTAGGTTGGCGGCTATGGATGTCAACTTTTATTGAGAGTCATGTCAATCATTCATTTTTACTGGTACAGTGATGAGATTTTTATGACAATTGGTTGCCTTGAGGCTCTCTATGGTATTGTCTACTCACTCTAATCATGCACAGGATTGGAATGTCAAAATAACACATTAAAGTCTCTAAGCTCTTATTCAATGCACAACCTGCTTCATGGTACCAACTAATCAAAAACCTTGTCTCACTTATTTGTAATATTACTTGCCTAGTGGGGGTACCATGATGGCTCTACCAGACCTGGATGTCAATGATCTAATCCAATGGACCCCATCTCCTCCCAAGTCTTATTCCCTACAGTGTGGTTCAGAAAATGCTACACTTAAGCATAGTGTCTGCTTATGACTTGCAATACAGGAGAAATTGCCGACACTATACAAGGACAAAGCTCCAATGAGACGGAGAAATAGTGGAATCTATTTTATTAAATTATTTTTGAAAGAGAAATTTATAAGCAGACACTATGAAAGAGAAATTTATAAGCAGACACTATGCTTAATAAAGTCTAGTCTCCTCAAGTGGGTCCTTGCTGAGTGGGAAAAAAACAAAAAAACAGAAACGAAAATAAAAAGTTGGTGAGTCATAAAGCCAGACCAAGTATTATATCGGGTAAATTTTTTTTATTCACATTCCCGCCACCATGTCTGCAAAAATAAAAGGTTGTCTCTTAAATTTAAATTTGTTACCACACTTTATATATAGAAAAAGTTGGTGAGTCATCAAGCCAGACCAGTATTAAGGATGGGGATGACAATGGGATAAGTTATTCTTGTGTGTTCTTTTTACAAAGTGTAGTCGTACTTTATTCTTTATTTATTTATTATTTGTATAAAATTTAAACTCTTAGATAAGGCAGTGTGATGGAAATAAAGGTAATAAGAATTGGGCCACACAACCCGGGACAAAGCGAAGATGTACGGTGAGGGAGGGCAAAAATAATTTTTGGAGGGCATTAGTGCATTTTTTTATAATTTTAGGGGAGGCAAATATAATATTTCATGGTTATATTATTGAAAATGAATAAATTGTAAGGGTAGAATGCTATAAAAAATATATATATATATGGATCCGTCCTTACACACAACTACGTGAAACTCTTCAAATAATTGATGGCAAGTCTTCACAAGTGGCCTCACAATCACGTAAAACTCTTCAAATAATTTATAACTAGTCACCACAAATGGCCTCGAAATCACCTAAAACTATTCAAATAATTGATGACTAGTCCCCACAACCACGTGAAACTCTTCAAATAATAGATGACTAGTCTCCACAAGTAGCCTCACAATCACGTAAAACTCTTCAAATAATTGATAAATAGTTCCCACAATCACAAGTGGCCTCACAACAACATAAAACTTTTCAAATAATTGATCGCTATTCCCCCACCCCCACTGCCTCACTGATTGCAAAATCCTCACTGACTTGTAATTGTGTGAAACATAATACAGCCCAAACTACCATTGTAGTTTTGATGACAATGAAACGTGGTTGATATGCCGGATCTCTCTATCGAAAGTTTCAAACGCTTGAAAATTTTCGAAAAAAAATGAGTGGTCTCTATTTGGTGTCCATCATTTCTTGCTTCAAGCCTTCAACCTTTCACCTCTGACTGTCAACTCTACTCATCTGACATTGTCTGGTAAAAAAATATATATTAGTATTTTTTTTATTTTTCATTTCATATTTCAAACACCTTGTTCTTACTTTTTTATTTTTTAATTTAGAAAAAGCCAAAATTGCCCTTATCATCTATATCCCTTTTTAAAGTTCTCTCTTAGTAAGACGCGTCTCCAAAAATTTGCTCTTGTAATAATTTACTTACAGGGTTCAAATACGCAATAAAAAAAAAAAAAAAATTTACTTGCATGGAATTGTTTCGACCATTCTTCTTTAAGAGATGGAGTAGATGGTAAATAACTTTTTATTTTATGATTGCATGAACTTTGGGGGTTTATGCCAATTCCCCGTCTCCCAATAGCATTTCTGACCAAAAGGGGCTCCGATCTGATTCTACAGTTACAGTCTCTTATAAAATAAATATACAACTTTATCAATAGGTCAGTGGTATGAGTCTCTTACCTTTTAAAGAAAAGTTCGGGTTCAAGTCTTATAAGAAACGTGTGTGAGAGTGTTAACAAGGAAAAAAAAAAAAAATTAATAATAATTTACTTGCATGGAATTTTTTCGACCATTGTTCTGTAAGAGATGGAGTAGATGGTAAATAACTTTTTTTTGGTTGAGATATTGGACAAGTCCTTCTCAATGTTTCATAATCTAGTGATGGAAACAGACCATTCAAGGACGAAAAAAAGGCAAGACCATGTGCAACTCCCCAAATAATTGAAGGATTAATAAAGACTAGTCTCCTCAAGTGGGTCCTTGGTGAGTGGGAAAAACACAAAAATACAGAAACGAAAAGAAAAAGTTGGTGAGTCATAAAGCCAGACCATAGGGATGAAAATGTGGTGGTGATCAATCCCCGTTCTACTCCCTGACTATTTTTATGATGAATTTTTCTATGGGATAATTTCAAAAAAATAAAATTTTATGAGTAAAAGGTCAAAAAGGTAATGTCAAACTTTAATTTTTCAAATAAATAAAATTTTATAAAAACTTACGACGACATGAAAATTTATTACAAAATAACCTAACTACCTTCTCCCTCTCTTTATATCTCTTTGTGATCTTCATATCTCTTTATGATTGCATGCACTTTTGGGGTTTATGTGCCCAATTCCCCATCTCCCAAGAGCATTTCTAACCAAAAAGGGCTTCGATCTAATTTTACCGGTACATTCTCTTATAAAATAAACACACATACTTTACCAACATGTCAGCACAATCAGCCTCTTACCTTTCAAAAGAAGGTCGGGTTCAAGTCTTATAAAAAACGTGTGTGAGAGTACTAACAAGAAAAAAAAAAAAAAAAAAAAAAAAAAAAAAAAAAAAAAAAAACTTTTATCATAAATAAAATCTAAATAAAACTTATGCCATTCTTATACATTTTGTTTACACGTGTCAAGTGTTGATCTTACCAAAACCAATAATTCAGGAGCTTGTAATAATTTACTTACAGGGAATTTTTTCAATCATTCTTTTAAGAGATGGAGTAGATGATAAATAAATTTTTTTTTTTGTTGAGACGTTGGACAAGTCTACTCAATGTTTCATAGTCTAGTGATGGAAACTGACAAATCAAGGACGGAAAAAAAAAAACGCAAGACCATGTGCAACACACCAAATAATTGAAGGATTAATAAAGGCTAGTCTCCTCAAGTGGGTCCTTGCTGAGTGGGACAAAAACAAAAAAACAGAAACGAAAATAAAAAGTTCGTGAGTCATAAAGCCAGACCAAGTATTATCCCGGGTAAATTTTTTTTTATTCACATCTGCAAAAATAAAAGGTCGTCACTTAAATTTTAATTTGTTACCACACTTTATATATAGAAAAAGTTGGTGAGTCATCAAGCCAGACCAGTATTAAGGATAGGGATGAAAATGGAATAAGTTGTATCGGTGTGTTTTTTTTATAAACTTCAAGGGTGTTGATTTACTTTACCCTTTATTTCTTTATTGTTTGTGAAAAATGCAACTTGTTAGACAAGGCTTGCATGACGTTTTATAATGGAGTGTGATGAAAATAAAGGTAATAGGAATTGGGCCACAAGACCAGGGACGGAACAAGGATGTAAGATAGGGGGGTAGGAGAGGCAAATATAATATTTCATGGTTATATTATTGAAAATGAACAAACTATAAGGGTAGAATGCTAAAAAATAAAATTATGGATCCGTCCTTGCACACAACTACGTGAAACTTTTCAAATAATTGATGACCAGTCTCTACAAGTGGCCTTACAACCACGTAAAACTCTTTAAATAATTAATGACTAGTCTCCACAATCACAAGTGACCTCACAATCACGTGAAACTCTTCAAATAATTGATCGCTCTTCCCCACCCCACCGCCTCACTGATTGCAAAATCCTCACTGACTTGTAATTGTGTGAAACATAATACAGCTCAAACTATCATTGTAATTTTGATGACAATGAAGTGTGGTTGATTTGCCCGACTCTCTAATGAAAGTTTCAAGCCCTTAAAAAATTTCGAAAATAAATGAGTGGTCTATATTTAGTGTCCATCATTTCTTGCTTTATCCTCTCACCTCTAGCCGTTAACTCTAATCATCTAACATTGTCCGATAAAAATATATATATTAGTATTTTTTTTTTTTTTTTTCATTTCATATTTCAAACTAAGATGGAATTAGCTTAATTTACAAACACATTGTTCTTACTTTTTTATTATTATTATTTGGAAAAAGCCAAAATTGCCCTTATCATCTATATCTCTTTTTAAAGTTCTCTCTTAGTAAGACGTCTCTCTGAAAATTTGCTTTTGTAATAATTTACTCTCAGGGAATTGTTTCAATCATTCTTCTTTAAGAGATGGAGTAGATGGTCAATAATTATTATTTTTGGTTGAGATGTTGGATAAGTCCTACTCAATGTTTCATAATCTAGTGATGGAAACAGACAATTCAAGGATGAAAAAAAGGCAAGACCATGTGCAGCTCCCCAAATAATTGAAGGATTAATGAAGTCTAGTCTCCTCAAGTGGGTCCTTGGTGAGTGGGAAAAAAACAAAAATACAAAAACGAAAAGAAAAAGTTGGTGAGTCGTAAAGCCAGACCATAGGGATGAAAATGTGGTGGTGATCTCAATCCCACGGTGAATATTTTTATGATGAATTTTTCTATGGGATAATTTCAAAAAAATAAAATTTTATAGGTAAAAAGTTACAGTCAAACTTTAATTTTTCAAATAAATAAAATTTTATAAAAAGTTGATGTTGACCTGAAAATTTGATACAAAATGACCTAACTACCCTTTCTCTCTCTTCATATCTCTTTGTGACTGCCACTCTGTTGGGGTTTATGCGCCCAATTCTCCATCAACATCGGCACAGCAAGGTCTGTCCAAGAGCACTGACCAAAAGGGGCGCAGATATGATTATACAGGTATGCTCTTATAAAATAAACATATATACTTTACCAACGGGCCACAAACATAGCAGTATTAGCATCTTACTTCCTAAAGAGAGGTCAAAGATTCAAGATTCAAGAGAAACGTGAACTTTATCATAAATAAAATCTAAATAAAACTTATGCCATTCTTATACATTTATTCACCACGTGTCTAAGTGTTGATCTTACCAAAACCAATAATTCAGGAACTCGTAATAATTTACTTACAGGGAATTTCTTTTCAATCATTCTTCTTTAAGAGATGGAGTAGACGATCAATAAATTTTTTTTTTTTTTTGTTGAGATGTTGGACAAGTCCTACCCAATGTTTCATAATCTAGTGATGGAAATTGACAATTCAAGGACAAAAAAAAAAAAGCAAGACCATGTGCAACACCCCAAATAATTGAAGGATTAATAAAGGCTACTCTCCTCAAGTGGGTCCTTGGTGAGTGGGAAAAAAACAGAAACGAAAAGAAAAAAGGCAAGACTAAGTATTAAGGATAGGGATGACAAGTAGGTCCTTGGTGAGCTTGTAAAAACCAAAAAAACAGAAACGAAAAGAAAATGAGGTGAATTCTACATGAAGCACTCACAGACCTCATAACCAATTGTGCAACGTCATGGACAGGATCGTGCATTCTGCAACTTAATATACTGCCCTAAAATCAATAGAAATAAAATAAAAATCTCCTACAACTTCCCCATGCTGAACTCCATCTACTTACTGACCAGCAGAAGCTAGTGGAGAGATTCAGTACTGGAGAGGAGCCGTATACTGCAGGGAGAGATTGGACTGAAGATCTTGAAACTCCATTAACCCCCTTCCCATCTCTGTTGGCGGAGATAAAACGGTGATGCATGCATTATCAAAACTACCAAATGGATTATTTATGCTTGAACATACAGAAAAATGACCTTAGAATTCGAGTAACAGGCGATTGCAAAATGTATCATTCGGGGAATGTGAGCAGTCGATGCTCTAAACAGAGGTCAGTAGTTTGACGATACCATCATGTAACCATCCAGCTTCATGACACCGATGCAGAAGGAAAATAAAGAAGACAGCTCTAGTGTGGAAGGTTTTTAATCAACTATCCATGCATGTAACTGGCAAAAGATATGCGGATTTTAATGGTGATGAAACTACCAATTGGAATTGGAATATAATTGTCAGCTTAAGCAGAAAAAGGATCAGTTTCCTCGTACACATTACAAATCAGAGGGGGAAATCTTGAAATTGCTTTGAGGTTGACTCAATCCCCAAGAATCTTCCGTTTTTTGGATGTGTTCATGTATGGTCTAATGACCCATTCAGTTTGAGCTTCACCTTGATCCATTGTTCCTAGCTTAATCTGAAACATCAGAAGAAGCGAAAACAAGAAAATCAACCCGCGATTGTCAAACAAAGAAATACACCACAATGAGGGCATGAATAAAGCATACAAATCTTGGCAGAATACTAAACCAAGAACCAAGAACACAGAGTTTTTCAAGAAGTATAACAAAATGCAAATCAACATAAATAATCTCAGAAGACGAAAAGGATCAGAAGAGACTAGATGCTATCAACATCATCTTTAATTACACCTTAAATTCCTTGTCAAGAAACAAACTGGTTCAAAATCGATTTTGCTTTAAAAGAGCATGAATACAGGACTTCATTCCGTGAATGAAGAAGAATCACCCATCTTTTTATCCAGGAAATGAATTTATATCTACAGCAACAGTTCGACAGAAACACAATCCAAGACCAAGAATCACTCAAAAGACAATCAAGACTCCAGCAAATCTCATGTTTGGATCAACATTTCTGTATTTAAAAAAACCTTTGGCTCTTCGAAACTCGGGAGAGAAACTTAGCAAGGTAACTTGAGAAATATGTTACTGGATCCACATTACAATATGACATTACATACCTTTTCTTTTTTTTTGATAAGTCAATATGACATTGCAACCTTCACATAAACTCATCCAAGAATCATTAGCTAACTAACAACAAGTGATTTTAGCAGGATAATTAATGATCAGTCGGTACAAAGGGCTAGTTCCAAATCTAACTCCTCATGAAAACACCTGTGGATAGTCCGGGTAAATATCTCTTGCATATTGAGATCCAAAGACCATGTCTTTTTTGTTTTGGATGCAAAATACTCTTGCGTTTCTTTCTGGGTAGAGGTGACAAATCTTGTCACTACCTGCCAATATGACTCAAAGCAAACATGAAGTTGGCAGGTGTGGGTCAACTCTAAGCATGTCAACCTGTTCATCCGTTAAACTAAACAAATTGTGTTCGGGTTTAGGGACTCTATCTCTTTAACTAAATGTATCTAGTCAGCGTGAATATATTCATCACTTGTCTAAACTTATATAAGTAATTATATTTAAATTAAACGGGCATATTTGTCAACCATAATAACCCTAGACATAAATGTTCACTCCAAATTCAAATATTTCATCTAATATTTTGGGTTTTTTATTCATCTTTGATATTTTCATTTTATTAATTAATAAAAATATTAACCAGGTTATTATACAAGCCGTGTCATGTTACATGTTACATAATTATAATTTTTTTAATTAAATAAGTCACTGGAGTCATGGCAGTTCGTGTTCAACTAAAGACATCTGGACATTAATAATAAACAGATAGTGTTAGGGTTGACATATATACCTGAACGTCCTCATCTCAACACAACCATTTAACACGAATTGCCACCCAATTTATGAGCAAACACACTATATCACCACCAAAGAGGCATATTTCTAAAAAATACTCTCCCTAAAAAATTTTGTGTGATTTCTTTTATATAAATAATTTAAGTGTGATTGCTTAGTAAAGAATATGAAATCCCACCCAGTTTTTTGACGGCAGATCTTTTATGCAACAGCATCAATTAACTGAACAAAAACAACAAAAAAAATGTGTAGGATAATGGTTATGATTATGGTTTGAGGGATATTCCTTTATAGTAAATATAAGACATGAATTTGCCACCAACAAGAATTCTGCATATTTTTTCTTTTAGGACTGGAGACCAGACAGATCTGACGATGGCTGTTAGGGGTGTCAAGCATTTAAGCATATAGAAGGTAATAAAAAACCAGACAATTTTTGCCATTTCTAGATTAAAGAACACAGCCCGGCAATTGGCAGGAAAGTACAACAATGCCAGAAGCAATAGATCTAACAAATTGGGTTGTAAGGCGACTTGAATTCATGTAGCCGACCCCAAGTAGTTGGGAAAAGGCTTTAATTGTCGTTGCAGTTTTGAATTGAAAGGAAAATACCTGGTACAACCGCAATTCAAACCGAGGACCAATCTCCTTCAGCTCAATCGATTTAGGACCTCCGCGTTTCTCATAAATATGATGCCTGCATGTTTAGAAAAAGGAGAAAAGAAATTCAAACAGAATAACATACAAAAGCTACACTGTTCATTTCATTGAGGATATTACTTTCATGATTGTTCAATCAATATCATCCACCGATGGAACAGAAAAAATAATTGGATTCCTATGAACCGTGATGAACGATAGAGGGAAGTTCTGAAGATATTTTAGCCCCTTTTTTTCTGACAATTATGGCAGACAATAAAACAGTAGATAGAGTAACCACTGGCACTGCTTTAGATAGCAATGCTGTTAAGCCTGCCGGAAAACTAAATGGTGCTGAGACTGCTACATCTTATTATAGCAGACAATAAAACAGTAGATAGAGTAACCACTGGCACTGCTTTAGATGACAATGCTGTTAAGCCTGCAGGAAAACTAAATGGTGCTCAGACTGCTCTACAAGGCCTGGATTCAGTTTACTTGATAAATTGATGAGCTTGAGTGAGCCCACATTGGGGCTCAACTTAAGTTGAGTATGAACAGATTGGTTTATTTGCAGCATTGCACACCTCACCAAGACGTTGCTAGAGTGTGTCATTACTCAGCGTGGTTAGACAGACTAATCAGCACTGAGGTAATTAAAATTCCAAAATTCTACAATCTTTTTTTCTTTCAGTTTTGGTCCAACGCATGGCTACACAAACCGGGTAGCCCTCCCTTATCATAAAGCCTCAAAACCTGATGAAGGGGGATTTGAACCCAAGTCTTTGATACAACTACCTAGAAACTTTACTACATCTTTCACCTTAAAACAATTTAAGTAACTCCGAAACTGGATACTAAATTTATATCAAAATCCCTTCACAACTCCATGTAAAATGATTTCATCCGTGTTAAAAAAAAAGTAAGAAGCTTGAAGATTAATGACTTTGTAGTCCTCAAGAAACTATAGAGTTCACCTATCGAGTATATAACATCAAAGTTGTTCAGATCCATGATAGCGATCATGCATATAGGATATCCAAGAGGATAATGGTGGTTAAGTATGAAAAGTTTCATCTTGAAAGATACACGGAATAATAGCAATAGACACATCTGATAAATTAAAACTATACTAGTTAAGCATCCAACATGCACATATCAGAATATGCAACAAGGAACCAACCTGAAGGAAATATAGTCCGACTGATTAGCAAAAGTGATTATACGTTTTGTATCAGGCTTGGGCACTGGAAATAGATGCTTTAAAATGGTTGCTGTCCTTTCACCAAGCTGTCAGCAGTCAACGGATCCAAAAGTATTACGAATGCTCAGAACATTACCCGTTATAGATAAATCAACCCCACAACATATAACAAATTGGTTAGTAGTGCCAAATTGATAGCAGCACGAACTTATCTACAGTGCTATAAGAATGAACCCAAAAAAAAAAAAAAAAAAAAATCACAAATTAGGGAGGAAATGGGGGAGAGAGAGAGACTATTAGCACTACAGAAAGTAACACTAACAGAGTAAGAAATCCTATTGTATTTCAAATTTTACAAATTTTCAAATGGTTACTTATTTATGAATATTCAAGTCATTTTTAGATAGGTTCAATATGAAAACAGTGAAATAGATTTTCTTCTAATATGAAAACTGTGGAGAAATGAATTCAATTATATTGAATCTGTTAATTAATTTTACAAGAGCCTCTGTTGGGCTATATATAAGAAATTACAAAGAGAAAAATCAGCAACTAACTTAATTTTGAAATCCCTATAATCAGGAATCCCTGATTCTCTATCAATCAAATCCCTAAACTCTAGGAAACAAATATTTACACAAATCCCTAAACTCTAGGAAACAAATATTTACACAATTCTAGTGCTAACCTACCACTAATCAAGGAGGTATTTTTCCACACTCCCCCTCAAGCTGGTGAATAGGTGTCAACCATTCCCAGCTTGGAAATAATTTCTTGGAAGATAACACGGTTGAGCCCCTTTGTAAGAACATCTGCCAATTGACCTCCCGTGGGAACGTATGGTGTGCAAATTAATCCGCTTTCTAGTTTTTCCTTGATAAAATGCCTGTCTATCTCAATGTGCTTAGTTCGTTCGTGTTGCACTGGATTATGTACAATGTTGATTGCTGATTTATTGTCACAGTAGAGTCTCATTGGCCCACTCCATTTAATCTTCAAGTTTTCCAGTATAATCTTCAGCCATAACAACTCACAGACACCTTGTGCCATTGCTCTAAACTTAGCTTCTGCACTTGACCGGGCTACAACATTTTGCTTCTTGCTTCGCCATGTTACCAAATTGCCTCCAAGGAATGTACAATAACCTGAAGTAGACCTCCAATCCATAGGGGCCCCCGCATAATCTGCATCTGTGTAGGCTTCAAGGATAAGCTCAGAATTTCTCTTGAACATTATCCCCTTCCCAGGATTAGCTTTCAAGTAATGAAGCACACGGTAGGCAGCTTGAAGATGAATCTCCTGGGGTCATGCATGAATTGGCTGATGACGCTAACAGAATATGCTATGTCCGGCTAGGTGTGGGCAAGATAAATGAGTTTGCCAACTAATCTCTGGTACATCTCTCTATCTACTGCTTGATCTCCAATAGCCTCTCCAAGTCTATGGTTCGGCTGTATAGGTGTTGTAGCTGGTTTGCTTACGAGCATTCCTGTTTTCTTAAGAAGATCGGTGACATACTTTTGCTGCGAGATGAAGATACCTGGTCTAGAATGAGCCACTTCTATCCCTAGAAAATACTTCAATCTCCCCAAATCTTTTATCTCGAATTCTTTGATCAAACATTGTTTCAAGGCTTGCTTCTCCTTCTCATCATTTCCAGTCATAATTATGTCGTCTGCATAGACTATCAAGGCCGTGACTTTCCCTGAAACTGAGTGTTTGATGAAAAGAGTGTGATCTCCCTGACTCTGCTTGTATCCTGTAGCTAACATCACTTTAGTAAATCTACCAAACCAGGCACGAGGCGATTGTTTTAAACCGTATAAGGGCTTCTTTAACTTACATACCTTGTTCCCTTCAACTCCTCCAAATCCTGGCGGGATGCTCATATAGATTTCTTCTTCCAAGTCACCATGTAGAAAGGCGTTCTTCACATCGTACTGCTGTAATTCCCAATTAAAATTGGCTGCTAATGACAACAAGATCCTCACAGTGTTCATTTTTGCAACTGGAGCGAAGGTCTCTTGGTAATCAACTCCATATGTCTGAGTGTACCCCTTAGCAACTAGCCTTGCTTTGTAGCGCTCTAACGATCCATCAGCCTTATATTTCAAGGTAAAAACCCACTTACACCCTACTGCCTTCTTTTCTTTTGGTAGATCAACCACCTCCCACGTCCCATTTTTTTCCAATGCGTCCATCTCAACTCTCATTGCTTTCCTCCATTCTTCATTGGATAATGCCTCAGATAAAGTGTTTGGAATAGAGATTTCATTTAGACTCATGAGAAAACTCCTATGGGCTGGTGAGAATTTCTTTAAGGATACATAATGAGATAGAGGGTATAATGGTCGTTTGGTACACTCTCGAGTTCCTTTCCTCACGGCTATGGACAAATCCTGGTCAGTTATTTGAGGTCCAGGGAGCTGGTGTTCTATAAGTGGAGTAGGTTCATATACTGTTACCTCATTCTCAGGAGTCAGGTTAGAGGTTTGGGCCTGCATCAGATCAGGAGCTGGACCTTGCTTCCTCGAGTACACCTTCCCTTTCCCATACCCTACGTGATCAAGAGTCATATTATCCTTCACAGGAGACACAACAGGAGATATAGGTGACAAAACAGGAAATTCAGGCTCAGGTACTGAGTTGGATGGAGTGTTTGATACAGGTAAGAGAGATGGTGACGGCAAAGCGAGCTGGAAAAAATCCTTATCTTCTATGATAGAGGACTCCCCCTGAAGATAAGGTTCAATAAAATACGGTTTTCCTTCCGCAAAAGTGACATCAGCTGAGATATAAAGTTTCCTGGTAGGAGGATGAAAACATTTGTAACCTTTTTGTGTGGACGAGTATCCTACAAACACACACTTAATGGCTCTAGGATCTAATTTGCCCCAGTTGTTACGATGGACATGAACAAATGAAGTGCACCCAAATATTCTAGGGGTAAGGTTTGTTTGTGGTACTAAGGTCGGGGTAGAATTTAGAAAGGACTTCCATTGGACTTCTTGACCCTAAAACCCGTGAAGGAAGTCTGTTTATGATGTAGGCAGATGTAAGTACTGCTTCCCCCCAATAGTGTTTTGGTACATTTTGATGAAACAAGAGTGCTCTAGTAGTGTTAAGGAGATGACCGTTTTTCCTTTCAGCTACTCCGTTTTGTTGTGGAGTATTAATGCAAGATGACTCATGAATAATTCCTTCCTTTTGAAAGAAGGGTGACAAGACTTGATTGAAGTAATCCCTCGCATTATCAGACCTAAACCTCTTTATTTTGGTACCAAACTAATTGTGGATCATTGTATGGAAATTGAGAAAGATATTACTCACATCTGATTTGTTTTCGAGTAAAAATATCCAAGAGACTCTAGTGCAATCATCGATAAAGAACACAAACCACCGTGAACCAGAAACATTTGGGACTGTGGAGGGTCCCCATATATCACTGTGAATTAAATAGAAAGGGGAGGAACTTCTTTTATTGCTAATGGGAAAAGCTACACGAGTGTGTTTTGCATACTCACAAATATCACAATGAAATGTCCCAATATTTAATCCCTTAAACAAAGAAGGAAACATGATTTTTAGAATTGCAAAAGAAGGATGTCCGAGACGAATATGATGCAACCATATGACATCTTTATTGGAAGAAGAGAGAAACGAAGAGGATAAATTTGTCCTGATCATACTCGGAAGGCTCGGTGTCTCAAGGTAGTAGAGTCCTTCCTTTTCCTTACAATAAGAGGGATAAAACGTAACATGACAATGTAAGTCTCTAGTAAGCCTTTGAATGGACACAAGGTTAGCGGACAATTTAGGAACATGTAAAACATTTTTAAGAACAAGACTAGGGGTGATATGGATATCTCCTACACCAGCAACCGTGGTTGTGGTTCCATCAACAACAATGATTTTCCTATTGCTAGGACATGGGGTACAAGTACTGAACTGGTTTGAGGCATGTGTCATGTGGTCTGTGGCTCCCGAGTCTATGATCCATGAATCCACAAACAATTTATCAGAAACATTTAATCCAAGGGAGAATAAAGACTCACCTGAGAGGGCTAAAGAACAAGCACCAGAAGATGGTTTCTCAAGGGTTCCCAGCAGATTTCTTAACTTCTCTATTTCTTCACCGTCGAATCCTCCATATTCTTTTGCCTGGCCCTGACCCACGTGTGAGGTCATATAGGCTTGTCCTTGTTGTCGTTGTTGCTGTCCTCCTTTGTTTCCCCATTCTCAGCTGGATGTGGGTGGTTTCCCATGTAATTTCCAGCAACGATCCCTGGTCTGTCGCGACTTTTTACAGTATGTACACCAAAGATTATCTCGGTTTGCCCCCTTTGATAATTCCGCCTTTCCCTATTCAGCTTTTTGTGGTTGTTCTAGAGTGAAACCTCGCTTGTTGTCACCAGAGACTACGAGTGCTGAGCTGTCAATCGACTGAGGTTCAAGCATGATTCCTCTCCGACTCTCTTCAGCCCGAATCAAAGAAATCACCTCATTAAGAGATGGTACCTCCTCCTTGCCCAAAATTTGAATTCTGACTTGATCAAATTCAGAGTTTAGGCCAGCGAGAAAATCATAAACTCGATCTTTTTCAATGAAATTTTTGATAATTACAGCGCATTCGCTGCACTTCAAATCAATCACCCGGTAGTAATCCAGTTCTTGCCACTGGTTTTGCAGAAAATTGGCATACTCAGTCACGGACTTGTTCCCCTATTTTGTAGACGTTGTCTTTGTCTTGATCTCGTATACTTGCGCCGCATCATGAACCTTGGAGTAAGTCTGGTTGAGAGCGTCCCAGATGGCCTTCGCAGTTGGTAGGAACATGCATGTATCGCTGATTTCAGGTGTCATGGAATTCCACAACCAGGACATGACCATTGAGTCCTCCTCGTCCCACGCTTCGAAACCTGCATCAACTTTCTTTGGTCCCGCTCCTAGCAAGTGACTTAGTTTCCCTTTTCCTTTCAGAAAAGTTCGAACCAATTGAGACCATTTCAAGTAGTTCCTTCCATTAAGTCGGTACGCCGGTTGAATATTCTGCAGTTCACTTGTGGGGCGCTGAACCTGCTCTTCCTCGGGTGATTAGGATGGTTGAACAGTAGTTTCTAACATTCTTTAACAATCGGCTATGAAGGCCGGACAGAAGGGTTATGCGAAAATTGGCAAAAGAAATTGCTAGAGAATGACTGCGATGAAGGCAAGTCACAAAGAAAATTGGCTATGAAGGCCTGAACAGATAAAATAAAATAAAAAATAAAAACGCTGAATTTTTTTTTTCTTCAGGAAATCCAAGCCTTAAAGCTCTGATACCATGTGGAGAAATGAATTCAATTATATTGAATCTGTTAATTAATTTTACAAGAGCCTCTGTTGGGCTATATATAAGAAATTACAAAGAGAAAAATCAGTAACTAACTTAATTTTGAAATCCCTATAATCAGGAATCCCTGATTCTCTATCAATCAAATCCCTAAACTCTAGAAAACAAATATTTACACAAATCCCTAAACTCTAGGAAAAAAATATTTACACAATTCTAGTGCTAACCTACCACTAATCAAGGAGGTATTTTTCCACACCTATTAATGTGCTAAACTATTAATGTGCCATTTTGTTATATATCCAATGGCATAAATACAGAAAGTCCTATCTTTGCAAACATAGAATCGCGGCCTAATGCATATGCATAGTTGAACTGCATCCATAACTCATAAGTAAGATAAATTTTTCTTGACAATACAAAAGCACCTGGGATTATGTTTAGACTATAAATTAAAATTTTCTAATTGTAAGATGGATATCTGAACACTTGGATATTTCTACCTTGGTTGAGAAGTTGTTAAGAATCAAATGTGGGTAAGCCTCAGGCATTGTTCCAATGGCTTTTTTGTCCTTAATATCATGTCTTGTAACCTACAGGCAAGTAATAGATAAGAGATAAAAGCCAAAAACCAATAGGCCCAAAATAATTTCCAAAGGACATTAGAGGGGAAAACCTACTTACCACATTGAGTAATCCGAAGTAGGCAGTTGGACCAAAAGGTAAATGGCTAATAATTATACCATCTGGCACACCACGATGCTCATGAACCAACACAACATCCGTAAAATCATGTGCACGGCATGTTTCAATAATTTCAGAAATAACCTGCAAAGGTATGTAGAAATGCCATTACATAATATTTGTTTGAAAACCTTCCAAGCTTTACCCCAATTAAGATAACAATAAAATGTATTTTTGGTTTATGTATCATACACAAGGACATACTAAAAAGATATACACAACATGGAAAATCACACGGCAAGGACATGTCAGCAAAATGTATATTTATCTATAATATCTACAACAATTACTTGTAACAGATCTAATATTTTCATAGTAACGTGAAATATGTAACTTCCTCATCATCATCATCCTCGCCTTAATCCCATTGTATGAATTATGTAACTTATGAATCATATTAAGCAAAACTTTGTGAAAAAATAATCAAAGTCAATTAGCTCTGCCTTATAGACATGATGTAGCAGTGACAAACAAATGTGTGTATATGTATATTCTATGTTTATATATCCATATGTATGTTCATATGTGCAAGCATACTTATGAGGACTCCTCTCTCTATTCGCATGGTGATACATTTAACAACACATTTCTATATTTGAGTTTTTATTTTTTATATATGGTCAAACATTTTAGAAATATTAGATACATATTTGATTTTCTTTTTCTTAAATTACTCTCTGCAGTATGCTAAAATGAAGGCATACCAAACATCCAACATTCATTGATCACTTATTTATCGGTGTCAAAAAATATTGGCCAAGTGTCCAAAATTTTACTTTTAAATGACATACAAGATCAAGATGTGTCAAACAAGTTCCATGAATGCCCAAGATTTCGAGAAGTATTGATATTGCAAGCACGTCCAACATGGACACATTTCCTCACAAATGTCCATGCTTCTTAACATTATGGAACCATGCACTTAACTGGTTGCTCTTTAGTTGAATTTATTTTCTTTTTCTTGTTCACTAAATAAATATAATTCATTAAAAGAGCCATGTGTAGAAATCTATATACAAAGCAAAAAAAAGAAGATAAACACCTATACTCTCAAGTCTCCTTGAAACTTGAAAGAGAGATTTATAGGAATAAGAAAAGCCACCTGAAAGGCAACAGGTAGTGGGAACCAACAAATGTCTTTTACTGAATTCATTATGGTAGCAAAGAAATAGTTCAAAATTTAAATGGGAGTAACATAAATTTGAAATTACACTGATTTCTAGAAAAAATCAAACTTCCAGAGTAAAACTCTCATTAATAAATAAGAAACAGACTAACATTATAAAAATAATAATAATTATTATTATTAATATTTATTATGAAAATTTATTATCAACCTCATGCAATGTGTCAGCAGGAAATTACACCTGCACATAAGAAAAGTAAAAGTAAAAGTAAAATGAATCAACACAACAAACTAACTTGACCACCACGATTCATTCGTTGTGCATTAGGAAACACGATCTTTAATTCCTGCCAAAAAAAATCAAATAAATTAGAATGGATGTCCCAGGCTAATTAAATACATATGAACCTCAAAAATCAATAAACCAAGGTAATGACCAAAAAAAACAAATAAATGAAAGCCCAGGTTAGAAATGAGAAAACTAAAATTTCAGTGAACTCATGCACCAACCTTTACGAACTGTGTAAGAGGAGCACTTGGATTGCGGGATGTGGTTAGCAAAATTTTAGGATCTTGTTCTGATGCATTTGCATATTCATCATCAATGTGTGTCCTTGGAACTACAATTAAGATATCAAATGAAACAATACATTAGTTTCATGGACAGAAAAACTATTGTGAAGCATACAGAGAAAAGTAAGATAAGATATTAGAAAAATTAAACCACTAACAGAACTATTATCTAATAAACAATGCAAATAGTGATATAAATCAAACTGCAATCAGTTTTTGACACATGAACACATATTCAACATCCATACATTGGACCTTAAATTATGCACAAGAACATGGATTCTTCTCCACAGAAATCCTATGGTACCAGTGGACCAAGCAAATGAAGTATGTGTGCATATGCGTGTGTGTAGTTCACACAGAGTCTCAAATGCTCATACTTCATCAGGTAACATAAAAAGGACCAAAATGCATACAATCAGTGTAACAGAACAAAAGAAGTTCAGATGAAGTTCTTGAAGTTTTCTCAACTCTCTCTGATGTGTGTGTCCGTATAGATGTAAGAGGATAACTTGGAAAAATTAATAAAATAAAAAATAAAAAGGGCTTTGTTTTATTTTGGTCCAGAATATTGAAAAGTCTAAAATAAAGCTTATTTCCTTTTTATATCTACATTTTTGCTTCAACAACAGAGAACAATTTCAAACTAACACAAAGGGCTAGCCCAATGCACAAGGCTCCCGCCATTGCGGGGTCTAGGGAGGGTCAAATGTAAGCAGTATTACCTCCGCATGCAGAAGCTGTTTTCAGTGTCGAACCCAAGACCACCATGTCACAATGGAGCAACCTTATGGTCCTTACCGTTGCGCCAAGGCCCACCCTCAATTTCAAACCAACACCCCAAACAAAGTTCAATTTTCACAATTTAATAAGAGAAGCGACCTCAAAGGGAAGAGAGAAAGAGAGGAAGAAGAAGATTGGTGCTTAAGTTACATTGATTGGTGCTATTAGGCAGAGGATTCTGTTCTATTGGGTCCATAAAGATTCAATATTTTTTATTTTCCTTTACTTCCTCAGCAACCCAACAAAACCATTGAAACTCACCCCAGGGAAATGCAACTTTCATATTGATTAAATGAATCCAATACCCACACAAGTACACACACATACACATGAGAAAGAGAATACTATACCAGCTGTTTGTTCGTCTTCGAGATCAATTTCTTGGCGAAGGGCTGCCTCTTCATTCCTGAGCTCGGTAGGGATTGGTTTCCCCTCTGAAAAATAATAACCAAAATTAAAAAATGTTCACATCATAAACATAAAGACAATGATATAAATATATATGAAGCTATCGAATATACATATATTCATATTTCAAAGCAAATTCTGAATGAATCGTTTATTCACTGATAATAAAAATAAAATACCTTCTAAGGCTTCTTTTATCTTCCTCTTCTTCTCATATAGCAAACGCTCCTTTCCCTCCAAGCTCTTTCTGTAGAGATACTCTCTCCTCAGCCTAACGTTCCTTCGCAACATAGCTTTGACACAAACCCTAGTTTAGTCCCTCTGTATATGTGTGTGATTGTGATTGTATGTGTGAGAGAGAGAGATGCAGATACAGGTACAGTGGAAGAAGAGGGGAAGGGTTTTAGGTTAACGAATATCGGCAGAACGCAACGGTGTCGTTAGTGTAATACCCCAGACAAACCCGGCCCGACTATTGGTACAGATATGGGCTTCAGGACTTTATGTTAATGGGTCACTAGGCAAAGTAAGGCCCATTACTCAGTTTCGAGAAGAAGTTGATTCGAACGAGACGAGAATTCCTTCTTAATGTCTACTGTAGTAATAGTATGATACCAACAATTTATTAAATATTAACATGTAATGATAAAAGACCAGCTAAATAAAAATGTTACAATTAGTTGATGGAACAGATACTCATCAATTTAAGTAGGTCGTATTATAACCCCTTTTCAATTTCTTTGACATCGCAACAAATCAGTAAGTTGAAGGAAACAAAAATAGTTTCAAAAACATGTGCAAAGTTGGAATTCAGATCTTGGCCAAGCATGAGAGAGAGTAGGAGTTTGATTCCAGAAACAAAAATCCAGAAATGGAGCATGATGCTAATGGCACAATAGACTGACATATTGGACATGTTCATTCTTTGGATATAAAAGTGTGTTTATGAAAAGAAATTAAAGGTATATTTTGGTTGAGTTTTTTAAAAACAAGAACTCAAAAATTAGAAAATTGTTTCCAAGAATTATTAAAGACATCGGGAAAAAGCTATTTTTTAATTCAATTTTCAGAAAATGTCACCCAATTTTTGTACAGTATTTTTATTTTAAATTCTAATAAAACAAAAAATTATTGTTTGAAAACAAAACCCAGCAAGTCTCAAGTCATTTACAAAATTTGTAAAGTTAATTTAATTTTTTTTTTTAATGTTATAAAATATTATAAGCACAATCAAATTCTAAAAATATTTTTAAAATATATTTCATGTCAAAACAAATATAAAACTTTTCATTTCTTTAAAAATGGATGGTTGGTTTCCAAAGGTTACTCTGTGTGTGTGTGTGTGTGTGTGTGTTTTTGGGGATGGGGTCGGGGTGGTTAAGGTCCGAAGGGTAACTTTTGAAGTGAAATAAACATTTCTCCAAGATTCTCGTCAAAATTTATTGGTGGATCACTTTAAATTAATGACCACTCTTTTCATATGACAACAACTACATAAGAGTATAAATTCTAAACAAAATCCTTAGGGTTTCACATTCCTTGCATTATCTTTACATCTCCTTTTCTTTTACATTCTTTATTCATTATTTCTTGTTGAAGCATCAAAACCAATGACATTGTTTTTCAAAACAAGAGAGAAACTTTATTTGAAGCAAGGAAGGTATATACCTACTTCACCCTACTAAAGAAAGCATTTTTCCTTTCATAATCTTTCACATCTTTTTTATTTATTTAATACGTATGTGTGTGTGTGTGTGTATATCATTTAAAAAAAAAAAAAAAAATCATTCAAATTATTTCATGTTGAAAAGCATCAAATCAAGAAGCATTGTTTGATGAACTTCCCTCCTCCTTCCTTTGTTTCTTTTCATATTCTATTAGTAATTTGGGGTTTTCAGGTGCTAACGGATTTTCGAAGAATTTGCAATGTCGATACATGATTGTAATTTTATCAATATTTCAATGCTTATAGAGCTTGTGATATTATCCTCTTTGTCCATATTTTGTTCCTTTCACACCATTAGACTTCAGATTCTGATTCCAAGTTTTGTGGGTAAAGAAGAAAAGCTAGCCTGCATAATCTGATATTATTTATTTGTTCCACCGGCAAAGTTCAATCACCAAAGCATGCATATACATGTTTGTATATATGTATGTATTACATATAAACAAGGGCAGAGAGATGCTCATTACAACCTTTTCATCAGAAGGCCTAGTCTTCCCTCTATCAGTGCTCTTTTCATCTAAAATTGCGTATGGCTGACAAACACAAAGCAGCTCCCATACTGCAGTCCATGACTCAAGAAACAGGTGCCAAGAATCTGTGTGTGTGTGTGTGTGTGTGTGTGTGTGTGCAAGCACATGTTTTTGAAACTATTTTTTCGAATGATACCGAATTGAATCTAATATGTTTTTCAGAACACACAGCAGAAAGTAGCAAGAAATGTTGTTTGAATGCAACAAAGTCTACAAAGAAGGGGGATAGAGGCTTCATCGAAGGATGGCGAGTCTATTTTTCTTTTCAACTCATTTAAATACAAAGTTTTATCTTTCAATTCACGTATCACCTGTTTTCCCAAAAACCAAATGCTGCAAATCTCTGTTTCATCTGTTTTCAACTAAAACGAATTCAATTCAGGGTCTCGTAGTACATACTATTGTTTTTAAAACTATACGGTTTATACGTAACATGCATGTCATGCTGTGTCTATCTTGCAGCCTCTTTGCTTTGTGCTGCTGTTGGCTCTGCGATGCCTGCTTCTGATGAACATAGGGATAACATATCAGCATCAATATCATAGTAGTTCGACTCAAACAATTAGTATCCATAATCAAGATGATTGTGATATTTCTTTCTGCAATAATATTTTATGGAAGATTAATCAACTCTTATGTTCTCAGACTACTTGATTTTAGCAAAATATATAAAACATCCAAAGTTAGAGAATGAAACATGGAAAGAGGAGTCGCAATGAGAAGTAAGAGGGAGGACTTGTGCCAGAAACCAACAGCTAATTGTAATGTTTAATATATACCACTCAGAACCTTTCATGTGCATCTCCAGTAATATTATTATCTTTAGGTACATTGTTATTCTGGAATCTTACAATAATTCTTTTCATGGCGCTATATATCACGAAGAATCAAAAGATATAAATGAAGAATAATTAACAAAAACAATGTGAAAAAAAATATATAAAAAATGCACACTAACAATCTTGCTTACTTGACGCGTAATGTCTCAAAAGTAACTAGATTGAGTTTGCAAGAGCTCAAGTTGTGCCAATAATTTAGCAGTCTTTGGTTTCAATTTTGGATCACCACTCTGTGCTAGATCAACAAGCACCACCTGAGCAGATACCCCATACTGTACCCTGTGAGACTCGACTCTGAAAATCCTCTCCAATACCCATAGTGCTTTATCTTGAGCTTTGACCGTCCCTGATTCCAGAACTTTAACAATGGCTTCAACACCTGACATTTTGGCTATGTAATTGGTTCCATTTTCACAAATTTCATCTTGCAGAAGAGTGCCGAGTGCATCAAGAATGGCTTCATCTGCTTCCCTTTCATTACCTTCCAAAATTTGGACCAATGGAGAAACAGCGCCTGCCTTGACCAAACAAAATGTGTTTTTGACAAAGCAGTAACCATCATGAACTTCACAAAATGCCTCTACAGAAGGCGGGACACACATCCACCGTGATGTTCTGGACTTTCTAAGAGAAAGAGAATTCTGAGATAATTGAGCCAGTGACGCCGCAGCTCTACATTTAGCAACTGGCGACCCAATTGAGAGTAACTTCACAAGCAAAGGAATCACTCCATGTTCAGCAGAAAACTGCTGCAGTTTCTTATCAGTAGGAACAGTAAAACGAATTAATACACCTGCTATACTCTCATTTAACCAACATGTTGTGGGAGTTGAAGTTGCAGGGCATGAATTCATTATGGAGATCAGAATGGGTAGTAAGTGTGCCTTCTTAAGTGTTTCTGTTGCTTTCTTGTCACTAACTGGAAGGTTGCTAAGTATACCAATGGCAGCAGCCTTTTCAATCTCGGTCATCGATGAAGAGATAATATTTACAATAGTATTTAGGTGGGTTTCTCCTAGCTGTTCTGTTATATCTCCTGGTAAATCTTTAGTGAGAGTATAAATTAAATTTAAGGCACCAATCCTGGTTTTAGAATAAGTTTCAGCCAGGAAGGGTAGGAGAAGTTGAATTGCACCATTTTCCTTCATTTTCCTTCGAACTTTGGATGCACTAGAATGGGAAACAATACCATTCAGTGCTTGTAAGAGGTGGTATTGGATTATTGGACTAGACAGGTTTAGAAGTGAGAGCATCTGCTGAGCAACATCTTGGTTTACAAGAATAGATTCGGACTGGGCAATCCTTGCAAGAATTGCTGATGCTGGTTCCCGAAGAGTCATGAGCACTGATGTCACGGAGAAAAGGAGCTGAAGTAGAGCTACTACAATGCCTGAATTGATCAAACGTTGTATGTTCTCTTTCAAGCTGGACAGATTTTGCAGTGCACTTAAAGCAGATAGCTTGGCTTCTAGCTTTCCGGCATTAAACATTTTGACCAGGGGTTCAATTGCTCCATTTTCTCCAAGGGAATCACTACTTTGATCAGTTAGCTCCATCCTCGAAAGTGCAGTTGCCATGAGAATCTTACTCATGTCTGAACCTGCAAAGAACAAGACAATTATGAACTCTGGAATTGACAAGTCTGATAGACAACAGAATTTAAAATAAGATTCTAGTGAGAGTTCATTCACTGAGCTAAAAAGGTTCATTCACTGAGCTAAAAAGGTTCATTCACTGAACTAAAAAGGTAGAGAACAAGAAGCAGCCATTACATTAGCACATCTTCGCCAGTAATATAGCAGCAAAAGAATTCGTCACATGGAATTATGTAACAAGCAAGTGAAAAGCCACTACCTCTTTGTATCATGAAAGCTGTAATTGGATAACTCTAAATAAATCATCAAGATTGATAATCCAAGACCAGAATTTACGGGAAATTAGGGTTAGAATTTTCTTTTTGGCCATGAAAAACAAGAAGGAAATTACAAATATATATATATACACATATTTACATACATACATACATATATATATATATGTAATACTAGAACTAAAAGCAGCTGAAAGCAACAAAGATATGTCTTGGGGAACTACATCTATCCATCCAGGGGGAAGACCCTCCTTGATGCATGAATTTGCCATGCAGTGAGCCATCATGTTTTCTGCCAGGCTTTGAAACTCGCAAAATCAAAACTACTGAGGTTTAAAAACAATTCTATACTAATTTCCCAAGAAAATTTCATTTTAAACAGCTTTCATAAATGCTTCAGAATCAGATTCCATAGTCAGATTGAAAGGGGAATACTAGCAAGCAACCCTCCTGGCTTCTCTTCAGGGCACCGTCAGTGTTGACTAGAATTCACCCTACAAAGGGGGGAGTGAGGAGACCAATGAGCACAGAGAAATAAGGCGAAAGGAGATGAGACCTCAATGAACCTAAATCCGCAGACAGTTTAAGGGCTTCTTTCAATAAAACCAGCAGATAGAAAACAACAATTACCATTCTTGTCCGGAGATAGACTTAGGACCTTTAAGCTTCATATGCTGATCAAGTAAATCTGAGCATCTGAAACTTAGATACCGATAAGTGCAGCTAACTACCAAACCAGATATTTATCGCCCAAGAGCATAGCAATTGGAGATGTTTAACAGTCAACCATTTCCTTACAAATCTCACCACATGGATTTTGACTACTCTCTTCTAACAAATTCTATTTGGTAGCAATGAAATTGAGGTAGCATTTCCAACTAAACAAGGAAACAAAGAAAACGTAGATGGGGAATGAGAGAGCTTGGATTAGGGAAAGAGATCGACAAAGAATGCAAGTTGAGGATAGATGGAAGAAAGAAGAATGATGGTTATCAAGAGCATTATTATTAAATGAATAACACTAGGTACTTTTGGGGGGTCTATGGAGACAGATGATGTGCTAGGGGAAGAATAGAAGTGGTGGATTGAGATCCAAAAGCTCCTATTGGTAACTACACAGAAAAAGTGTGCACATAACTATGGTTATTCCAAGCTGTTTCGCTACTAGATTAATAATCGCTTTGTGAATACAAATTTTATCATGCTTTTGGAATAAAATGTTACCATATTGCTTCTACTCATTAACAAATGATTATAACCAGAATACATGACTAAAACCTATGGATAAAGCGATAGGCGATCCCAATGCTAAAACCCTTCACATTGCTAAAATAAAATATATATGCTATTCAATGGACTTGCAGAGAAAACATTGTGAATAGGTATGAAAAGATGGAAAGCAAGTGAAATTTACCTTCCCTGAGGTATTGAACTAGTGGCTTGAAGTAACCTGCCTCTGCCATATGAAGAGCATTCTGAGTATTGCTTGACAAAGCATTTAACAACATCCCTGCATCATTCGAACCGACTGGATCATCTCCATTGAAAATGGTAACCAACATAACTATACACCCTTGAATTCTCCCAATCCTTCTTCTGACCGCAGACAGATCCGAGAGACTTAACAACAGCCCCACTGCTTCCTTCTGTTCCTCCACATCCCGCGTCAAGGACTTCACCAGCGTCGACAAACACCCAACATCTGCCATCTTTTCCTGTACACTAATTAACTATGTCAGACACAAAACAACTAGTTCTTCAAATTTCAACAATTTAAAATAGTTCATACCCTAAGTTACCCCCCCGTACAATACTTCACTATGTCAGACACAAAGCAACAAGTATTAGTTCCTCAAATTTCAACAATTTAATATAATTCATATCTTAACTTACCTTCTGTACACTACTTAACTATGTCAGACAAAACAAGAAGTATTAGTTCTACAAATTTCAACAATTTAATATAATTCATATCCAAAGTACCTTGTTTTCAGTATTCTCTGCAGCAAGGCTTCTCAATATTCGAATTATAGTCAACCGATTGTTTGGCTTACTCGAACCCAATCGATTGAACAGAACTGGGATTATACCTTCATCATTAGTCCATTCATCTGTGATCATTTGATCCCTAATTAGGGCATTTAACCCCAAAAGTGCACATTTGAACTCTTCATCATTTCCATACTTGAGCTGCAATACAACATCATCAACATCTAGACTAATTCTCTCCTCTACTATCTCATCCCCTGAATCCTCCTCCGTTTCCACATCATTCACAAACTCCGATTCGCGGTCTGAACTCGAATCAAACCTCGCATTCATCATCTCTCTACGTAGAGTCTCAATCTTTTCTTTGCCATCCACTGTCACATCATGACTCGCGAAGAGCACTAGCCCTAAAGACCTTCCCAAATCGTGTGTCACGTCTTCGATCTGCTTCGCCGGCGACGAACAATTAGGGCTGCTTATCAAGGCCTTGGCTCGCCGGAGATCGGTTTCGAACGATTCCACCGCTTTCCGAATCGGAGGCGTGTCCAATACCTTCTTGTCCTTCAATTCACTCAGAATCGGAGTCAATTTCTCCACGAAAACTGAGAATTCAGTGATAGTTTCGCTCTCGACTTCGGAACCTTTCGCCATCGAAGCCACTTCGTCCGCCGATGTTAGTATCTCCGAAATCAGCTCCGAAAAGGTCTTAGTATCCATATTTTGGAAAAAATAAAACACACACTGACACACACACACAGATATCTATATATATACACAATTATATTTGGTGAACGCTATATATAATTGAGAATTCGAAAGACTTTGAACGGTGAATTATTTGATCAAAGAATGAGAAAGAAAATAATGAGCAATTGAAACTTGAAGAAGCAACTGAGACTTGAGAGACGACTGTGATTGCGGGTCTTTTCGATGAAATTCATCGTTTTGGACGGGAAAAAAAGAAATAATATATACAAATACAAAAACACATGTAGAGAGAGAATCAAAGAAGAGGCGAATGAGAGAAGACTGAGAATCGGCTTTGTTCTTGTAAACGCATGCTTGTTTTCTTCCCTTTGTCGCATTAACGTGAAATACAAGGTGTATACATAAACATATATAAATATATGTAGAGAGAGAGAGAGTATGGTTTTAGAGAGAAAAAGAGAGGAAATGGAGGTTTTCTGTTTGGACGGTTTTGAAGGATGGCATCTATTGGGTCACTGTCAGTCGTCGCTTTCTCTCTCTGAAACTCTGACTCGTACAAAGAAGACATCTTCGTCTCAACTTCCATTGAAAGGAGGAGAGGAAGACGAAGTCAACTTTCAAACTATGCTTTGAACGGTCACGATGGCTGGGTTTGTTGGGTCAAAAGAGTGCCCAATGAGCTCTGGTTGGTTGAAAGAAAAAAAAAATATATATATATATATATATATATATGGTCTGGTTAGCCCAGTATCTGGGTTTGTCTAGAAATGATTTTCTCGTGCTCAGATTAATCTGGTCTTCTCTCAACTTCAACGCTGACCTTTCCCAGAAATACAAGGCCGTGTTAAGCCCTGTACCAATTGTAAATTTCAAAACATTTTGGACTAGGAATTTTTATTTACTTTTTATTATTATTTTTTATATTATCTAACATTTCCATTTTTATTTATACAATTTACTTTGATATTAAATAGTATTTAATATTCATATTTCACTCATAGTAAAATAATAATATAATAAAATTAAATCATTACATATATTTTTTGATACATATTTATTCAAAAGCTATAGATATAATATAACCCTTGTCTATCTAACAAATAAAAAGTTCTTACGCCTCATTTTGTATGGAATCACCGTGCTAATAGCCTTGATAGATTTTTCTTAAGTCATAGAAAGCGAGAGCGAGAGTTTGATAGCGAGAGCGTGAAAGAGGAGAATTAAGCTATAAATTAATAATGAGAATTTGAGCGAAAGTGTTCGCGGAACGTGAGAACGAGAGCGTGCTCGAAGTATGAAAGCGACACATGTTGAGAAAGATTGTGTAACGTTGAATTTTTCATTATCATGAATTGATGAATACCTAAATTGTGTAAAACCTTATTGTTTAAATTCGATGACATGCAAATAAAGTGACACAGTTTTATTATCAATTTAAAATATGAATTTCTCAACTTTAATACATAAATTATTATTATTATTATTTTATAGTAAAGATAGTGAAATTTCAGTAAGATTTTTCATAATCATGATACTTTGTTGTACAATTTTAATAAAGCAAAAAAAAAAAAAAAAAAAAAAAAAAAAAAAAAAAAAAAAAAACATAATGTCACCCAATTATTAAAGTTACACCATTTTGTACTTTAAATTTTATCATTTTAAATTATAAATCTTATTGTTTTAATTGATAATTAAAAAAAAAAATTTACGGAAGTGATTTTGATTCGAATGTATCATGTTCATGCATGCAATAAATTAATAATACACACTGCAATTTATATGAGCCAGTATAAAAAAAAAATTACTCGTACATGCAGCCAAAAACGGTTACGTTTGCTCTAACAATCCTCCTTTCCTTCAAAAAAACATGCCACGTCCCATTAAAGGTGGCAGCAACTTCTCTCTCAAACACACACAATACACATACATGCACACACATGTCAGATCAGAAATTGCCACAACACTCTCTCTCTTTCTCTCTCTCTAGGGATGAATGCAGAGAGCCTGCTTGCTTCGGCGGCCATTAACATAGGTTTCGCCATGATCATCCTCTCACTCTTCTCCATTCTCAAGAAACAGCCCTCCAACGCCCGCATATACTACGCTCGTCGTCTCGCTCTCAAGCATTATATCCCTTTCGATCAGTCCTTCACTTTCTTCCGATTGCTCCCTTCCCTCTCTTGGATTTCCCGCGCCATTCGCGTCACCGAAGACCAAATCCTCGAAACCAACGGCCTCGATGCTCTCGTCATGATCAGACTCTTCAAATTCGGGTGAGATTATACATATGTGTATATATTGTGTGTGTATATCTCTGTTTTTGCATTTCTCTTCATGTTTCTGAACTTCTAGGGTTTTCGAGTATCGGAATTCAAGTACATTTCTTTTGTGTTTGTTGCTCTATTCTTTTTTCTTTGATTTTTTTCCTCAGTATTTCTCGTACAGACAGAGATTGTTATAGACTTACAGTAGTGAGTGAATGCTAATGATTTTGTTACCTTTATCCTCCAAAAATGGGAATGAATAAAAATTTATATATATACACAATATATATTTATATATATATATATATATATATATATATATGTATTTACTGTTAATTAGTAACAGACACATGATTATGAGTAGATGAAACATTAAGAAATAACTTAGAATAATGGAGAAAGGTAGTATTAATAGTTCCCCAATCTCTCTATCTATATGTGTTTGTATATTTTAGTCCTTGCCGTAATCTGTGGACGGCTCACTTGTACCAACCTTATTTTGCTATGTATTTAGTGGTGTATTGATTATTCAATTGTGCACATATAAACCGAATGTTATAAGGGATTTCTAATTTAATTTAACCATGCGTTTGGAGCACTGAATCAGCATTTTGGAGGAAATTTAGTTTAAACCTTGAGCTGAATTTCTTCCGATTCCAAACCCAAGGCATCCATTTGGTGCTCCCAAGGCTTGATGACCTTCATTTTGACTCTATTTCTGTTTTGGAAAGGGATGGGTTGGAGGTTCCTTTTTCGGAGGAGGACGTGCTAAAGGCTCTCAAGAGTTGTAATGGCGATAAGGCTCCAGGCCCGATGGTTTTACTATGAGATTTTTGCTGGAAAGTTGGGAGGTGGTTAGGCTTGAGATTATGAGCACTTTTCATGAGTTTCATTCCACGGGGAGATTTGAGAAATCACTGAACGCATCCTTTATTGTTATTCCTAAGAAGGGTGGTGCTTCTAATGTCAAGGACTTTAGACCAATTAGTCTGATTGGGTGTATCTAAAAGATCATTGCGAAAGTCCTTGCGCTTAGGCTGAGGGAGGTGCTTGATGGAGTTGTTTCTGAGTCTCAGAATGCCTTTATTGGGGGTAGACAGATTTTGGACTCGGCTCTCATTGCCAGTGAATGCGTGGATTCTAGACTTAGTAGTGGTGTTCCTGGTGTTCTTTGTAAGCTGGATATCGAAAAAGCCTACGATCATGTCAGTTGGAATTTCCTGTTGTTTCGGTTGGAGAGGATGGGCTTTGGTGCGAAATGGAGGAAATGGATTACTACATGTATTTCCACTGTCAGATTTTCGATTCTGGTTAATGGGTCTCCTACGGGATTCTTTGGTAGTTCTCGAGGTCTGAGGCAGGGGGACCCTCTTTCCCCATTTTTGTTTATTATTGTTATGGAGGCCCTTAGTAGGCTGATGAGAAGGGCTGTGGATTTGGGGTTTATTAGGGGTTTCAAGCTCGGCCCTGAATCGGTTCAGCAGATGGAGATTTCTCACCTTCTTTTTGCGGATGATACTATTGTTTTCTGTGAGGCTGAGGTGTCCCAGTTGCAGTATTTGAGATGTGTTTTGGTTTGTTTTCAGGTTGTCTCTGGTCTGAAAGTCAATGTGGGTAAAAGTGTGCTTGTCCCTGTGGGGGAGGTGCAGGATGTGGATTCTCTGGCTGCTGTTTTAGGCTGTGGGACGCAACGCTTCCCTATTTCTTATTTGGGTCTACCGCTGGGGGACTCGGCAAGGAGGGTGGGAAGTTGGGACCCGGTGATTGAGCGGGTCGAGAGAAGATTGGCTGGTTGGAAAAAGCAATATCTCTCCAAGGGTGGAAAAGTCACTTTAGTGAAGAGTGTTTTGTCAAGCCTTCCAACATACTTTCTCTCGCTTTTTAGGATTCCAGCCTCTATTGTGGGAAGACTGGAGATGCTCCAACGGAATTTCCTTTGGGGGGGTGGGGAGGAGTTTAAATATCATCTTGTCAAATGGGATCAGGTTTGCAAGCCTCTTCAGCTTGGTAGCCTCGGAATTAGAAGACTGGCCCCTTTTAATAATGTTCTTCTAGGCAAGTGGCTTTGGAGGTTCGGCAGTGAAAGACATAGATTATGGAGAAAGGTCATTTCTTGTCGTTTTGGGGAAGAGAGAGGGGGGGTCAGCTAGGCCTGTTAGGGCTGCTTATGGTGTGGGGGTGTGGGGGTGTGGAGGTCCATTGGGAAGGGGTGGGATGAATTCTTCAAACACATTAGATTCAGAGTTCGGGATGGAAGATTTGTCAGATTTTGGGAGGATTCCTGGTGCGAAAATAGGCCTTTGGCTCTGTTGTTTCCAAGATTGTTTAGGATTGCTGTTGACAAACATGCTATGGTTGCTGACTGCTATCGTCTTGATAGCGGGACGTTGTCTTGGGATGTGCGATTCAGGCGACCTTTTCAGGATTGGGAGTTGGATGATGTTACTGGCTTGTTGGCCCTTTTGTATAGACAGGAACTGGATGGCACTGGTGTGGATTCCTTGTTTTGGGTGCCTTCTTCTAATGGGATGTTCAAGGTCCGGTCATTCTTTGTGCGCCTCTCTGGGTTTCATGGGTTGCCCTTCCCGTGGAAGACGTTGTGGCTCTCTAAGGCGCCCCTTAGGGTGGCCTTTTTTGTGTGGACTGCAGCTTGGAGTAAGATTCTGACTTTGGACAATTTACGGAAGAGAAGACATATCATTGTTAACCAGTGTTGTCTTTGCAAGTGTGTTGGGGAGTCCGTGGATCACCTTCTGCTGCATTGTCCTGTTGCTTATGAATGTTGGAGTCTTTTGCTTGGTTTGTATGGCATCCATTGGGTCATGCCTCAGACTTCTCGAGGATTGCTAGATATCTGGAGGGGCCAATGGGTGGGGGCTCAGGCTAGAGACTTCTGGAGGGTGACCCCTCTTTGCGTTTGGTGGAGTCTTTGGAAAGAGCGGAACAGAAGATCTTTTGATGGGAAGGAGTCCTCTATTGGAGAGCTGAAATTTTCTATTATTTGTACACTTTTTTGTTGGGGTTGGGGGAGGGATTATTCTTCTTTAGAGGACATTGTGGACTTTTTGGGTTCTTTGAGTTCATAGATTCTTTTTGTGTATATCTCGGGACGCGTTCCCCTTTTGAACGCTTTCTAATACATTTTACTTATCAAAAAAAAAAAAAAAAAGGTATAAAATCCTATAAATTGCTAAAATTATTTTTCTCTAATGCAATAAAATTGAGAATCAGAACTTTATTGATCTACTCTAGTGAATTAAACCACTACTCATTTTGTTTTTAACTTCTTCATATGTATATGATTGTTGCGGTGATTTCAAAGTTAAACACCTTGGGCTGATTTTTTTGTACTTTTTTTTTTCTTCTATATGATATGAGGCTGTATTGCTAATGTTTGTACTGAAAAAGAGTACCTGGATTAGATTTTAAGAAATGCCATAAATTTTTTATATTGATGTATGGAATTTATGGCACACAATCTGAAGCATAAGTAGAATATGTTCCAGTATTTTGCTTTTATGACGATGTATATGTAATGAAATCCTTCAATTCATTCTAACCAATCTCGTTTTGTAGGATTAACTTCTTCGTGGTCTGCTCTCTTGTTGGATTCTTGATACTTCTCCCTCTCAATTATACTGGCCAAAATGGGCCATCTAGGAGGTCCCATTCCATGGATTCTTTTGCAATATCAAACATAAGTGGAGGCTCTAACAGGTTAGGTTTAAATTATCATATAATCTAATTAAAAGGAAATGTTGAAATTGAAGAGAGAAATATAAAATGAAGAACGCAAGAATATGACGTGGTTCAGTCACTAGGGCTTACATTCACGACTCACAAAGCCCAAAGGGCTACATCTCTTTCATTAAATTCTCTCTTAGTTTTTGCATACAATGATTACCTCTACTTATAGGTGAAAGAATACAAACATGTGATAAATTTGATACAAGAAAGATTCCTAAAATCCCTCCCATGATTTACTCACATCAATATTATGTCAAGGAGTGATTTAATTACAACTATAATGATGTTATCCAACATAACATCTCCTAACAAGAAGGGGGGAAAATAAATTTATGTCCATCTTGCACCTATTTTTTCTTCTTTTATTTTTCAGAATTTGTACTCCAGTGGAAGAAAGAAGGTTGAAGTTTCATAGAGCAAGTGCCACTATCTTTCCAGCCTTACTCAAATAGGGGGTGGGTTGTGAGTTGCACAATGCGGAATGGTTGTGGAATATAATATGGATTAGCAACCTAGAGGGGGGTGAATATGTTCAACTTGCTATTTTATCTGATTTTTGCTTAAATTAAATTTACCGAAATAAAAGTAAATTAATCAAACGCACAAAGCAAAAATAAATGCAAGTAAAGTTAGAGTGACACCGGATTTTAGCAAAGAAACCAATTGGAAGACCTCGTTATCCCAAGCGTAAAAAGATCCATTATGTATGAAGCAAAGTATACCGAACTTTGACTCAGGCTCACACCCATTCACTCTACCAAGACCTAACTCGCTGAACGCCCATGGCTTACGACTTCCCCGTCCAACAGCTCTTGACTTCAGACTTACTTCTCGAACCTTGTAGAAGGATTACTGGTAGATCAACAACACTTAGCAAAGAACCTTGGGCTTGACCCCTTCAAAGTGTGATCTAAACACCTTTCTTCTTCAAATCCGAATTTGTTGTAAAATGAACGACTTCTACTTTCTCTTAGCGATGTTAATGATATCTTCAAACTCGTACTTCGATCAGAATAAGAACAACACCCTAAATCACTCGTGTGTATATAATGTGTATGCTCTCAATGAAAAATCTCACAAAGATGGCTCTTAATTAAAATCATAAATTTATATGCAAAAATCTGTGAAACCCTAACTAAGAAAACATGTTTTTATAAACTTCTGAAAACCTAATTTAACTTGGAAAACAAGTCAATTTCGTGCATGACCAATATAGTAAAAGGCTATGCACAATAGGAAGTCAAAATAGAGTAGGAAACAGTTACCAAAACTGTGCAAATCTTGAACCGGTTCAGGGAGCTTGAACTGGTTCAAGTTGGCCAGACTTGAAAAACACCAAAAAGCCTCAAAAGTTGAACCTGTTCAAGTTGGGTAGAATGTAAAACTTCCCAAAAGCTTAATTTTAAACCTCCAAAGTGTCCTCACGCACTCTCTTACCTTCCTAAAGCGTTGTTCTCATCATCCCGAAGTGTATCGAAGTATGAACACGATCACTTCTTCAATTCCGCTTCCGATCTTGATTCTTGACAAATCTAACTGAAAATTTACAACTCAATCAGACTCATTTTGACAACGAAATTTGCCAATTACAAATTTATATCTCACATGGGTAAGCAAACTACTCTGTGACGACTAAGGGCACCCAACCAAACGATTGGTATAATGAGTTTCACATTCTGAATGCTTGTGGCTGTCACTTCGTTTTGTGTCTGTCAATAACAACTGATGGGTTCAGAAATGTTATGGCCAACTTTTTTATGTTGCAGGGAAAATAATGTACTTACATGCATGTCCACATTAATTTTGCAATAACCATAAATGTAATTGCATTTTTTTGGAGTGTTATGAAAATGTATACAAATTGTGTGACTGACTTAACATTTTCTTACTATCCTGCTGTGTTAATGATTTTATAGCTTCTTCTTCTTGTGCCTGATGGATTGCAACTTTGTCACCATAGTATGCTATTTGACTAGCTGAGTATCTTTTTTAATCTATATTTTTGCCAATTAAGAAACCGTTATAAATGGAATAGTGGATGTGAGAATTTTCTGTGGGTCTTATAGTGTTGAGCATCCTTTAACTAAGGAATTGTAAAGGGTGATTTCATAGTGTGGTCCACATTGTCGTGGATGTTGGGAGGGGCAGCTGGATACAGACTTAATCTCTAGCATTCCTTGCACAGTGGCTGCTCTCAGGATTCAAATGTGTTCTCACGCTCAACTGCCTAAGCATTTTATTATTGCACCATGCAATGAGCCCTACAGACTTAACTAAAAGATTTGTGTCTAGAGAATTTGTTGTATGCATAACTTGGAAAGCAGTCTAGGAAATTAGTGGGGCGTGGACATGAGTGCAGAGATCTTGTGGTTCTACGGCTGAAAGATTCCAGTAATGATCCTATTCACACAAAAAGGGTGAGAGATTATAGTCTGGTTGTCACTTATGTAGTAGATTGCATCCGACGAAGATCCAAAAAGAAAAAATTGCCATATTTTTCAGATTCAAATCTGAACTTCTCAATTTTGCTATTTTCCTTTTTTATTATCTATGATCAAAGATCTAATGAGAGAAAACACTGAAATGTATGCCCTCTTGCCTCATATTCCAAACAAACCTTTATCTGTGCTCTGCCACCCTCTTAACATTTTAGAACAAATATGTCACTATGTCAAGGTCTAAATGTTGCTCTTGCCTAGTTTGGGTTCCATCTAGAGAAGTATATAATAAATTCATCTGTGGCCTTTGATTTTTATCATCCATCTGCTTATTTCTTTTGTTCCACACTCTTGAAATGGGAAAGAAATATGGTATTATTTTAATGTTCTCATAGATTGAGAGGTAGTCATCACTTGAGTTGATCAAGATGGATGGAGTAATATTAAGTTATTCGGCCTTTTCCATTTGGTAAAAGTTAACTGATAATGTAGAACACGTTTTAGTTTGAGTCTGGCTTGTCAAAACATAAAATTCAAAGGGAATATGATCAATTGAGTTCTGGACAATTGTTTGATATACGTACAATTCCAAGTGATTCTATTTCTGAAATTTCTACATTGAGTCGGTGGCCTATGAACTGTATTATTGTTAAGAAAAACCTTGTTTTAGCAAAACAGAAGTTGTGATTCTCCAAACTACAGTTTAGTTCATGAAGCATTTTTGTGGTACGGGCGTAAATAAGATCATGTATGTTAATATTCATAAAACTGTCTTTTTTAAGTTCTGCCTGATGAGAAAAGTTAAATATTTGTTAGTTGCAAACTAAGTTATCCACCTTGACGGTCTGACTTAACACTTGGCACTTACCAAATTATTAATTTTTTTTTTCACAGGCTTTGGGCGCATTTTACATGCTTATGGTTTATATCTTGTTATGGATTATACCTACTGTACAAGGTGAGGCATTAGTGGCATGTTATTGTTTACTATGCATAGACAGATTAAAGTTGTGATAGTGGATTATTAGAACAATGATGTTTCTTCCTGTTTAAAATTGCAGAAGTGTTTGCGCACATAGCTAACTAGTTGACTTGGATTTTTTCATCATAGTAATAGCTAAATGTTTTTTATATGTGCTCCTTATTTTTCAGATTTTCAGGCGGTGTGCTTCCAGGAAACTTGTATACTAAGTTAAACTAGGTCAGGACTCAGGAGCTGCTGCTATTCTAATTAGAAGTCACATAGAAGTCATCATTCAATTATTCATTTGCACCACCCTGTACTCTAGATAATATGAATGTAATCATTCACAGTGTCTTAGCCTAATTAATAAGTTTTAGTTGTATGAATATGTTCAAATTCCCAATCTGTAAAGATCTCGTCCTTGTATGGATTATCAAGTATCATTTAGAGCAAAATTATACGTCAGTGTGCTCTTCAAGTGCTCTATGAACCCGGTGAGGCTCTATCACCGAAGGACTTTCATTGATCTTGAGATAATCAATTAACATAGATATCAATCTGGTTTTCTTTCTTTCTTTTGTAGTCTACACAACTATCAACGTGCTCCTTTTGTGCAAACTTTCTTTTTGCACTTGAGCATTCTCCTCTTGTGCTTGCTCTGCTTTTTGTTTGTTGTGCATCGTCAACAGGTAAATGTGGCCATAGTGTTGATTGTTGAATATAATGAATTAGAAAAACAAGCACCTATTTCCTCATATAAGTTGCTGTGAGGACCTCCTTTTCTCATGTAACCTTGCTACCTTCTCCACAGGCATCCTTGATATATTGGGGTACATGGATATGTTATAGCTCACTCTATATCATCATAGTCACCCTTGAGGTAGAGGCCTGTGATGATTAGGGATGTCAAGGGGGTGGGTTCGGGACGGGGCGCCCCTTTCCCAAACCTGTCCCACAAGTAAAAATCTTTCCCAACCCGCCTCATCTTGCATCGGAGTCGGGGTGGGTTTGGGGTGCCCTGCTAGACATATTTTTTAAGAAATTCAATTCAAGTTTAAACAAATTTAAGATAAATTTTGTAAAAAAATTAAATCAAGTCAAATATTTAACAATTATAATAGCACAAATGCTGTTAAAATTTAAAATTATGATTAGGAATGAAGTAAAATGTAAACTATAACTTACAAAAGAATATTTATTTATTTATTGGGCTTGGGGCCGGGTCGGGGCTTTACGAGTATTGAACTCTCCCCCCTTACTTGGCCCTAACCCTATTGGGTGATCCCAAACCCATCCCATTTGGGGCAGAACGGGGCTGGGCCCGGCGGGACAGGATAAATTGACATCCCTAGGGACAGTCTTGTGTGATTCTTGGAAGAACTTGACTTGGTGGTTAATGTCCAAGGTTTGTTTAGTTGATCTCTCCTCAAGGATTTTACACGCCTCATGCTGGCTTGGAAAGAGAGAAATGGCATGGTACCTGGATGAAATATCTCCCTATGTCAATGCATAACCATAATGGACCACCTATGACCTACACAGCCACTGCCCAAGGACTATATCATCAACATGTGGAGGCACTCTGTTAGACAGCGGTGAAGTTTATTGGAGAATCCCGTCTCTTGGTGCATACTGTGCCACACGGGCTGTCACTTATGGCTGAAGTGTTACACTGATCATTACCTAATTAGACAGTTCCAATGCACATGGAAGCATCTTATTCTTGTGTAGAGGTGTGCATTCTGACCTAATGAGACCATCATGTCAGCATGAGCACTGCTTCTTGTCACTAACTATGGTTCAATCTCTACTTTGTTTATAGTATAAGACAGGAGAATAAATTCAGACTCTGGTATGGTTAATATTTTAAGAGAAATATGGAAAATTAGCCCCTCCTTTGAAGACCAACTTTAACCCTTGAGGGCCTTAATTGAACCCTTACCCCGAGACATCTTATGTGACCTCGACTGCGAATCTCACTCTGTGGTGAGTCAGCTCAGCTTCCATCTAGTTCAATCCCTCTGGGATCTCTTGTATATTACATGCAATATCTTTGTTTGCTACTCAATTATGAGAACCTACAATGGGAATTTCCATGGTGCATAGGGTGACTTTTATGGGGTTCGATTCCTTCCTTTGCATTCAATTGATGGCAGCTATGAGTGATTTCAGTGTCTATTGATTCCATAGTTTGATGGATTGCTTTTTAGTTGAGCACGGGGTCTTTGTGGTCTCGTAGCCAAGGAAATTCTATACTATCTAGGTTGAATATATTCTTGGTTTTGTCAAAATATACAAGAACTTTTTTTGTTGACTTAATTTTCTATTGTTGAGATTTGCCTCCTATCAGAGTTGATGATTGTAAGCATGTTTGATTTACGTGATTTGGCACTTCAATTGTTTTGTAAGCTGTTATCTATTCTATTGGTACGTTTGGGCTTGATGATCCATCCAAGAGGTATTTGGCCAATTAAAAGATCAGATTGTGTGTGTGTTCTGAATTCACTAAAATGTTGGAAGAATTGATTGCCTCTGTGGCTTTTGGTGCAATTTCGACTGCATTCACATTCATATCTGCAAGAAGAGATTTATGAAAGCAATAGACCTAAGAAGCATTGTAGAAAGTCCAAAAACTATTAATGTACTCTGAAGAGTATGCTGATGGATGTATCGTGAGTTTAGAAGTGTCTAGAGATGTCTCAATACATATAATTTTAAATATGATGTGCCCTTTTAATATGCTTATGGAATGGAACAAGTAAATTGTTTGCATGTAAATATGGATGAGCAACAGATTGAACTATTACACATTTTTCTCGCTTTTTATTATGAACATTGATATTTTCATGAAGGTGACAACCTGCGCTTATTTCCAGGAATTTAATGATATATTGATGAAAAGGATTCAGCAACTTCGTAATTTAAGGGATCGGCCTGATCAGTTCACTGTTTTAGTTCGAGAAATTCCCCTCTGCACTGAACACAATGCCCATGGGTGCTGCGTAGATCATTTTTTCTCTAAGCACCATCCATATGCTTATCGATCTTATCAAATTTTATATGATGGCAAGGATCTTGAACAGTTGTTGGTAAGGATTTATATCAGTACCAGGCATCTTATGCATGAGTTCCTCAATTTTGCTGTACTAGCTTGCATGAAAAGTACTATGTTAAAAATGTTGTGCTGTTTATTATATTTGATATAGTTACTTCCATACACATAAAACATAATTTTAAGCTCTTAGTGTATCAGTGGTCTCAGTAGTTATGCTAAACCTTGCAAAATATGCCATTCGTGGCTTCAAGTATTATAATTTTTACCATACTAGAACATGAGAAAGCCTATACTTTTTCAACAAGGATAAAATATTTTCATTTCACAGCACATTCAATTATCTTGGAAATGGAAATATTTTTAAAATGTTTTAGAAGTGCAATAAAAATGGTTGAAAAATTGGAAATGCTTGAAACGTAGTAATAGATTTACTAACAAGCAAGCATTTTCTAGAGAATTGATAAATTGTATTTATCAGCCTACTTATTTCTCCATTTATCCACATGAGAAGAGATTATAGTGGAATTAAAGATAAATGTAAATCAGCTACCAAAACAATGTCAAACAATTCTACTAGTATAAAGCACATTTAGAGTATAAAGCAAATATAAGAAGATTGTAAGGCCGATTTTTCAATTGATGTTGAACTTCTCTAATCAAATACGAGACAATGATATTAATTGGCAAGAACTAAAGAAGAATACTTTTGACACGAGTTAGAAGTATAGATGAACTAAAACTAGTGAGTTGAGTTACAATTGTAAGTAAGTATTACAATGATCTCTTCTCCAATTCCAGTCTTTTTCCTTTTATTCTACCTCTTATATGCTATTTATTAGGAAACCGAAAGATATCTTGCTTTGGTTTTGAATTTCAATCATCCAATATTTCCCTTTCCTTTTTCTTTTCTTTTTTTATTTATTAAAAAGAAAGAACAAATACTACCTTTTATAAGCCTTTTTGCTGTCAACACAGACAACATTTTCCATTCTTTTGGCATGTTGAATGGAATTTTTTTGTTTCAATTATAAACATAAATTTTAGTTATCCATCCATTTTTTGTTTTATTTTACAAAGGAACACAAATATTCAGCTGTTTCTGAGCCTTGCTGCCAGTTCTATTTTGCATGACATTTTTTGAATTTATTAGATTTCATGGGATGATTGGGAGAAACATGATGTTGAAAGATAATTGGATCCTTTGATTCTTTCACTTTTATACGTCCTTCCATTTTAACAAAAAAATAAAATAAAAAATTAAATGGGGACAATAGGTGCCCACTTTTTGTTTGGTGGCCTCATGATGAATACATATTTTTGAAATACGGTGTCCACTGGAATATTTATAATACAGTAACACAAGGTTTTCCTTCACTGAAATCAATTCAGTCTCTCTGTCCATTTAAGGAACATCATAGCTTCCTTCTTGTGGTCCCAAACATTCTCAGTAATTCTATCTTTAGATTTTTTATGGACCACTAACAATAGTTTTGGAGTATCGAAAGTTTTCTTTGAAAGCATGCTCACATGTACTTCTGTCACAATTGAAAATGATGAGTTCAGCTTCACCACTGTTAATGGCCTTGAAATATTTCTAACATTGCTGTTTTGGGGGTTGTCAAGTGTGTGTGGTGTTTGAGAAGCCAACATAAAAAAAAAAAATTAGTGTGTTTGTTCCTTTTATTTTGCACGTTTCAGTCGTTTAATTACAACGAATGACATAAAACTACAAGTATAAACTAGTGGTGATAACAGTAACTGGTCCAGTGCTCTTACAGCATTGACTGTGTCCAATGAAATGGACAATGCTTGGGTCCTCCCCTTAGGAGGACAAACTGATGCGGTCCAATAAATTTTAGCCAGTTGTCTAAAATTTTATAAAGTTAAAAGATGGGTTATTACCCATCTTACGGGTAAACCTGTTTTTTTTTTTTTTCTTCTTGTGAATCACGATCGCGATTCTTCTCTCCCTCTTAACTCTCTTCTCCACAGCAAAGCTAATCTCCATACCCATCCTCTTTCCTTCTCTACTCAATGCTGAACACCCACTATTTGATTGTCTCATTACATACAAAATCCATTAGTATCCACAATAAATTATTTAATCCAATAAATGAATTTCAGCCACAATATATACACATAAGCAATTGTTGTTCCTTAAAGCAAACACTGGAATTGCATGGATCATGGAGAATTATAAAGAAAATTCAAGTAAAAAATTTAGTATATTGTGCTAGGACGTTGCAGGTGTTCAGAGATGACAGACCCAAGTATCGATAAGTGAATCTCTATACTTTGGGTCTGAGCAAGTAGACACAAGAAGCAGGGGAGGAAGCCCGTGATAAGTAGTGGAGGAGGAAGATTAGGGCTTCTGATGGAGGTTGGCTATGGAAAAATACCCCCCTTCCCCCACCCCAAAAAAAAAAGAAAAAAAAAAAAAACGCAATTTCCTGTTCGAGCTGTAAGAATATGGGTAATGACCCATTTTGATTTTTTTTTTTTTTTTTTTTTTTTAAACGAGTGTCTAAATTTCCTTAGACCACATCAGCTGTAGGACAAAGCTCATCCTCCTAGTGGAGGACCCAAGCATTGTCCCAATGATATTACTCTATTAGTGCATTAAACTGGATGATAATTATGATGTACAAGAAACCAAGTTGTCTTCACTATGGATACAAAGTGGCTATCTTTTTAGATCTTCCCCCATCCCCGCTCTCCCTAAAAACATCATTGAAATCTTATTATTACTTGTAGAATCAAGCAAAATGTATTGCAAGAAAGATTGAGGACTTGAGACAACGGATCTTGGCAAAGAAAAATTCTGGAGATTTTTCACTCTCAGATGTGTTTAAAGGTAATGCAAAAATAGGCCGGCTTGAGGAAAGCCTTCAAGAACTATGTCATAAGATACGCCATATTCAGTGCAAAAAGATGCTCGAAGAGAAGGTAATTATTCTCTCTGGAAACTGTTCTTCATTAGCATCACAATTGGTACATTAACAGTTTGACGACGAGAGCATTGAGTTCATATTTGTATTTATATCGTGAAAATATTCTGAGTGTTACTGATCTTTTAGATACGGCTTTCTTATTTGAAATCAATCTAAAAGTATCTTTTACTTTTTTCCTTGTTTTCTTTTCTTTTCTTTTTACCTTTGGGGAGGGGGGGAGTCTCAGTGCATGGTGGACTTGTTTACCCTGAACTCTTGGTATACTGGAAGTTGAAACAAATTTTTGCTTTCATATATCCTATTTAGCTAATCAAAGTTACCAGGAAATTCAGCTTCATCACTTCAGCTATTCTATTTACATTAGTATAATTGCTTGTATAATGGTAGCACAAAGTGCTTCTGTTTGTGCAGTCTTTTGTTGATTGTCTATTGTGAGATCTTGAGAACTGTTGAAAGTAACCATTACTTCTTTTTTTTTAACTTTTCGCATGTATTATTAAATTAAATGATCTATCCGATGTCTTTTTTTCCCCCAGTAATTAATGATCTATCCATTTTCAACTTGAAGAAACTTGTACAGATGAAGCAACAAATAATACGAGTATTAAACAAGCAAATGTTGATATATTGGGCAGAGCTATTAGAACATACTACACCATCAATGGAGCACAAAAGTTCTAGCCAAATAACATGGAGGAACTAAGGCCAATCTGAGAAACATTTATAGCAACACAATGTTCAGTCTCAACAGAAAGTACATTTTCTTGAGCGCTTCTATACAATTGCCTTACTTATAAAAAAAAGTACATTTTCTTGAAAGAGCCTTTTTTTCTTCTTTTGGGTCTGACGTTGTTGCCCCAGTTTAAGCTGTCACTCTTGCTGCCTTGTGCAGTTGCGAATGTGGGTAGGAGCACCATAACCTTGAGAATGAAATACTTTCATCATTACCAGATTATTTCCTATCATTCTTATGAGCTAGGAGGGTGAATGTTTTGATTATATTATAATACACTTTCTTTAGTTTACAAAAATCTAGTAGTTGGGATAAGTCAGATTGGGGAATCAAAAATTTTAGTTTAGTTTTAACTCTGTGGATTACTTCATAATGGTTAATTTTAAAAGGGCTAGCCCGTTTTTTTTTTTATTTTATTTTATTTTATAAAATCACCCATAAAAAAATAAAAATAAAAAATAAAAAAAAGGGCTAGCCTAGTGCAGAAGGCTCCTTCCGTTGGGGGTCCAGGGAGGATCATATGTACATAGCCTTACCTTCACATTCGAAGAGGCTGATTCCATTTTCAAATCTGTGACCTCTGCATCACAATGGAGCACCTTATTGTTGCACCAAAGGCCACCCTTAATAGTTGAGTTAGGAATTGGCATACCTTAATTTATTGCAGTAGCATTTTTTTGCGTCAATCCTTTGAATAGGTTGCACTGCAAAAAGAAAAAAATAAATAAGAAAAAGAAAACAGACATAGGCTGCTTACATGGTTTACTAGTCATCTATGTTACATGGCCTTGTGTACATACCCATGTGTGTTTTTGTCCATGATAACCCAAATTATATGGACATACTTAGATATTCATAAAGTTTAATATATTTCTCTAATTCTCTAGGATAAAATGTTGCCCTTCTGTAAAAAATAATGTTTAGGATGGACAAATCTTTCGTTTTTAAACAATGATGTTAGAAGAGGAACATGATACGGGAGTTTTAAGCACAATTACACAAACTTGAATTGTGCCTTTTAGTTGCATGTCTAACCAGACATGTTGTTTGCATATCTCATATTTAGGCGTCTTCTTGTGCCCCCACTTGTGTACTTCACCAATTAGAAGAGTTATGTAAATTAGCTTGCCATCATTGAAGAATAGCTAATAGAGCTCCCTTTTTCTGTACCCTTCATTAGTATGCCATGAACAAAAACACAAAATATAGGAAACATTCATGCTTAACCTCATTTGGTTAAGTTGGTCTTTTAGGTCCCTTTTTCTTTACCCTTCATTTTTGGCAAAAGAAAAAAAAATAATAATAATAATAAAAATATGGGAAACATTCCTGCTTAACCTCAATTGGTTAAGTTGGTCTTTTAATAAACAAACTGCACATTCTGAGGAGCTTTATTAAGTCCCCGCTAAGCAGAGTCTGGGTAGTTTTTTAGGCAACCACAATATCATTCATGCACCAAATTTTGAAATAGTGTGCTTTAAGAATAATTTATAAGGAGGTACTTATCAAAAAAAAGAATAATTTATAAGGAGGTAATATGTGTTAATATTAATGGTTAGTGTTGTAAAGCATATAACGGAAGAGAAGAGAAATTAAACAAGTAGAACACACAGATATTACATGGTTCAGCCACTAGGGCCTACATCCACGACACAAAGAGCCCAAAGGGCTACATTACTTTTATAATACTCTCTCAATTCATACATAATACAATGGTGGAGGCTCCTTTATATAGGAGAAGAAATTATGAGAATGGAAAGAATTAGAAAATAGGAAACAAGAAGGATTTTTCTCCGTTGATTCCTCTAGTAACACCAAATCTTCAATAATAGGAAACAACATCAATTACTGAAAGATTTTCCTCCACTGATTCCTCCATTAAATCTTCAATAGTTAGGTTAGTAATTGTACTGGTAAATGGACTGTAACATCTGATATTCTTCCACTGGTTATTTCTTCTATTAAATTCAGCTGAACAAATTAATTGGTTAGTTGATTTTAAATTCTCCTGAATTTAACCTGAATTTAAAACATTCACAAGCCTGACCAATTGCTAAGTCCATTTGCAAGACTCTGATGTTTGTATCATTGGTCATGGTTCTGATTTCTAACATCGCAATCTGAGGAATGTGGTCAGTAGGTTTTGGTTTGCTGCTTGAAACCATTTCTGGAAGTGTAATTCAAAATCATGTGTGTTGGTGGAAGTGACTGCAATTCATTTATTGCTGATGCGGCGGTTGTGCAACACTTGTCGCAGTGACATTGCTGTGTCAGTGTGGGCAGCGGCATGATGTTTTTAGGAGTCTGGTAGTGGTTATTCAATGAGGAATGCATGGGTCTGTAAATGAAACTAGCATGATTACACTATAATCGCAAACATACACCTTGATTGTCCACTATAGTCATCTTCCCATTGAATGTTTTGGGAATAAATCAAAGTATGATTTCTGAGTTTCTTGCTTTTGTAGGAGTTGCCTGTTGCTTTTGTTACATTCAGGTCCCGATGGGGTGCTGCACTAGCTGCCCAATCCAAGCAGAGCTCAGATCCACTTTTATGGATCACCGAAATGGCTCCTGAACCAAGGGATGTCTTGTGGAGGAATCTAGCAATTCCACATCGGCATGTGCCCCTATATAGAATTGGAGTTCTTGTTGCAGCATCACTTCTTACAATATTTTTTGCTTTCCCAGTCACAGCAGTTCAAGGAATAGCAAAATTTGAAAGATTAAGGAAATGGTTTCCTCCAGTAATGGCAGTGGAGTTGATGTAAGGACTCCTCTTCTTGTATCTTTAAAACATTTTGAATATGTAAGAAATATTTTTTGCCGTAGTGTTGAACCCTAGACATGATGCTTCATGAGGCACCAGGGCCAAGTGACTTATCACTTGAGCCAACCCCTTGGGGTTGAATGCTTAATTACTTCCTACTAATATTTACTACTCCTTGAAAGATGGAAATGCAAAATGGCCATGATAAAGGACTAAAAACAAGAACATTTGTTGGTCACTTTTCTGGAGAAATATGTAAGTAACATTGTTGCATATTGGGTTATGTATTGGCAAGTTCCTGTACAAGATATGGTTCTAGTTGAAAAACTGTACATGACTCTATTTGTTGAATGCAACGTAGCCATGATATAGGACCAAAAGCAAGAAAATTATGCTACAAGAAAACAACGGAATGGAAAAATTATGTGTGATTTATGTATTCTAGTGTTCTTTTCCTTTCTGATTTATGTAGATGTTGTGTTTCATTTTCCAGTTAGTATTACACATTTAATATTATTAAAGTTTTTCAACCAGAGCTGCAAGTTCTTTTGGTATTTGGAGGAAGACTTTCAATAATTTTGTTAAGGATCAATTATTTTATATAAGTTGGGAATTTCTTTGTTTGTACGTATTTATCTGGTGTTTGAGTACTTTTATGCATTCTGTCCTGATTGAATAATATGTTTGGTGGACATTAGATGAATATTAATTGATCTTCCAGTAGTTTTTCTCTGACATATGTTATATCTTACAGACCTGGATTAAGGTCTATTGTGACAGGGTATCTTCCAAGTGCCATTCTCAGTGGATTTATATACGTAGTTCCCTTTGCCTTGCTTGCAATGGCGAAACTGGCAGGTTATATCTCAAGGAGTAAAAGGGAGATTGAAGTTTGCAACATGATCTTTTATTTTCTAGTGGGAAACGTATTCTTCTTAAGCTTGTTATCGGGGTCTTTACTTGATCAAATTGGAGAATCTTTCAGTCATCCTAAAGATATTCCTAGTCATCTTGCTAGCGCTGTTTCTGCCCAAGTACGTTTTATTGGCCTTGATTGACTGTCTTTTTATGTTATGTTACCTTTCTTTCACTTTCCACCTATTGTATGATACTCTGGTCTGAATTTTGGCTTATTTAATACAAAATGGCAATATTAATAAAAATAGCACATGAAATAAGTATTTCCCAGTGTTTACATATTGACTAAATATCCTGATTAAAATAAAATTCGTATTTGGATGCTTTAATGAACTATTGTATTGGTTTTATAATTTTCTATTTGTTAACTCAGTAATGGATTTAGAAAATGACTTACAGATGTGGTAGTACTTTTGTTTTTCTTTCAGGCAGACTTTTTTATCACATACATCTTAACCAATGGACTGGCAGGATTTTCTCTGGAGATTATTCAGCCTGGATTACTCATTTGGGATACTGTAAAATCACATACATGGGGCCGTAGAAAGAAGAAAAACCCTTACCTTTTTTCACTACCTTATTTTAGAGTGCTTCCTTTTGTTTCCCTCATGATACTGATTGGTATGGTATACGCAGTCATCACACCATTGATTCTCCCATTTCTAATTGGCTACTTCCTTCTAGGCTACGTCGTGTTTATCAACCAGGTAGAATTTTTCGCTCTTCAAATAAGCAAATTTAATACGTCGCACTTTTAGAGTTCCTTCCTAGTTTTATTTTAATGCATGTAATTAGCTGCTTTGATTGAGTACTTTTCCCCCCTAAGCTACATTCTTGCTTTAGTGGTGTGAAATTGATGTCATGGACACTTCTACGAGGTGGACTTAGTGGACCTCAGATAGTCGTAGATACGTGTCATATACTTAAATGTATCCATAAATTAAAATAGTTTTTTTTTCTTCTTATTATTTTTTATTTCTACCACATATTTCGTGCTCTTACAAATACTCTGATCACGTATCTGATACTTCGGGACATATGCCTAACCAGTTCTGAACATAAAAACGCTCCTTTTCTAAGTGTGATATTATAGTACAATTGTTAGGAAGATCAAAGGAGGACTCCAAATATTTAGAACTTATTCATGAAATAAAAATTGAAATATAATGAGATGTATTGATTCTAATTTAATCCAAAGTTTTTAAATTTGTTTGTCATAGCTATTTCTTTTAATAAGGGACTGTTAGTTATATTATATATAACATGATAATCAATTACTGTTTGTGTTGCCTTATTGGTATCATGTTCTGTTTCATAACCCAAAACTTCAGCAGAAGAAGGAAAAAAGAAAGAGCAGGACTGCAGTTCCACCTTTTTACTCATATGCCTTCTTTAAGGCCCTATATTTTTGCTCTGGTATCCCTTGAATTTCTTTTAAACCAAAAATAAATTGAATTTCATTCCGTAGCATTGTTCTCGGTCAATAATACATGTCTATCCTGATTGAATAAATTCAAATTTATGTAGTGCATGAGCTTCAATATACTCTTAATTAACAACATCAAAAATCTATGACACTGGCACATCTTTGAATGAGAAACATTTTCTTTCCTCAAGGCAATTGTGCTCTAAATGTTGTTGATTTCATTTTATAAACCCTGGAAGTGGAACTTACAGGGACCATTTCACTGTTGCTGAAATATTATTAAGTTAAATCTAAACTCTAAAAACTTTTTAAATGTAATATAATTTAAGTTCTGCTGAAAACTAATTCCACATTGTCACCATTAGAAAACCATTTTCACTTCAGTGTAATCAAATTTTTTTTTTTTGCACACTTCAGTGTAATAAGCAGTTCTATTTCTGGGTGTGAGCAGCATTTTAATCCGCTCATTTCATAGTGCACAGTCTTTTTTCTTTTCTTTATGTGGTTATGTTTTTATTTGTCAGGTCTTCTCATCTACGTGTATAAATGTTCTATATTATGATAATGATGATAACATTAGAATGCTGACAACAACATTGGTTATGATATATTTCCTTGCAGGTCCAAGATGTATATGAAACTGTTTATGAGACATGTGGGCAATATTGGCCACACATTCATCACCAGATACTTTCTGCAATAATACTTGCGCAAATCACTATGATTGGTCTCTTTGGACTGAAGTCAAAGCCCTCTGCATCCTTTGCAACCATACCATTGCTATTGTTAACTCTACTGTTCAACGAGTACTGCAAGTTCCGTTTCCAACCTACATTTTACTATCTCTCACTCCAGGTAAAATTGAATCTTTATTGTTTTTTTGTTCAGTTATTTGAATAAATTTAGAATGCATATTCTAGAAATGACCCCATAAAGGTAAATAATCCACCACTTCAATTCAATTTAATTTGTACTGTTGTTTGTTTAATATTGCGCTTGTGGTGTCATTCATCTGTATAACTACATATCTATCCTTCTGTTACTGTGATATTAAGGTTTTTGAGCCCCCGAGCTCCATGTACCACCTTCAAAATAGCCAATGTGGAAAAAGATTATGCCTTCGGTGTTCTTTGTTTGCTGAAAACCATGGGGTAGAATAAGAATTTCCAACAAAAGAAAATTTGCTGCCAAAAGAATATTTTTCAGCTAATCCTACAATTTTGGACAACTTTAGAAAACCAAAAATTATAATTTCCAACACTGTTCTCTTATTGTAATATAAAATGAAGGAGTTCGAATAGAGCAATTTGAGTTTCGGTATTGAGAAGGCCGAATACTTTGCCATCCAGTTTGATTGGCAACTGACAACTTGATTGACATCAGGATGATACCGTATAGAGAAATCTTTCACAAGAATGTGACAATTTCTGAAAAGCAAATAGACAGTCTGTCAAAATCCTGGAAAATAAAATGTTCTTATTATTTACTGGCACATAAAAAAGAGCTTATGGGAGAGTCTCTAGTCGCTCAATTTGGCTTGGGGATTCTAGGAAATTTGTTTGAGTAAATAATATTTAGCTATATTCATTTAAGTCTTCAAGTGTTTGTTTCTCAAGGTTATCTTTCCATTCCTCCCGACAATATAGCTGACTGAGTTTCAAAGAGCATGTTTGAGTGTTGACATTACCTATTCTATGGTGTGCCATTATCTCAAAGATTTTCTAAATCTACCCCACCTTTGGGAGTAGTTTTTTTTTTTTTTTGGTCAAGAAAAATAAAATTGAAGAGAGAAATTAAGCATGAACACAAGAATATAAGGTGGTTCAGCCATTACAGCCTATATCCACGGAACACCAAGCCCAAAGGGCTACTTCTCTTCATTATATTCTCTCTTAATTTTGTTTACGATAACCACCTCTTTTAAAAATGAAAGATTACAAACGTGTGATAAAATATGAGAAATATATTAATTGAGGCGTCAAAATGAAGTCAAAGCAAAGAGTATCAATTGACTTTTTTTGCTGAATTTAATTGAAATTGCTAATTCGATTTCAAGTGATTAGTTTAAATAATTTTTGTAACCCATAATACTAAATGAAGAAGTTTAACGAAAATCTAGGGTATTGCATTGTATGTGGGGCTAATACTTGGTAATTTAAGCTTTATATGGTAGTGTGATATGTCGTTGACGATGTTGCAAAGTGAATCTATGATCTAATTTTTACGATAATAACTGAGGTACCTTTGTGGCCAGGATGCTTTGAAAAATGATGAACTTGATGAGACGAATGGTATGATGAATGCTAATTACGAGAATGCTCTTGATGCGTATTGCCCGCCTTGTTTGCGGCCGGTGAACTTGACATCTATGGAATCAAGCTCTACTACACTACCACTACTGAATTCATATTAAGTTGTACAAATGGTTGTGTGTGTTCTTTTTCTTTTGTGTTATGATCCTTTTCACCATCTTTCCGAAGTTCCTTGTTAGGAGTTCCCTCCCAATGAGATTGCAATCGACGCTTCTATATGCTCTGTTCTTATGTGACAAATGGTTGCTGGGGACAAAAGGAAAATGCGTGAATTAAGGGATAGTCAATATCGCTCGACGAAGACTTAGCAGTGTACAAACCATGAATGTAGATGCCGATAGCAATTTTGATGCTTAGTCCAAGCTATCATGTGTTATGGACTGGGTTTTGTATAGATCATCCATTCTGTTGTAGCTTTTGCCCCTAAAAAAAGCCATGACCAACATCGTTGCTCGGCTGCAGAGATTTTCCAGAGTGACCTCTTACCAGGTTTATAAATTGTAATTACAGGCATGTCTAAATTATTACATACTGATGTTTGTTATGTGCAATGAAATAAGAGCAGTGGCTGAAAGTTATTGAAAGAATTACTGAATCCTCTTATTGATTTAATTGATTCAAGTAATCAGTAACACTTTCAAATATAATATATTGTGGTACTTTTATTTGTTAAGTTTTTGATATCTTGTAATTTACTACCAAGATGTTTAAATGATACAAATGTTCCTTATGCTTGATTATCACGAATTGAATTACAATAATATAAATTAACAAAAAAAAATTACAATAATAGCATTTTCACATTAAAGTGAACAGTGCAAGTTATGTCTCATTGTAATAATTTGGCGCGCCCAAAGTATGATCTGTCGTGAAATGCATTAGAGAGGACCCATGTCAATTATTGGTAATTTATTGTTTAACATTAGAATCAGTTGAGTGTATCAAAATTCATTTTTGAGTATATGTGCTATTTCTTTTGACGAAACTGAAGATTATTTTGGCTAGTTAATATGATTTAATTTTGAAAAGAAAAATGATCTTATTTTAAAGTATTTTGATATAAAACATTTATTTTTATAAAGAAAAAGCTATTGAGACAAAACATATTTGAATACCTGGTTGCATTTTTGTACTCAAAATTATTAATTTAAGGATGTAGCTTAAATGATATGTGTGATTAGTGATTGGTTGTGTTATAAATTATTTCACAATTCAAATAGTTAAAAATAATAATAAATAAGGGAAACAGCTACCATATATTTTTCAAACTGAGCGAAAAATTACAATTCTTCAATTTGGATATTGAAATACCTAAAATGCCCTTCAAACAAATATAAATAAATAAATAAATAAAATAAGGGCATATTTTAAAAATCTCTCAAAAGTTATTTATTTATTAATTTTTCTGTTTTATTTGTCTTTTTTAATTTATTAAAAAAAAAAAAAAAGAAATACCTAAAATTTCCTTATGGCTATTTTGGAATTTTTATTAAAAATTGGTCAAAATTGAAGACCAGAAGGTAATTTGCTCCAAATTTTAAAAATACAAAGATTTATATGCACATTTCTTATGTATTTTTTATATAGCGAATTAGTTGGAGTTTTTTTTTTTTTTTTTTTTTTTTTTTTTTTTTTTTTTTTGCACTTTACCTTTAAAATAATAATATTATTAATAATAGCAACCATTTTTTTTTTTTTTTTTTTTTTGATATTTAGAATTAGAATTGAAAAAGGAATTGAATTTTAACTAAAATAAAATTATATTTATAATTTGGAATAAAGTGAAATTTGTAAAAAGAAATTTTAGAAGAAATAAATTTTAGAAAAAATAAATTTCTTACCATTTTGGATAAGAGACGTTAGATATGAGAAAAAATGATTTGTGAAGCAGTTAAAACATTGAATAAAATTCCTTCTCAAGTCAAATTCCTTTTGAAATTCGATTCGGATGAGCCAAGATCCTATATATCAATGATATAATTAACCCGCCATATTAACCTAAATTTTTTTGAAAGGCTGCCGCAACCCCCTGCTCTCGATAGTCGTCGCCACGACCTGGGCGTTCGCTTGCTATCACACCCAATTCTCTCTCCCTATATTTCCCTCTTTACACACACATAATCATCAGAAACCAGCTCTCAGTTTTTGGGTTCAAAGGTATAGTTACTCTTTTCTTCCACAGTGCACTCTCAGAGTCTTCTAGGTTTGATTCCGAGCTATTTTTGGTTCACTGTTTTAGCTTAGGTAACACACATATATAACATTATTCTATATCAAATCCACTGTCACTCCTTTGTTGTAGAGAATAAAGATGATTTTATTTTTCCCAGCATAAGCTTATTCTTTCCTACCACTTTATGTTTGTATGGCAATTGTTTGTTAAAATGCATAAGTGAATGTCTTTCACTAGTGTATATAAAATATCTGTACTTTTCATTCAACTTCTAGCACTCATTTTTGTTTGATTTTCACTTAGTTCTTAATTTAGAAACATATTCTTCAAACATCTCCTTTTAATTGAGCGAAGGAAAAAAATATTTGGGTTTTTTTTAATTAAAAAAACAGCTTTTGCAATCAGATTGCTAAAGGTCTTCTTTCATCTTCTGAAGGAAAGAACTTATGCTTCTGAGATTAATTTTCTATTTTGTTTAATTCAAGTATATTTTTAATGCCTTCATTCAAATGACCCTCTTGGAAAGTATGAACAATCAAGATCAAGATCTCTGGGCTAAAGATTAATGTCGGAAAGAGCATTCTTGTGCCGGTTGGGGAGGTCTCTGAAATCGAGATGTTTGCTCTTGAATGTCGCACTGGCTCTTTTTCCATTTCTTACTTGGGGTTGTGAGCTCCTTCAAGGTGTGTGGGAAGCTGGGATCCGGTTGTGGAAAGATTTGAGAAGAGATTGGCGGGATGGAAGAAGCAGTACCTCTCCAAGTGTGTTGTCCGATTCGGAGTGGAGGTTTAGGAATTAGGAGATTGCTGCCTTTCAACAAGGCTCTCCTTGGGAAATGGCTTTAGAGGTTTGGGGTTGAGAGTAGTTGGCTTTGGAGGAGGGCTATTGCGATCAAATTTGGAGAGAGTATTGGAGGTTGGAGTTCTCTTGAGGTGCGTGGTCCTAGAGGGGTGGGGGTGTGGTCTTTCATCCGAAAGGGGTGGGATGAGTTCAGCAAACATGTTCGTTTTTGGATTCGGGATGGTAGGAGGATCTTTGGTGTGGAGAGCGTCCTCTTGCTCTTGCTTTCCCTCGGCTCTTTTGGATAGCTTTTCATAGACAGGCCATGGTGGTTGACTGTTATCATCTTGATAACGGGAGACTGACTTGGGAAATTCAGTTTAAGAGGCATTTTCAGGACTGGGAGATTGAAGAAGTCACTCGCTTTTTGGATTTGTTGTACCGCCAGGTGATTACAGCTGGAGATTCGGATTGTTGGCTTTGGGATCCTAACTCTGAGGGTCGTTTCGAGGTTCAATCCTTTTTCAGGTGTCTTACGCTTGGCTTTGGAGGTCCTTTCCCTTGGAAGTCTATTTAGCAGTCTAAGGCCCCTCTCAAGGTGGCTTTCTTTGCTTGGACCTCTGTCTTGGGTAAGATTCTTACTTAGGATAATTTGAGGAGAAGGAATCAGGTGGTGGTTAATCCATGTTATTTGTGTCGGAGCAACGAGGAGACTGTGGATCATCTTCTGTTACATTGCAGCATGGCTAGGGACTGTTGGGATTTAATGCTTGGTTTGTTTGGGATCCTTTGGGTCATGCCTCCCTCTTCTAGAGGATTGATTGAGGTTTGGAGAGGTTTCTCAGTGGGGGCTCTCATTCAGGATGCTTGGAGGGCTACACCTCTTTGTATTTGGTGGTGTATTTGGCTCGAGAGAAATCGGCGCTATTTCGATGGAAAGGAGAAGCCTTCTTCTACTTAAGTTTTTTTTATTATTTTCACTCTTTTTTGTTGGGTTTCAGGGAGAGATTATAGATCTGAAGAGGAGATTGTTGTTTTTTGGCCTCTTTGAAGGCTTGAGGCGCTTCTTGGCCTTTTTTTGGTCTTTGGGTTTCGCTCCCCTTCTAAGCGCTTTCTTTATAAAATTTTACTTATCAAAAAAAAAAAGGTATAAGGCTTAATAGAAAATGCATGGAATGATTCTATTATACGGTTTGGTTATTTGATTTTAAGCTTTATTTGCTAAATTATCTTTTCTGCTCAAATCAATTGGTTTTTATAGTTGATAAACCTTTAATAGTGTGCTTTTCAGGTATTTTTATACTTTTGTTGCAATGTTCAAAACTAAATTAATTTTAACTTTGGATATTGACTTGATGTTTTATGAAGCTTGATTGTCTTGAAAATAATTTGCCTCTTGCGTACTGTTTTCTTCTAAATGAGCACTATGAGACTGCCCATTAGTGTTGGTTGCATATTCCTATGCACTAGGTGAGTCATATGAAATTTTTGAATGAACACATGCTTAATTCGAAACTGGTTTTTGCAGGTAAACAGCTGTCAGTTGCTGGTTTCTGCATCGAGGAATTTCCTTCCTGTTTGTAACTATGAAGTTTGTAAGTCTCTCTCTTTCTCATGAGGTTGTGCATATGGGTGATTGTGTGCATATCTGTTTTAGGTTTTTGTTCCGGAATTGATTGAGTTTGTTTTCTGCATACATGTTTGAGCAAAGGCAGGGGTTTCCATTTCCCACCATGCCATATACTCAATATTTGTGGGTTCCAGGTCTTACTTGATTGCCCTCTTGACCTTTCAGCTCTAACGATCTTCTCTCCTATTCCTGTGGATTCTTATGTGAGTCCAGACAAAGAAACTTCTGATTGTTCTGAATCTGTTTGTCAAAAGAGACAGAAAATTGAAAAAACCCTTGATGCAAGCAGTTTAATACACGCAGAGCCATGCTATAGAACTGTTAAAAACTTACATCTGTATAATGTTTCTTTTATTGACATTGTGTTGGTCTCAAGTCCGATGGGTATACTTGGTTTACCATTTTTAACTTGCAATAAGGGTTTCTGTGCCAAGGTAAGTAAGAAGGCAGAATATATTGGGTCAGATATATGCGACTGAAGCAACAGCAAGACTTGGTCAGCTGATGATGGAAGATCTTGTTAAAATGCACATGGAGTTCAGGCAGTTCTATGGTCCTGAGGACACTGGTTTCCCTAAATGGATGAAATGGGAAAATCTTGAAGCGCTTTCATCAGCACTGAAAGATATGGCTTTAGGAAGCAATGGGGTGGAGCTTGGAGGTTGGATGCCCTTGTGCAGGTAACAGTGTTCATTTGTTAGATAACAGACTTGTACTTATTTTTTGTCCATTCCACCAAATGCACTGTATTGTTCTTTTAGTTTGTTGACTTGGGTAATTGTTCTTTAAGTTTGTTGACTTGTTTATTTATTTGGCCCGATAGCTATCAGAAACCTTCAGAAGATTTGCTATAGTTATATTGTTTTCCAGTTTAATATTTGTAGTGTCTCTATCTGTTTTCCTTTTTCTTTTTTCTTTTTTCTTTTTCTTTTTTTTTTTTTCTTTTTTTTTTTTTTTTTTTTTTTTTTTGTGTATTTTCACCTA